GTAGATTTTATAGTGCTAATTTTATTGTTTTATCTTTTTTGTAACCCACTTTGAGTCCCACCTATAATCAAATAGTATGTAAATTTTATGAAATAAATAATAAATCGGCCGCTTTTCTCTTTCCTCCTCCCTGCACAACCACCATTTGCAACATGGGGATAATTATCAGCCTATATTACAGGGGGGTTGTAATGATTACAGCAATATGATAGTAACACTGTACTATATGTGACAGGCTTTAAATATTCTAAAACACTATATAAATTGCTACTTTTTATTGCAGTGGTCTTAAATGCAAACGCTCTCGAAGACAGTTCAATAAAATTGATGTAATCCCACTGCAATTAGCTATCAAGGAGCCATTATAAATAAATTACCTAAATAAGATATTGTTATTTTTATGCCTTTGGTTTGAACATGTCTGCACTGCAGGGTAAGCGTGTGAATGTGTTGGTTTGTTTTTGTGAAGGTTTTTTGGGGTCATGTTAGCTGAAAGCTGAAATCCCTCTCTCGGAACTGGATAATTTGTGGCCTTGAATTAGAAGCACATCGTGTATCTGTATGCAGTTGGACTCAAAAGACAACAAAGTTCTGTGCATGCATTCCTTGTTTTGCCATTTCTGCAACCTGACACACACGCACACTTTTGCCTCCTGGGGATTTTTGCTTAATCTCTGGCAAAATCAAGATATTGATGCATAGCAATGATTAGAACTGGCCTTGGGCATTTTGCTACCTGAAATAATAGTACCTTGCTGCGGAAGAAATTGAAAAGAGAATTGCTGGCACATCACTGCATGTGTAATGAGTAACGGTTTGTTTTTATTTATCATCTTCTGTGTTTAAGGCCACAAATTCAGGGAGTAATGTACAATAGGCAAGGTCGTCTTGCATTTAAATAGTAGTATGCAAAGTCTCCACTTGTGAAATTATGCTAGTTTATGCATGTTAATCCTGCAAACCGCCCCCCCCCCCCCAGAAGAACATTTGTGAGAGAATGTCTTTCCCCTATTGGGCTTTTAAAGATTGTAATGATAATACATCTTAATTAATGGTCATAGCAGATGAGCAGTCCTGAGAACTGTCAGTTTGAATCTTTCATGGGAAATTATACAAATGGCGTTGCAGTGGGGTTGAGAGGAATTAACTCTGCATCTCCTGGATTAGTTTGCATCTTATGCAGCATATATGTGCAGACCTCATAAAGATGTGGCCCCAATCCAGCTTGCAGTTGGATAATGCACAGTGCAAGCCTACTCAAAAACAAGCCCTTTCGAATTCAGCGAGGTTACCCCCAGGTAAATGGAGCTAGGATTGTGGCCTTAGCTGGCATGCCTGTTTTTATCCAAACATGTGACTCCAATTTAGGCAGTCCTTTACCTAATGATTTCTGTTCCAAGAAGCCCTGACTGCCCTAAGGCAGTATGGTGATGTCAAGTATGAGTGGGCAAGGCTATGGCAGGTCTGCAGAGACAGGGGACAAACTCCCTGGAGCAAGGGTGTAAGTATGCAGCATAAATTAAGCAAGCCATTTTCCCTCCTGTATGCCAGCAAGTGATGCTTTTCTCCCAACCCCCAGCCCACCTCCTGATTTAAAACATGCACCTTTGGTGCAACAGTCTGGCACAATTCACACTTTCCCAAGTGTTCCTTCACGCTGAATGATTTGCTTCCTCTTGTTCTAGCACAAGCTATTGAACTGAATCTTATCACCTCTTAGGAGGGGCTGGGCAGGGAGGATGTCAGTGTTTTGATGTAGAATTTATTGGAGCTTTCTGCCAGCAAAAAGGAGGGGCAGGGGGGTTCTCCAGAATGCCAATTCCCTCTGCCTCCCTTGTTGTTTTCTTGGTTCAAATAATTGAAGGCCTATGCAAAATATGATCTGTATCACTTTCTCACCAGGAAGACACTGTAATAATTATTGCTATGTATTTGCATGAGTAGGAGAATGCTATTCGAAGCAGAAAAAGTGACAAGGTAGGAACAAATGATTGCTATTATGTCCAGATATGTAAAACCACAGAATTCAAAAAGGGTGTACTTTTTTTCCCCCATGGCTGTAGCTAGACCTCAAAGGAGGGGTGATGAAGGAGTTGGGATTTAAAAGTGTGTGTGTGTGTGTGTGTGTGTGTGTGTGTGTGTGTTTTACCCTGCACCATCAAGAAGCAGGTTATAGGTATGGGATTGTGAATTACAAAAATAAAATAAAAATGCTATATGTAGTTATGACACATCTTTCACAGACCACACAGAAGAGTTTTTGCCATGGTTTTTCACTATTTGTTATGGCATGCAGAAGTTTATATCCTATCTTCATCGTGGGCACATCCTTCTTTCTCAAATATTCAAAACTGGGCAGCTGGCTCACATGAGAAAAGTGATATTGGAAAAGAAATTGAGCTAATAAGTAACTCCACAGATGAATTTTAAAAACCCTTTAGATTTCTTCTGGCTATTTTAACACTGATAAAACAGGAGCGCTCTCTCTCTCTCTTTTTCACTCACTTAGGTAAAGGTAAAGGTAAAGGTAGAGGGACCCCTGAACATTAGGTCCAGTTGTGACCGACTCTGAGGTTGCGGCGCTCATCTCACTTTATTGGCCGAGGGAGCCGGTGTACATCTTCTGGGTCATGTGGCCAGCATGACTAAGCCGCTTCTGGCAAACCAGAGCAGCGCACGGAAACGCCATTTACCTTCCCGCCGGAGCAGTACCTATTTATCTACTTGCTTTTGGACGTGCTTTTGAACTGCTAGGTTGGCAGGAGCAGGGACCGAGCAACGGGAGCTCACCCTGTTGCAGGGATTCGAACCGCTGACCTTCTGATCGACAAGTCCTAGGCTCTGTGGTTTAACCCACAGCACCACCCGCTTACACTCTCTTACACACACACAAATACACAGAGAGAGAGAGGAAGGGAGGAGTTTACAAAGTTGATGGCATCCATATATCTCAAGACAATGGAGTGCACCTCCTAGGTCAGGGCTCGGTAAGGTTTACTTCGCCTGGGTCAGTTCACTCCAGTGGAAATCCCTCTGTGGGCTGGATTGCGTGCGCACATGAGCGCCCGCGCCTGTGATTTCTGGTGTCTGCGCCTGCACAGACGCAATTTCCGACGTTGCGGAAGTGAGTCCCTGCACCGGTTTAGGTCAGCGCGGGGACTCGCCAAACAGGTGGCTTGGTTCAGGGGCGGCTCATGGCCGGTTAAACAGCCCCTGCTTATGGCCCATGGGCCTTAGGTTTCCTACCCCTGTCCTAGGTGAAGTCAAACTGCTGTGTTAGCAACACCAAAGTGACCTCCCTGGGGCTGAAGCCTGGGCAGTGTGTATGGATGTCCTGGGCAGCAGAGCAATACATTTGGCACCAGCCTGACTGCAGGAGTTGCCAGAAGGAGGAGTACAAGGGATCCAACCATCTTAGGGACTACACTCCAGATTTGTGTAGGGTTTACTCCTAAGCATTTTCTTCTCTCAAAAATATCCTGCAAGGCAGTGGAGGTTTAGGATCAGAGTTTTCCTTCTCTGAGATTTGCTACCTTCTCAGGAGGACAAGCTTTTTAAATTTGTTTTTAAACATCCAGCTATGCCATTTGCCATCCCCATTTCCTCTGGCAATGAATTTCAGAGATCAATTTACTTGTGAAAATGATTTATTTTTAAACTACCCCCTGTGTCTTTGAATGCCCTCCAATTATGTGAAAGAGCAAACATATTTATTCATTAATTTACATATCTCTTATATCCTCCTCTTCAACCCTAAAGATTCCAGAGCCACTAACAATTACAAATCATCCGATTATCACATTAAATCAATAATCAATTACAATAAATCACCAATTTAAAACTGAGGGCCTTCTCAGTAGTGGCACCTGCCCTGTGGGACGCCCTCCCATTAGATGTCAAGGAAATAAACAACTATCTGAATTTTATAAGACATCTGAAGGCAGCCTTGTTTAGGGAAGTTTTTAATGTTTGATGTTTTATCGTATTTTTAATATTCTGTTGGGAGCCACCCAGAGTGGCTGGGGAAACCCAGCCTGATGGGCAGGGTATAAATACATACATTATTATTATTATTATTATTATTATTATTACTGTATTACCTTAAATTGTAAAATAGTAATAGTGGCAGATGTTAAAACTGTATAAGATCAGAAATTTACAACTTACATAGAAAAGAACTATACACAAAATAAAGACACTCACAGGACTGCAATAGACATCATAAGGTTTATTAAAAATCATTTGGTTTGGACTTAAGAATATTGAACAAATATATTACAACAATTGAAGGATGTACATTAACGAAATTTTGAATAGTACTACTTCATAGTATTAAGTATACATAGAATGTAAACAGGACAAATGCATAAAGATAAAGAAAATATAGAGAAACCAGAAGAAGGAGGGAGGGAAGTACAAAATTGTTAGATAGAGTTAAAGCATTAAGGTAAAAAGAAATAAGCTATGTATCATGATGGCAAAATTTGTAAAACCAATAAAGATCATAAAAAAACCAACTATATAAGATCTATGCCCGTAAGTAAACATTATACAGTGGTTTACAGTCCTGGTTTAGAAGGGTGTTGTTTTTTAAGTATAGTTTGCTCCATTACTCAAACCCCCCCCCCCCCCGGAAGAATTTCTTGACAATCAATTAATCCTTCTTGCAGTTTAAACTCATTACTGCCTGCTGTACCCTTCAAAGGCCATGATAAATGACTCTGCTTCATGGCAGCTCTTAAGGAAGAATCTGGTCCCTTGACCTCTAGTAGCCTGAGTCTGGATTCCATTCTTCTGCATTCTCATTGGTGGAACCTGCTCCCTAGAAGTCTGCTGGAGCATTTGCATACTCTTGCAAGGTGCTGGGATAAACGAAGGCAGCCTGCCAGGTGTGAAATTCCACCCCTTCTGCTTATTCCTAGGGCTGTGGCAAGATTAGAGTGACAGGAATAGACTGTAAACAAACCTGGCCCACTGCAATGAGTTCCTCCCTTTGACGTGGACTGGTGTATTTTTCCATCTCTGAGTGTGGTCAGTCTTAATATAGCCTACAGCTTACTTTGTGGAGGTCTGGATTTTCTCTTTAAGAGCTCCGTCCTATTTAACCTAGTGCTTCTCAAACAAGCTAGCCAGTATTCCCACTGCCTGTGCCGTTAAGCTCTGTCTGCTGCTTCCTGTTTCCACTGCATAAGAAAACAGCAATGGCCTAAGTTAAAACAGCCATAGGTCTGTCACTTGTCTGAATCCTGTGCAGTTTCATGGAACATGCCATCCATTGCTAATCATGGCATTACGCACTACATTAAGCAGTGTAACATTAGTGATACCATTAAACAGGTCAAGTGAACCAGGTAGCAACTCTGTTGGAGATTGTATGCACCCTTTATCAATTTGTGGCTAGTGGGTTTCTGCATCATAGAATTGTAAAAAGGGGGGAAATGATTTCCTGGTGAGCAAGGATATATAATATTTTTTCACACTTTTACCCTGCTCTTTCTCCAAGGAGCAAAGGGTGGGACACCATTAGGTTATCAGCGAGTTTGTCAGTGAGGTGGAAACACACATGACTTATCCAAGCCTATTCAGTGAGCTCCTTGACTGACTGGTCAGGGGTGAAATAGAGATGGACAATCTATTTACAGCCCATGCTAATTTCACATGCTCATTCACAAGACTGTTGCATCCTGTTTTTGTATTAATCTGCATTTTATTTTATTTAAAATCTGCATTAAAAGTTGCATTTAAATACAGTATATATATATTTATGATAAAAGATGTGCTTAGATAATGCTTCTCTTAGTGTGTGCATTTTATCTTAAAATACACATTTTTCTTCCTTTTTTTTTAACCCAAGGGCTGATTGGATTTTAAAAAATTAAGACATTGTCTGAATCAAGGCACAATGGCTTACTGCTATGCCATCAGTCCTGAGGAAGCATTTCATAGGAGTACAGGTTTTAAACACATTTTATCCTGTGCTTCTAGCACAATCCTCTAGCACAGAAGGTGTACTGGGAGTGATCTTGAGAAAGGTGTACATTGGTGTGGGCTGAAACCACCTGCCCAAATATATTGAAAGAATCACTTGTGTCCTTACTGTTTGCCAAAGGGAATTCAGAGTTGTAAGGTAGGTTTCCTGACACTGGCTTCTCCTGAGAACAACGATTGACATATGTCTATGCTCAGTCAGTCAGAATAAATTATAGAGTGTTCAGTATTTGAAAGAGTCAGCTGGGGGAAGTAAGGGTGAGGAAGAGGAAAATGTGTGAAGGATCTAGTCATTTTTACTTTTCTGGAATCAGCTTTCACCCAGAAGCAATGAACTCCAGTGACTCAGCCTTGACAGCCAGTAGAAAGCTGAACTCTCTCACAGAAGAATGCCTGCATATTAGTTTTCCAGTAGATCCTATGCAGTGAGTATCCAACTCTGGGTGAAGCCCAACTTGTCATGAGATAATACATGCAGGGTGGGTTCCAAGCACCCCCTCCCCCTGCCCAAACAAATAGCACATTGCAAAGTGTTTTAAAATGGATGGAACTTCCAAGGTGGGGAAGGGTCAAAGGGGGGACAAAAATCCAAAGCGTATCACTGTGTTCAACAGTCCAGTAATACTTTAGATTCCTCCCACAGGCCTGATAATATGCTTGCTGGCTGAGAACTCAACTAACTTGAGTCAACAGTTATGAGATTATTCCCTTGAATAATCTACTGTGCCTGTGCTCAAAGAGTTGCGCTGGCTTCTGAATTGTTATTGAGCTATGTTCAAAGTTTTCCTGTCGGTATATAAAGCCCTTAATGGCTTGGGAACAGGTTACTCAGGGGATCAATTTGGCCCATGCATAGCTATTTAACCACTTTGTTATGCAGAACTTTCATTTGTATAAGTGCCATATGATGAAGGTTTCACATTTACAAGGAGCTGATCTTGTAGTGTGGCAGCACCAATGCATAGGCACTCCTGCCTATTGACATCAGTCAGGAGCCTTTCTATATTGCTTTACACACTTGCTGAAAACTTTATATTTCAGCAACTCTACCCAGATATCATTTAGACATTTATGTTAGGTTATAATGCTTTACTGGCTTTATCTGTGTTTTATTAACTATCATGTATACCTACTATTTTAACAGTTTTGTGGATTTTAGCAATGATTTGTTGATAATTATATTGTGTACACCACTTAGAGAGTTTTATAATTAAACTGTCTATAATTTTTTCTAAAAGCCACAAGCAAAGGAAGGGGAAATGTCTATGTTGGCTGTTTGATGTGAAAGATTCACAGCTTGAATCCTGGATAAGAAATGGCATTCTCATATGGTGAATCAATGATCTCTATGCAAGAACGGGGGCGGGGGGGGACCTGTTCTCTGCAATTGACACCAAGGTGGTCATACTTTGCATTTTGTACACCAAATTTGCACAGAGAGCTCAAACTGAGAGGTTTTCTGGATACTTGCCCCAAAAACTTCCTTTCCTTGGAGTTTTTCACAAATCTGATAAATCTGGAAGAATTGGAATAGCTTGTTGCATGATGGAAATGTCATTTTAAATATATCTTTTTATAAAAGTATGTCTATACTGCCCACTCACATAAAATATCAAAGTGGTGCACAGCATTAACTATTTTTAAAAGAATAAAAAATAATGACTGGATTAATCGGTTTCTCTAAAAAAAGGAAATTTAACTGAGTAGGCTCATTGGTTTAAGAGAGTCTTCAAGAGATCTCTGGAAGTTGACTGCTGAATCTCTGTTGGAAGAGAGTTCATAGCATGGAACTGGTGACACTAAACCTTTGGCCTGATATTAAGCAACTGTTGAAAAGGGGAAGATGTCTAGTTGGGATTTACATTTAGCTGATGTTTTTCAAGTTATCAGTTATATGTGTGTATTTTAGAGTATACTGCTGTCCTGGAACCTAACCAAGATGGACTAGAAACCCTGGCATAGGATGGACCAGAAACATAAACATGCAATACAATTCATAGGGTCCAGAGACTTAGGAGAGGAGACTCTAGATAATCTGAGAAACAGAATGGAGGTTATTAAATGTCAGACAGGCAATTTTCTGGGTTCCAATTTTTACCTTTAAGCTTACAGACACATGTGCAATATTCTGCAGCAAAATGATACTTTTAATACCTTTCCGTGACATTTTGCTTATGTAACCTTCATCCCACCTTCAATTAATGCTGTTGTAAATTACTGCATACTGATAGGCTGATCATCCTTGAGGGCTAAGATATTATCTGTTTCATGTCATTAGAAAATGATTCCTTTCCTGTTAAGTGTGACCATTTCCTGACTTCTCTCCTTTTGATGAGACTGGAAGCCGAGAGATCAGACTAGTTGGAGTAGTGTGCTAACTGGGGTGAACGTCTCTCTGCTGCAATTCTATGCATATCTACCTGGAAACAAGTCCCGCCGAGTTCAGTGAGGATTACTATTAGGTAAGCATATAGGATTGCAGTCTAAGAGGCCCAAGTCTTCCTGCTGGTCGCTAATGAGACTTGAGGGTAATAGTTGATGGCAGAGTAGCCTTGCAGCAACTAAGCTGCTTCTGCTTCTAGATGAGGCAACTCTGTAACCAGCCACCCTGCCAACAAACATCTCCTTGTCTATATCTCTGATATTTTAACTGTTGGTTTGCTAAATTTGCATTTTATGCATCTTGTTAGCAGCCTTGGGCTCCTGTGGGAGGAAAGGTGGAATATAAAAATGAACAATAAATGTGCTGCCGCAGACCTTAGAACTAGGAGCTAATTTTTCCACATGGGATTCTGGGATTGCCCCAGGCTCTGGTGATATTTTCTGCTTTGACCAGGTATGATTCTCTTTTACTCTGCACCATTTGGGCTGTGCGTTTGTTGTTGTTGGCATATTCTTACCAGCGCCAGAGGCGTGTGTTCGTTTGTCACAGCTGTAGCCTGACAGACATGCCGGATGCTCTGCACCATGTTTATTTTTACCTGTTGATGTACAACACCTCTCTGTTGCCATTCCAGGATGTTGCTTGCTTGCTTCAATGCTGGCCTTTGACTCAAAAGGTTATTTCCTTATATCTCCTGTCACTCATCAGCACTTACATCCTGTTGTTTCCTCTGCTGAGCAAATAGACTTTCTCTCCTAAAGATAATGATGTAGATGAGGGTGTCAGATTCTATTAACTATAGCAAGCAACCACAGAGACACTTCCTTCCAACTAAAGCTGCTGGGGCACAGAGAGGCCCTGAACTCTAGTCCAGCACACAGAGACCACGTGGCTACACCCTGTCATCGCAAGCTTGCTTTTTAAGTAGTACAGTATTCCCATATTCCACTAACCCATAATTCTAAAACAACCTTTGCTGACCTGGTGCCCTGCTGATGTTTTAGATTACAACTCCCATCAGCCCCAGCTACGACAAACTTTGGGAAGCTCCAGGGAGCCCTCCTTCCTGTTTATACTACAGAGCGTGTATAAAGTTCCATTATCAGACATTAGTCCAGCCACCAGCTTGTCTCTCCTGGGGTCAGGCGTTCCTTTAAGAGGCTTGGCTGCCAGCTGCTAGGTTTGTTTCTTTGTTTATTGCTTTTGACACCCACTGCAGTTGAAGCCTCACTTGCCTGTGTGTTGCTTTTCTGCTCTTGACTCCCAATTTCTGTCCTAACTGCATCTCTGCACGTGTGTACATTACTAAATTAAGTGTCACCTTACGACTATGGGGATAGATCTCCTACTCCCCAGTTCCCTTGATCATTAGCATCCAGCAGCAAGCATGTAATTGTATAACGGTGTCTCTTGTAACATTTAATAATATTTGCATTGTTATCGTCGTCTTCTGCTGGGACTAGGAACTTGTACGTGGCATAATTCCTTTCACAGAAATAAACTGAAAGAAAGAAAGAAAGAAAGAAAGAAAGAAAGAAAGAAAGAAATGTCTTCCTACAGTACAATTCATTAGACCTTGGCTGTTTCTCACTTCTTTCCTCATACATGTGCTGAATCTTACAATGCAGTTCATGCTTATAGGACCAGTCTCCCACTTCACATGTTAATGTACTTAAGACCTATGTGAAGACACATAGGAACACATGAAGCTGCCTTACACTGAGTCAAGCAAGGTGGGTTTGATTTAAATCACGATTTAAATCACTAGTCAGTAAGACTTGATTTAAATCAATTTTTTTGCAGAAAGATTCATTCTTGCTGGTATAATCTTAATATTTACAACCAGATGAAGGTTTCATTTTTGGAATAATAAATTTTCAGAGTAGTTTTTACAGTTATATCAAAAGTTACTGATTTGGTTATACTATTAGAAATACATAGACAGATAATTATGAAATGATTGTGAGGTTTAATAAGTTAACTGTTTATATTTGGGCAACTTTTCTGCTGTACTTTACTGGAAGGAAAAAAATAATAATTTCCTTAATAACAATTTATTTAACTAAAACAATAGCATTATAGCATATGGATCCATGTTTGTTAACTGATGTGGTTAAACAATTTTAAAAAACAACAACTTAGACTGAGTTTTAGCACACATGAAAAACTTAAAACAAATCCTTATTTCCTGATGAATAGCCTTTGGACTATAATGTAACTTAAATAGAAAACTATCTTTAGAAATATTTTTCCTCCAAAAGTGTTTTATTTTTAAAATCTGATTTAATTTTCTTTAAAAATCCATTTTTGATACTTTTTTTTAAAAAGAAATCATTTATTTTTATCCACCCTGGAGTCAAGTCTATTGTACTCAGCATTGTCTACAGTAACTGGCAGCAGATGTCCAGGATTTCAGCCCTACCTGGAGATGCCAGGCATTGAACCTGGGACCTTCTGCATGCAAAGCAGATGCTCTACCATTGAGATATGGCCCTTTCCATTTTAGTGTATGAGGCATGCTTATTGCTGCACCAGTGTAGTTTTAGTCCATATATGAGTGCTATGAAACCTAATTATTTCTCAACCAGCATATTGACAAAATGTGTGGATATAGGAAGAGCTTTCATACAGAAGGTACCCCAGCTGGTGTGGGAGACCTGCTTATTCAAAAGCATAAATGTATTTTCAAAAACCAGTCACTTCTGTTACATACATACATGCCTGAAATAAATAGCCATGGGTTCTTAACTGGGTGGATAATGATTGCAGAGCGCTATGCAGAAGTACAGTTAAGATTTTTCTCTTGAAATTATTATTTGCCATGCCCTTTTACAAATGTACATTAACATCGCTTCAGGTTCAGGTTCATCTATCTTAGAAGCATCTACCTCTAAAGATTCCCTGGCAACTGAAATCCCAGGACAACCCAACAGCCAAAAGCTAGCATAGCTGAGCTGATAACATGTTATGTATTTGAGACACTAGCTTAAAAAAAGTTTTAAGAAATAGCCTCTACAACAAAGTGAGTCAGAAAATGCATCTCATGCTTTACATTGAAGGAAAGGGGCATTAAAAAAGTAGACAGTGTTAAACCTGTTTTTGTGGGCTGCAGTAATTTTGCAAAGGGTTTTTATGGGTCACTTAGGACAAAGATCAATAGAAGCAAGAGGAAAGGAGAAAGAGAGAGACAATGAAAACAGAAGAATGTGCCACGAAGCTCACAACCGAAGGAAGTTTGGGCCCAAGGGAAATTAAAGGGCAATTATATGAAAAACTACTGCTACAGAACAGCAGGAAATATATGTTCTAGCTCGAGTAATTATTTAAAAAGATTCACAGAAATCTGCTATGTATTCCTAGCTTTAGTAAGAATGGAAAATGCTTGTCACATTTCGCTGTCCCGGGGTCTGCTATGAGAATGTGGCCTAGCAAAGACGCTGCAGTCCTGCACACGTTTGTTAGTGCTCATTTCTGCCTAAATAGGCTGTATATTGGACTGGTCCAGTCGTCTTTGCTTCTTTGCAAATCAAAGACTCGGCTGCTATATTATGGTGTGCCCATGCTGCACTCTGCCACAATGGGAGTTCAGTCCAATGGCAAAACTGTCTTCTCGCTCAACAAGCAACTCATTGTCAACCAGCCTTGCACAGTCAAGTCCACTGCCTGCCTGGTGTCAACCCCTGCTGTGCAGAATGCAAATGACGCTGCACAGACCTCCCTGAGCTGCTCTTCCCAGACAGCCCTGCAAGTGTATCTGCACACAAGGCACAAAAGTAGAAGAGAAATTGGCTTCACCCAAGTTGTATGTGCAGTCCCTGGTGAAATCTCAGACTCCAGCCTCCAGCTGCCGTTTGTTTATTCGCCCAATTCATTTATGCCCTGCTCTGTCCTGCCACTGCTATTGTAGTGCTCAGGGTGGCTTAAAACATGCAAACGTTACAAAAGCATGCACATTTTTTTATTAAAAAAACCCAAAAGTAGTAAAGGAGAAGCAGTTGGTAGATGAAAGCAACTAAGGAGGGATCAGTGCAGACCAGCTTGAGCAAAAATGTATTTGACTTGTGGTAGAAGACCAAGAGAGAGGGGGCAAACCAACTTTCTGAGGTAGAGCGTTCCATAATCCAGGTGCAGCTGCAGAGAAGGCCCTGTCTTGTATCCCAACCAATGGTGCCTCAGCCATAATTGAGATGCAGAGGGAACTCTCTCTAACAAGTCATAAGGAGGATGTGGGATAATTTGGCAGAAGACAGTCCTCTTCTGCCATTGACCCAAGCCATTTTAGGGTTTAATGGTCACTTATAGTTAAGACTGGAAATGGGCAAGAAACCAAGGCTGCTGCCCTGAAATAAGAGATGCAAACAACACAAAAGAGGTCTCTGTCCTTCTCCTCCTGTAACTTTATCAATATAGGTAGGGCGCAAGCCACCAGCAGTTAAGCTCAGCAGAGGGCAAGGCTGGACCACTTTGTGTGTTGGAAAATCATTGCCACATGTACAAGATTCCCTCTTTGCCTTTCAGAGAAAATCTGAAACAACTGGAGAATTTAGGTTTGTTGTCTTGCTAGGGGGAGGGACGATCCATAAAATAAATCCCAAAAAGGAGACTGCGAAAAAATTTCCCTTCACTCACTTTGTCAATCTGCCTCATGTCTCCCATTCATAAGTAGAATGTTACAGCAAATATCCATGCTGCTCTTTTAGGCAAAAATCCTTTAAAAAGTTTTATAAAATTAAGAAGTACTTACAGGGTAGTCTTAAGTGCTTTTCTGGCTCCCTCTCTTTTTGTTTAAAAAACCTTTCTAGCCAGTTGGAGCAAGAAAAAAGCACAGTGCTTTCTGAAACCTCCTACTGAAAAGTCTCTGGAAACTGTAGTACATTAGGAACTGCCACCTTTTCCTGGATAAATGTACAAAGAAAAAGATGGATGCCTCCATGTATCTTTGGGGTACAGCCATCTTTTTTCTGTATTGTGTCTCTCTAAGGCACAGCCCTTGCTTAGAAGGGTTCGTGGACATGTAATCTACTCCATGTGTTTACATTCTGATCCAAGCATGACCTGTCCAATGCAGACCAAGGAGTTTTTATTCAGATTGTGGGGCCTGCTCATCTCTAGTCATTGATCATAGAGAACTACCTGTAATATAAAGCCATTGTTTCTTGTTTATTCCTCTTCTTTCAAAGCTCCTGTCTAATATCTGAAAATAACTGCAAGTAGTGGACTCTTCAGTGAAAGATCCTCCTGTATTGGGCAATCTGTGATGTAGACATGAGGGAGTCCGTCTTCACACCCCTATTTCCAGGATACAGGAGAGGAGTGGTTCAGAGAGAGAAAAGGGAGAGATCAGTTTAATTCTAATAAGAAACAAATGATTAAGTGAAAGTGACAGCTTGGATAACACTGTTTCATAGTCTGTCGGGACTGGATGACAGTGGATTAGAAAGAGACTCTTTTGAAGAATCACAGCTGTGAGACAATGGGGTGTGGGAAGTTCCTTATGAACTGACTACTGTCGCAGGCTACCCAGTTTAATTTCTCTCACTGCTAAAATGTTATTCAGTTCCTCACTTTCCCACCCACGCCTTCATTATCACTCTCCTTTCACCTCTCTCCCCCAGAAGCCTGGATTTGGGGCAGACGTGGCAGCCTTCTACCTGAGCAGTCACAAGGGATGCCTTGACCACATAGCACTTCCACCGTCCTGCATATGCCTCTGTCTTTTCAACTGCAATAGTGAAATGTCTGAGGTGGAAGAATAGCCTTGGGGGGGTGTTTCTGGGGAGAGAGGCCTGCCTGACTTAGTGGTGGTGGGGACCCAGGCCCCAAAGATGTTCAAAAGGTGGGCCTTGGAAGAGGAGGGTTGAAAAACAGCCCAAAATGATTGAATGCAATAACTATTAATACAAATACACTCCAATAATACAAAAATGTTGACCTACTCCAGTAGCTTAGTACTAAATGTGATAGAGAATGAAGCCTAACACAGAAGTAAAAATGCACTACATGCAAAGGCAAACAGGTTCCCATTTGACAAAAGCAACATGGCCTTCTCTACAGCTAACCTTCATGCATTAGCTGGCAGTGCACCTCTCACTTGCGGCAGCCTTTCTCCGATCTGCCTCCAACATCTCCCTATCTCTTCCCCATCTTTCACCTTAGAGAGGTAGCGAGACCTGGATGCAGACTGGTGGTTCAACAAAGATGCAAGAAAGGAATCTGACCATGAGTTGCTTGTATTGAGGAGCTTGGTTAGATGGGACCCTGTTGGTTCCTTCTCTCACCTGGTCCCTGCTGGGCTGGAAGTTGCAGCACCCCACTGGCTCTATCAAGGGTAGCACTGCAGACAGTGCAGCAGAGATGAAGGCAGCATTTTCCTTTCCTTTCCTAAGCTGCTATGGTGCCCCCAGGAGCTGAGGCACCTGGATTTAACAGTGTTTCGTGGCAAAAACCGTAGCAGAAGATATTGGGGCAGCAGTACTTCTGCTTTGGGATCTTCTTGCTCTTCAGCAGTTGTGCAAGAAGGACACACAAATTTATGGGTCTAACTGCATCCATCTGATGAGGCATCTCTTCTGCCATTGACTGGCTATATGTGTGCATTTCAAAGCATGCTGCCGATCAGGGATATCTATCAGTACTGACTTCCCAGCCAGAAAGTACTGGGTAAGGAGTGGCTTATCAAAACTGACCCCTGAACGTGTGAGCTAGAAAGTTTTCATGGCGGTGAGCAAACAGGGTATGGAACTCTGTAGTCAGCTGTTGAGCACTCAAGCTTTTGAGCTTTTGACTTCTAGACTGCAAGAGATGTGTAACTGAGAGGCAGGGAAATCAAGCTCCATGCAGAGAAAAATAATACTAGCATTTTGTATTCTATTAATATATAAAGAAGAACAGAAATGTGTTGTTATTATTAGAAACAGTTCTATCTCAATGGATATGCTTCCTCATGAGGCCCTGTGCAAATATTGTGCTGGATAAGAACTCACTAGATGGCCTTAGGGAAGTCACTGTTGCTGAGCCTCCATTCCACAACTGCAATACAGTGGTACCTCGGGTTACAGACACTTCAGGTTACAGACTCCGCTAACCCAGAAATAGTACCTCGGGTTAAGAACTTTGCTTTAGGATGAGAACAGAAATTGTGCTCCGGTGGCGCAGTAGCAGCAGGAGGCCCCATTAGCTAAAGTGTTACCTCAGGTTAAGAACAGTTTCAGGTTAAGAACAGACCTCCAGAATGAATTACCATAAGTTATTAACCCGAGGTACCACTGTACATCAATAATTTCAGTCTACCTTACAGGGCTGTTGTACATAAGATAATATGTGTGGAGCTATTTGAACAATTCAATTTCTAAGTCTTAATATTATTGCTACACTAATAGGAGAACTTAGCCTAAGGAACTAATCTTTATTCTTGCAGCATTACCACACATTTATGTCATTTATGTCATTGTGGCTTGCGCAGGAGAACTTCCCTGTGGGTTGCGTCTCATTGGGCAGATCTGCCTGGATCCCCACTTAGCCACCATAAGGCTCTCCAAAATCCACTGCCTGTAGCAATTGTTTTGCATTGTTGCATGTTAGGGCTGCAAAATATGGTTTAGCAAGTGCCTCCTAAGCAGTTTAATATGGTCCTGAAAGCTCCTCAGTCTTTTTCGTTGTAAGTTCCTCCTGCAGTGGAGAATGTTGCAGATTCCTGGCTGTTCTGCTGTCCACTTGCTTTCTCTTCCCGCCCCCATTGCCTTCTCCAGGTTATTCAAAGGTACCTTGGTTTCCCAGTTCCCCCTGGTAGCTGTCTCATTAAGAATCCTTGCTTGCAGAGTTTACGCCCACTTGCTTTCCCAGGACTCAGGCCTGGCCTTCTGCTTTTTGTCTCTTAATCCATCCACTGCTGCTGCAGCATCTTCCTGCTTTTTTTCCACCCCGCCTCTGTATTTCTTTTAATGCGTTGCATGGCTCCCTTCCCAGATCTTTTGGGCCTCCTATTAAGCAAGTGAAGCCTCAGCCTTGTGGTGATTCCCTGTGTGCTCCACATGTCAATCAATACCCTTCGTGGCCCTTTGTTTATCATTCCTCTGCCAGCTTGAATCCCTGTGAGCAGGCCTCATCCAAGCCAATAAGGAATTAATTTGTGGAAGCAAAGACAAGACTCCTGTGATATGACAGTGCACGTTTCATAATAAAGTGTGTTTCGTTTCCAGCAACACTGTTGGGACGCTGCTATGTTTTTGGGGCTAAGTAGCTCAAGTGGGTGGCTTTTAATATTAGGCCGTGTTTGCAGTGTACAAACACTGTACACTGTTAAGTACTTAATTCGTTCGGGAGGTCCGTTCTTAACCTGAAACTGTTCTTAACCTGAAGCACCACTTTAGCTAATGGGGCCTCCTGCTGCTGCTGCACCGCTGGAGCATGATTTCTGTTCTCATCCTGAAGCAAAGTTCTTAACCCGAGATACTATTTCTGGGTTAGCGGAGTCTGTAACCTGAAGCGTCTGTAACCCGAGGTACCACTATATGTTCATCACTGATAGGTCCTGGATTGAGGAAATGTGTGGTGCACATTTGATTTGAGATTGGAATTAGCAATGTTAACTAATGTTCTATGACATTCCTCACTGTTGGCTGGGGCTGATGGGAGTTGTACTCGAAAATATCTGCAGGACGCCCGGTTGGGAAAAGGTGTCCTCCTAGTTGGAAGACAAGCACATTTCCATCTTGGTTTGGTTTGTTTCTAGCTGCCTCAGACCCTGGGAACCTACTTGGTGCCTCTTGGCAAGTCGTGCTCGCTGCAGTTAGAGAAAAGTAGTGGTTGTGCATTTACAACCAATTGGACAGAACAAATGATATACTCCAGTGTATACTTGCCTAGTGCTGGATGTTCCCATTGCACCCTAGAACAATTGCCGACAGTCCTTGGGGCACATGCAAGCTCCAGAATTAGGAGCATTTCGAAGTCTCAGTCTAGCACAAAAGCAGATAAGAAGTCCCTGAAATGGAGCCAAATATTATTTATAGATTCTCAAATGTTTCAGATCAATAATGAATGCATTTAAAAACAACAACCTGCCTTCAAACAAGTGCTATCGTTCTAGAAAAAGAGATGCTGGAACTCACCATGAACACCTCCCTCATTCTCTTAGTATGGCAATGGCGCCCACCTGAGAGGTGCTGAAACAAGTTCCAGTTGAAAAAAGCCCTGCTTCAAACACTCTGCAGATTTGTCAGGTTTATATATTCAGGGTTATAGTTATATGATTTGATGAGATGCGCTGCGAGTTTGTTTTCAGTCTTGAGCCTTTGAACCATGAAAATGTTACAGCTTTGACCTTTTTCCCCAGCTATGCATCTGGAGGGGTAGCTTTAAAAATAAAGGGAACTCAGAAGAGGAGGAGCCAGCTGTCAGAAAGCAATAAGCACAAGAATATTTCAAAGGGTGATCAATGTCTTTTCGAATACTCAATAGAATTCTGGCCATGCTTCTGAGTCCCTAACTCTTTTCAACATGGGTGAATATTATGATGAAAACACATTTTCAATGGTTATTGTGCATGATAGCTAAAAGGAGCACCTATGCTCAGAAGCAGTCTCTCTCTTGAGTTTCAGATGCTAGAGACAAAGTCGAGGAGGGATGAACCTTCACGTCCTGCTTTTAGGCTTCCTAGAGGCATCTGCCTGATCTTTGTTATAAAATAGAATGCTGGACTAGAATGTCCTTTGGTTGGATCCAGTAAGGCTGCTATGGCTCTTATGTACATAGAGGTGGGGAAGTTATTGAAACAGTTTCCAAGAAACATCTAAAATCCAGACTTACCCCACAGTGAGCAATGGGAACATGGCTATTAACCCATCTGCTACTGCTGCTACTTGTTGTTGTTGTTTAGTCGTTTAGTTGTGTCCGACTCTTCATGACCTCATGGACCAGAGCACGCCAGGCACTCGCTTGCTTTATAGGTTTCAGGGATGAAAGGTTGACTCATCTAGTTCATGATGCATAGATTGGCAACCTGAAACCACTCCTAGTTATGTACCTTTCTACAGGTGATCTGTTCAGGCCTGGCAAGAACAATTTGTTCCTTCCCCCCCCCCCAGCCTACTGGATGCAAAGAAAGAGGGGGTGGGAAAAGGGGGTAGCAGAAATAAAAAAATTAAAAGGGGGGGAGAGAATGACTACACCCACTGGTGGCTTTGACCACATCACTGTTAGCATGTAGACTCCAGATTACTCCAACTAGGTGGTCCAACACCTGGATAGCTCACTTGGTTAGAGTGTGATGCTGATAACAATGGGACATTGCATATTCCTGCATTGCAGGGGGTTGGACTAGATGATCCTTAGGATCCCTTCCAACTCTATAATTCATTGTATAATCCAAAAGAATGTGGTCCTCTTCAGAAAAAGGGTTCTCCACCTGCCTCCACTTCCTAAATTTGACTGAAGCTTGGTGATTCAAACACTTAACTACTCTCTTTTGAACTTCTGCAACACAAAAAGGATGCTGAACAGCAGGGGCCAAGGGGGCTGGGAGATGAAAGTTTGGTCCTCCTCGAGCTCTTCAGCTGCTTCCTTCTTGTATGCAGGTGGGAGAGCTTCCCAACCCACCCTTTTCTTTGCCTCTAACCAGGTTTTTCTCTTCCTTCCACAGGGAAGACAATGAAGTACTAGAGATGCTTCCCTTTGTGTTCGCCATCCTGGGCTCAGCAGAGGCTACCTGCAGGACCGCCGCCTGCAACAACACCACCAAGGATTACTGCTACAGCGCCCGCATCCGCAGCACTGTGCTGCAGGGCTTGCCCTTCGGAGGGGTGCCCACCGTCCTTGCCCTTGATTTTATGTGCTTTCTTGTAAGTATGTTGGCAGTGTTGCTGTCTGGCTTGGCACTTGAGCTAGGTCTCTTCCCCCTGCATCTGTCGCAGAAGGAAAGTCAGGTGTCATAAGGAGATATGTCCAGTGCCATACAGCAAAAGATTCTGAAGGGAGAGGAACAGGTGACCATGCAGAGCATAGGAATCTTGCCTCAAGTGCTAGAGTCATTTGCAGATCCTGTGTGTTTTCAAATGTTTTCATGAGGACAGGAAACTTCTCTCTCTTTCTCTCTTGTTCTGAAAGTTGAGATGCTGGAAGAATCCGTGTAGATGCCAAATACTTCCCAGACATCCACACAATCTATAAGTCGCAGTACTACTGCTACTAGCACTTTGCAAAATCGTCCACAACCTTCATTAGAGCTTCTTGCTAAAGGACCGAATAAAAATTAAATTGTTAGAATAAGAGGCGTTTGCATATTTTTATGTTGTGTGCATATACTATTTTGCAAGCAATGTGGAGAACTTAGCTTTCTCTATGGTGGAAACAAAAAGCTATACTATGTTTTTTATATATCACTGGGGGCACTGCAGTTTGGTGGAGGACAGAGTATCTACTAACCATGGACCTTGGCCTTACATTTCCTTATTTGCTTTTCTGCAGGCACTGCTGTTTGTTTTTTCCATTTTACGTAAAGTGGCCTGGGATTATGGGCGTCTGGCACTGGTGACTGATGCTGACAGGCAAGTGGAACTCTCTCTCTCTCTTTTTCTCCTAGAAAGTGGAGAAACATCCTCTTTTGTCAAATAACTTCACCTAGAAGTTAGGATCAGTTACTGAAATGCAGTCCAACAGGTTAGCGTTTTGCAATCCATCCATGGGCCAGAACTCTAAAGAGGTACTTTAGGTGCACTCAAGTACTCGGTAATACCTAGTGATTTTTTTCTTCTTCAGACAACAGTCCCTCAAGTCCTATCGCAAACTTCTTTTTCCTGCAACTCCCTCAGTTTTGAAAGAGGTGTGATGTGGAGGGTTATTGCTTGATACACTCACATCCTTCCAAGTTTCCTTTTGGTGTATGCAGTTCTTTAGACGTAGCTGGTGCCCACATACAATATACCCCTTCTCCTAGCATAGTAGAAGATCCAGCCTGGCTAGTCCTGGGTGGCTCATAAAACGTCTGGCCATCCAGTCATTGCAGGGCAAGGGAGGCAGATGAGTGATTGCACAGCAACCCAAGAACTTGCTCCTCCACTATTTCCCACTAGGGATGTGGAAGGGAGTATGGACCCTCTGCCTAGGATATTCAAGGTCAAATGGCCAGCCCTTTTAGAAGGGCAAGTGATGGCAGCCTCATATATGCTAGTAGTGAACTCCTTTTCCAAGTGATGATTCTTATGTAGCAAAAAGGTCGCCATTCATGCACAAGAGGGAGCTACTAGCGGGGGGGGGGGGGGAATGGACCCAAAGTTTCCAGAAGTACCAAAATGAGAGGGGACTTCAGCAGGGGTATCCCAAAAACAGTCCCTTGAGGAATCAGGTGGGCACAGAATCTGACAGACTGTTGGAGAGGCATGATGAGCTGAGAACCCAAAGTGGAAGCATTTTATACTGCAGCATTTTATTGCAGGTTCCACATTGTTATTTTTACATACATACTTTCTGCTCAGGAGGGCAAAAGTACAATCACTAAGTATGTATCCGATCAAATAGCAACTTCTTCCTTTTGATGCCAGCAGTAAGGATTCTTTTAGTAGAGCAGCAGTTAAAACTCATCAGTATGAGATACAGGCCAAAGGTCTGTAAAAAATAAAAAAAAAGGAGGAATGTTTTGGCACAGGGGTGATAAGTCAACAGTGAGGGTGCCAAAGTGAGCGTCTCTGGGGACAGCAGTCAAAAGTTTAGGTGCAGCCACAAGACGACGCAACCCTGGTGTTGGTGAGAGTTCAGAGGCGCATGATTCATAAATAATTATCTGAAACACAGCAGTTCACAGACCTGAAGAGACAGAGAGAGCCTGCCAAGGAACGGTACACAGACGATGGGGGAAAATTGTTACAGGGTTGCAAGGTTGTGGTTGCTGCTTTCTTAGCCTGCAAAATTGCTTACAAGGCAGACAGATCTTTGATCTTTGATTTTACAGATGTTCATTTCCCAATGAAACTGGAGACCACATGCTATGCTCTTGGATGCTGCAGCTTTTTATTTGTACAGATGTTACAGTTTTCGATCTGCAGAAGTGAGAGCTGGCAAGAGGGGACAGTTCCACAGCAGCAGTTCCCTTGAGTCAGAAAGTTGGTTAGGGGAAGTCTTGGGAAAGAATAGTTAATGATAGCTTCTGTGACTGGAGGGCAGAGAGAAATGACTGTTGTTAACCACCATCCCTCGTGCATGTTGCTGCAACTCTGCGATGCAGAGCAGAGTTGCATCGTGAAGTAGGGGAAAGAATTCTTATCTTCACAAAGAAGGGAAACAGGTCAGGAAAGTGTTCTTAGAGGGCTCACCACCACTTCCGCTTGTCCCACTGCTTTCCCCCAGGGAAACTTGCTGTTTACTGCTGATTCAGAACAAAGTCAATTGTGTTTTTTTTGTGTGTGTTTTTTAAAAAAATATTAGATTTTCCACAATTATAACAAAAACCACAGAGCAGAATGACACACAAAAACAGAAAGAAGAAAAAGAAAAAAGAAAAATACATCAATGAACGAAAGAAGAAAAAAGGAACAATAAACAGATAAACAATAACAACAAACTTAATTCTTTACAAGTCCAACCTTTTAAACATCTTGGTTGACTTCCTCTAGTTCCTCCCTTCTGAGTTTCCTTGTAGTTAAGAGTAACAGCTTTCCAATATCATTATTAAACTAAAACAATTTCCAATTATAGTCCATCTTATTCACTTTTCTTAACATTCTAAATCCCATTTATTTAATTATAACTTAGTTTAATCCTAGGCCTATTTGTTTCTTTCAAGTAATTTCTAATTTTTTATATTACAATATTTATTCAAATAGTCCTTAAATTTCCTCCAGTCCTCTTGAAACTCCTCTTCTTTCTGGTCGCGGATTCTTCCAGTCAGGTCAGCTAGCTCTGAGAAATCCATCATCTACAGTCAATCGTTTTTTCTGCAGATTGACTTTTGTTCCAATTCACAGTAAACAGTGGGTTTTCCTGGGGAAAGAGGTGGGACAAATGAAAAACCGCTCAGAGCCATGCCTAGAAAGTCTGGGACAAGTGGAAAACCTCTCAGCCCCATGCTTTCTAGCATAGAAGTGTGGCTGAGCCCAGTGTGTACATCAGTGCTGTCATGAGTGACTCTACTGCTGATAAAAATGGATCTCATTTGGAAACTAAAGTGCCACCTCAATGCACAACCCGTCTTCATTGGTCATAGCTCAAGGGTCTCTCTGATCTTGGGCCTCCTGGACTGCCATCAGTGGACAGCAGCGGCGTAGCGTGGGTTGTCAGCACCCGGGGCAAGGCAAGTAATTTGCGCCCCCTAACCCGGGGCAAGGCAAGTAATTTGCGCCCCCTAACCCCTAACCTGCCGCCGCTGCCAGCTTCTTCTTGCTGCTGCCTGGGCTGGTCTGGTGTGGTTCTCTCCCGCGCTCAGCGCTGCGCTGGGCGGCCGCTGCACTGTCCCTCCCCCAGATAGTCCCTTGCTCTCTCTCCGCACCGCACGCCTGGCACCCACCCCCTCCACAGTGGGCGGCGACCCAGCGGCTCGGATCGGATTCGCACAGCCAGCACTGCAGTGAGAGAGAGTGAGCCAGGTAGGGGCAGAGAGCTGCGAGTGCGAGCGCGCCCCCCCAGATGTTGCGCCCGGTGCGGCCGGCCCCCCCTGCACCCCCCACGCTACGCCACTGGTGGACAGGTTTCAGAAAGTTGAAGCCTCATTCTCATGACAGCAGCAGCAAACCAGAAGAGATGAGGACGCAAAGAAATGGGAGTCTCAGAATATGAGAGAGAAATTAGAAACCTTTACTGTATTTTATTTGCCCAGCCGTCCCCTGCATTGCTGACTATCAACATTTCAGTTTTGTTGAGGGCCCCTGGATTTGGATTGGTCCTGGCTACCTGATGAGAGAAGGACAGCAAGAAAAAGAAATGTAGAGATTTGTGCAATATATCCGGATAGGAGGCTTAAGAGAACCAACACAACTTCAGTTGATGGGATTGCTAGTTTTCTGAGCAGTCCACCCTCTGCTGCACATTGGCCACAATATGATCTACTTAGTTGCATCGCCTCCCTGGTTCCTTTTATGATAGGCTCAGAGACCATGTAAGCATGGTAATGTCCGGAAGGCCCCAAAGGATCACCGTCTGTAATACTAGCTGATGCAGTCAAAGAGTGTATACTAAAGAAACTTTCCTTAAAATGTGCACATCTTCCACCCAGGCACTGACCTGGCTTCAGGAAGGGTACCAAAGACCTAAGAAGAGTGCAAAACAAACAAAACAGAGTTTGCCTGAAGAGCAAATGCAGTGATATGTACATAGGCTTCGTTTGCTTTAGATAAGGCTCTGCTTCTCAAGGAGCAATTCAGAATATCAGCTGGTGTATTTCAATTTGCTGTTGTGGCTTTCATCTACAGCTGTTTATCCACCTGTTGCTAATAAGAGGGCACAGAATCTCATTTCCGAGGGAGGGCAGCCACATTTGCTTTGAGTTTAAGTTTGCCTGGAGACGCACATGGCAAGGCAAATCTGAAATTAATGTAGAATAGATTTATCCCAACACCAGAGTGAGCAGGGAAACCCTGACAAGGGAGAGGAATGGCTCCAGTCCTGAACAGTTTGCATGAACCATAAAACTGAATCTGTAAGCCAAAAAAACTAAGTTTATTTTCTTCCTCTGGATGAATTTGGTGAACGATTTCCTTCCCAGGACCCCAAAATGTCAGCACTGAGAGAGGAGGACCCTGGCTCTTGATTGAAAGATCCAATTTGTTTGTAACTCTCCCTTTTTCTCCCCCACCCCCTTCATTCTTTTTCTTTTGTCCCCAGGCAGAGGCGCTGGCAGCAGGAGCAAGAGGAACGGGAATAGTACGTTGTGGGTTTTCCCAGGGTGCTTCTTCCATCCTTCCTTAATTCTCTTTTCCTTCCTGCTTCTGCTGAAGTTTTCTCCTTTTGCTTCTGAACTAATCTTCACCGGCAGAGCAGGGCTTGTGATTGTTGTCCACACTGGTCACTGCACACATAACCCTCTTGTGTCAGTCACACTACACCAAAATGGCGATGAGGGAAACTTTCCTTCAGGGAGCTCAAGGTGTCAGCAGTGGCGTAGCGTGGGTTGTCAGCACCCGGGGCAAGGCAAGTAATTTGCGCCCCCTAACCCATGGATTTGCGCCCCCTAACCCTAACCCCCAGATGTTGCGCCCGGTGCGGCCGGGCCCCCCTGCACCCCCCACGCTACGCCACTGGGTGTCAGACAAAATTCTCTACCTCCCCATTTTGCCCTCACAATGTCCCTGTGAGGTAGTTTAGGCTGGGAGACTGTGACTGGCCCAAGGGACCATCTGTAGTGGGGGGTGGCCAGATTTCTGCTGGGCAATTCTGCCACCACTTTTCAGCAATGAGAAATGTTATCTTCTGCTTTGAAACATTCTCTGCCTCCTCGGCTGACTCATGCAGGAGCCCAAAGAGCTGATTTAACTAGACTCTTCAAATTACTCTTCCCTCAGGATTTTTTTTTTTTTAAAAATATTTAGGAACCTGTTCCCTAGCCAGACATCCCATGAAGCTGGTAAGAGTTTTCCACCACTGATATGTTCTAACCAAGAACAAACGGGGGCCCAGGGCCAAGCAAGGACATTTGGCTTCCTCAGAAGAAAGGACGAGATGGTTCCCTCATCCCCCATCAACAAACAAAAGCTCACTAAATAGGGAGCGAAACCTTCCGTCATTCCTAGTGACAGAACAACACCCTTTGCTACTCCTGAGGGCAGCAAGCTTGCTTAGGGGGAAGCTGAGTGGGTCACACCACTGTGTTCTCCAAATCTTGCCACCAACATCCTACCCCCCCTTGCTGTATGTTGCCTGAGGTGACTGCATCACTCTGCCTCATGGGATGTTCTGTGTAGAACAGTATTCTTGTTGAGATGTAATAGGCACCCATTATCTGCACTTTCTGGAAAGATTTGAAAACATTTTTGTGCTGAAAATCTTGCCTATCTATGTGGATAGGTTTCTGCCATGGGTGTCTACTTTAAAAATAATAATTTCATCGTCTGTGCTATTTTTAAACTGTTTTAGCTGTTTTTATTATATTCATCCATTGCCTTGGGGCATATGTGGAAGGCAATAGCAACCAGGGGCGAAGGAAGGTGTCATGACACCCGGGCCGGGTGTCATGACGTACGATGCATGCGCTGTACATAGCGACGCCGCACATGCACTGTATAGCGGTTAGCCGCCAGCGCCGTACAGACGGTGCCGGGATCCCTCCGTCACCACTGCAGCCGCAAACACGGCTGTAGCGGCGACAGAGGGATCCCAGCACCGTCCATATGGTGCTGGAGTGGCGCCGGCGGCAAACCACTATACAGTGCGTGTGCTGCATTGTTATGTACAGCGCATGCATGCGATGCTGCACATGCGCTGTACTTAGCGGTTTGCTGCCAGTGCCAGGATCCACTGCTCGCAGCTGCAGCCGCGAACACAGGATCCTCCCAAGGCGGCTGCGGCAGCGCGATAGCTGCTTTCACCACCGCGAGCCCCCGCGGGTGACTTCTTGTCACCCCCACAGGCATGGAACCCAGGGCATACTTCCCCCCACGCCCCCCCATTGTGACATCACTGATAGCAACAGTGCCCACCCTGCTGGTATATTTGGGGGGGCCAGCCCTGCTGTGATGTGAGGTGCAATTCAAGAGAGCCAAAGAGTCAAGTTATTTCATTTGCTTTACCACATGAAAACATAATTTGGATTTCCTGACTCAGGCACAAAATTCCCCTTCAACCAGGCCTTGGTCTGATTAATATTCTATGGCCTTTTAAACGGGTGTCTTTTTGTGGGGGGCAGGTTATTGTTTTGTTTTAGCTATTTATTTTGTGCTTTTATACTGTATTTTTATCTTGTGAACCGCCCTGAGATATTTGGATAAGGGGTGGTATATGCATTTAAGAATCATAATCATAATAATGTTTCATGAGATATGGCAACGAAAGGAAAACCTGGACCTCACAATGACATGACAACCGGTTAATTTCTGAGAGGAGAGTGTCTAAACAGGCCAGGAGATGTAGTGAGGCTCGTATTTGTGTGTGGAATCCCTGCGCCAGTTGTCGGTTTTAGCTCCAGATTTGGGCAGGGAAAAGGGCTTGTGCCCCTCCAGTCAGGAGACCCACCTGCTACTCGCCACCATTACTGCCAGCTACTGCTGCCAGCACAGAGGGAGGCAGGAAGGGACAGTGGAGAGGGGATGAAATAAGAAAAGATCAGTGGTTGCAGCACCTGCTGCTGCTGCTCCTCTTCATCACCATCCTCACTCACTTGCTCACCTTCTTTGAACAATAGCAAAAAATAATTTAAAAAGGTGGGGGAGCCACAGGGCAAGTTTGCTCTTGGGCCATGCCAGGGCACATGTCTGCCAGCCATGCCGCGAGTCCCAAACATTTCCAAGATGGCTGTCTTTTATTACTGCATTTATATACCTATTTTCTGCAAAGGGGGGCGGGTACATGGTTCTACCCCTCCCCAATTTTATCCTCACAACAGCCCTCTGAGGTAGGTTAGGCTAAGAGACCATGACTGACCTGAAGTCCCCCAGCAACCTTCATGGCTGAGCGGGGGACGGACGGACTTCAAAGCCTCGTCTCCTAGATCCTAGGCCAACACGCTTAACCACCACCCCAAACCTGGCACAGCACTACTTGTTGATGAATGGAAAATTCACTAAATGGGTGTGGAGCCTACTTGATTATCATCCCACATGTTCCAGGAGTGAGTCCTGGCATAAGCAAAGCAGGCTTCCATGCCGAGCCCCAAGTCCTAGTTACCGGTAAGTGGCCCAGCCTAGCAGCTATTATAGTCTGGTCATGTTGGGGCCTTTGGCACAGGGCGTGTATTTCGCTACATAGCACTTTGCTTCCTCCTCACTGGCACAGTATGGAAGTTTCATCACACGCAGTGTTTGGTAGCTCAGTGATAGAACGCCTCAGCACTGCATACAGGCCTCCCTGGGTCCATTCCCTGACATTTCCAGGAAGGACTGGGAGTGTCCCCTGCCAGAAAATCTGGAGAGCCACTGCCAGTCAGTGTAGACAGCACTGAGCTGGGTGGATGAATGGTCTGACTCAGCCTAAGTCAGTTTCCTATGTCCATAAATCTCCTTTTCTTCTTCTGCCTTTACTACTCACTGTAGCCGTTATTCTCCCCCTCTACAGCCATATTCACACCTGCTGGTGAATCAGTCATTTATTCTTCAGTGGGAGGAGGGGAGCATATGCCCACCCCCTCACAGGCAGATTGGGGGTGGGAAGGGGGGGCGGATTTTGCAGCCCTACTGGGATCCACATTGCCACTTCTTACATCAGGCAGCGCCAAACCCACTTCTGAAATCTGCCTGGCAACATGCTGCCCTCCAGCTCCCCCTTGTGACTGTTCCCTTTCTATGTTCCCTTTTAATGCACCCTGTTGCGAACATTTAAACAAATGCACAAGCAAGTCACTATTGCACAGAATGAGCATTGGGATTAAAAAAGGGAAAGGCTACATGGTGCTCAGCTAATCTGTGTCTGGGATGTGAAGCTGTCGTACCTTTTGTTTTCCCAGAGTGCCACTTGAGTGCACACTATACAATACATCTGCAGTCCCCTTTTAGGGCTTGGAGGCATTTGGCCACTGTTCCGATCTGTGAACAGGGGAAGGAGTGGAGGCCAGACTCCATGCTGTTGCCTTGCTTACATGACTCCCTTCTCTCTTAACTAATGCTAAATGTGCATTAATCATCACGGTCCCTGCAGGGCCTTACCACGAAGCCTCTCTTGCTAGCCTCCAGACTTCTTGAAAATCCAGATGGGTCAGTTTAAAAAATATTGTCATAGAGGTTAGGCAAGCAACACCCCTCCAGAGTGTGTGTGTGTGTGTGTGTGTGTGTGTGTGTGTGTGTGTAATGAGCTGTACCTTTTGAGAACCTGCTTGTACTCTGAAAGCTCATTCTGATGGTGAGCAGAGAATCACAAGGATGGGGCAATACTTTCTCCTCTGTGCTCAAAATGAGAAGCAGGCAGCACTGCCTCCGCTGGTCCCAGAGAGGCCTCTTGCCACTCACATGGTCTGAAAAAACCAACAGGGGTTGAAGCATCTGCAGCTGGGATGGGAAACATGTGGCTCTCCAGATTTTTCAGGACTGCAACTCCGATCATCCCTGGCCCTTGGCTGTGCTGGCTCTGGCTGATGGCGGGTTGGAGCTCAACTTCTGGAGGTCACCAAGTCAGCCACCCCGATCTAGAGCACTGCTTACGTTCTGTGCTCTTGATGCCCAGAAGAAACACAATCTAGACAAGCGCTATAAAAAGCTCTACCGCGTATCAACCATTTCACATACTCTGGGGTAATTCTGTTTATCTCCTGCAATGTTACAAGTACCCGACATAGAATTTAGAGAATTTCAGCTTTCAAATACACATGCACGCATACTTCTAATCTTCTTGGCTTACATGGTGTTGGGAGCTAATCATGGTGACAATAATTAGTTAAGTGGGCAGAAATCACTGAGCTTTTAATGACACATTGAATGCTGTATACGCAATAAACCACATTATGCACTCAGGAATTCAAATTGTTTATCACCTACTGTATCATCCAGAAGATGAACAAGGTGCATTTCCAACTCCTAAAATTTCCATCTAATACAGCCTAAATTCCATAGTCAGCTGAAAGGCTTTCTGTTCAAAACTCTAGTTTACTTTATGCATACTGTTATTTCTGCCACTAAGAGTTTCATCTTCTTAACCCATGTTTTTAATTTGGTACTCTGCACTAGCCTGTGTGGCACTGAGATCCTTAGGTGTTTGCTGGAGGAAAGAGGTTTTCTTTCTGCCTTGGTAGCCATGTGTGTGCTGTCTTCTAATAATTCCATAGGAAGCCTCCCTGACTTGTCACAAGAGGAAAATGCAGGCCATCACATCTGACCAGTTGCTGATTTCATCTTCTTCTTGTTCACTCATCTCCTTTTCAGAAGACTTAACCTTCTCTTTCTCACATCTCCTGACTGTCGTATGCAAGTTTGGCTGCATAGTAGGTGATGGGCGGCCTGAATTGCTTCTGTCCAATGCATGTGGCACACTGGTGGTGTCTGAATTCTTTGGGCATCGCTGATGGGGCCTTGTGGTGTTGGAGCAGTCTGGTGAATAAAAGCCCTTCTCTTTCTCTTATGTTGCAATGTTAACGTCACTTACCTAGCAGTAAGCCCCATTGAATTTAGTAGGACTTACTTCTGAGTAGGCATGGTTAGGATTGCACTGATAGTCACAAACTACTCATTTAAAAAATAAATCATTATCATTTATTCCAGTAGCCCTTTCCTGGCCATAAAAGATGCATTCTATTTACCTCGCATGTCTAAAGTAGATTAGGTTGAGGGACCAGTAACCTGTCAAAGACCACGAGGATATATTTGGTTATTTGTATTTTAAATATTATCCCTCCTTTCTAGAGCCCATGTATCATTTCATAAGCTGCCTTTCCCCCTCAAAAATGGCCATATCTTTTCTGCTGCAAGCACATGGATTGGGCTGTTGCCGCAGGATTAAGCTCTGTGTTGGAAATTGGAATTCATGAGCAGAGCTGCATGTATATTGCAATTCCATAGGAGTGCAGAACGTAACATCTGGCATTGGGCACACACCTTAGCTGACTGGAAATATTTCAGTTTTTAACAATGCTCCTAGCTGTTAGAGCTGCTGAGACATGCTCAAAAGAATACGGACAATGCCTCCTGAAATCTCCAAGGTGGCTGAATGAGAATCCAGCAGTTGAGGACTAGATTTCTTTTGCCTGGTCTTTGCCATACTCCATGAGTAGCAAAAGCGTAGCAAAAGCAAAGAAAAAAGAGGGGGGAAAGCTTTAGAATGCAGAATAAATGAAAGTACATGTAATTTTATGTGAATTGAGAGCATCTATACAGGATAAAGACTTAAGATTTTTCTTGATGCAGCACTTTGATTGGGTGCAGAGTACGCACATCCCTGCTTATGAAGCAGCCCTGGAAGTGCATTGCAGACGCCCATGTCTGGACCTAAACCTCTAAGGCTGCTTCTGTGGAGCCCAGCATCTTGGCTCTTGTGATGGAGAGGTTTGCATTGGATCAGAGTAAAGGGAAAGAGAGGGGCAATCTCTGCTAATGGCTTTTTTCTCTCTTGCCTTTTCTCTCTCTGGACTCTCTGGAAGTTTTCTCTTCATCTTGCCTGGGGCAAACTGGCTTGCGTTAACTACTCTGGTGGCCTTCTGGTTTTCTCAGCCTCTTCCCAGGCCCTGATTAACTGTCCCCTCTGTTGCAATTCCAGTGTGGCGTCCGCCTTGCATTCTGACAGCCATGACCGCTACGAGCGCCTCACTTCCGTCTCCAGCTCTGTGGACTTTGACCAAAGAGACAATGTGAGTGGCAGGCAAAAGGAATCCAGGGTTTTCCCAGCAGCGCTCTGCAATTAAGCCCTTGCATCGAGGAAAATGGGAAATGAAGGGGTGGCGATGCTCCTTGCTCAATTTCAATGTGCACAGTGATGATCGATAGTGGGGATGTGGTGTGAGCAAAGCCCCCTAATGTTATTGATCACATAGGGCAAGTGCATGACATGCCACATAGCAGGGGCAATTTCCACTCTAGTTGGGTCTCAGGAGGGAAGACGTAACATTTGCAGCAGGAGTAGCACCCTCTGTGGCTGTAACTAAATTAACAAAAATGGATGTTGCAATGTGCTGCACAGTTAGTGTGATGTGTTATTTCATAGAACTGTAGAGTTGTCGGGTGGGGGCCGGGGATAGCCAACATTTAAGGAGTCAGTATCTAAGGTTGTCAAGTAGCTTCTAATGAAGGCAAGGTGTTTGAGCCTTCACAATATTCAGAGCTGGGACCTAGAAGAGCTTCAGCTTCTATCAAAATTTTGGAGAACAACAATATTAGAGAGCTGGCATTTCCCAGCCCAAGGGCTCTTCCTGGGATTGCATGTCAGCAGGTATGGCCCGAAGCAAAAAGTAGGTTGGACTTTTACAGCTGGGATAGCTCAGTTGGTAAGCATGATACTCTTAATCTCAGGGTTGTGGGTTTGAGCCCCACCTTGGGCAAAAGATTCCTGTATTGCAGGGGATTGGACTAGATTACCCGGGTAGTCCCTTTCAACTCAACAATTCTGTGATTTATACGATAGGCTCACAAAATTCAAAGCTTAAACACCTATTCCTTTCTAGACAAGCATGAAGCATTGTTGCAGTACAAGGCATGTTCCACCCATCAAAAGCACTTGAGGGGAGGGTGCAGAGCAGGGCCAGCAAGGGGTATCCTAGGCAGAGCCCTGAGGGGCAGATAAAGAAGCCTAGGGGGCCACATGCAAGCCTGAGGTCCCGCACCATAACTTACAATGACTTGTAGTGATTATATGGTGAGTTTGTCCATGTGGGCTTGTTTGTAACCTTACATGTCTTAGAACTGATCTGGCCGTTGCCTTGTTTCAGTTCTTCCATCTTGGTAGGAGAAGCTGGTAGATCTGAGGTTGTAGGGGCCTCTGTACTAGTTGAGAAAAAGTACCAAAGTGGGATAAAGCGAAAGAACTCTGATTAACTTGGGCTTGTTTTGTCTCCGCACAGGGCTTCTGCTCCTGGCTGACGGCAATCTTCAGGATAAAGTAAGTTCTCCCGTCTCCATACAGAAGGTCTCCCCTTCTCGTTCTTGCATCCATCACCAGCCGTCAGAAGGAGCAACATGGCAGAAGTCCTGACACCGCAGGGTCATATCACTGTCATAGTTCATTGTTAGACCAGGGGCTCTTTAGAATCGAGAGCAGGGATGGGGAACCTGATGCCCTCCAGTGCTTGTTGGGCTCCGGCTCCCCTTAGCTGCAGCCACCCTGGCCAGTGGGGTGATGGAAGCTGTAGTCCAGTAACATGTAGACAGCCATCTCTGAGCCAAAGGTCCCCAGCCAAGAATAAGGATCCTCTGTTGCTCAAGATGAAAACAGATTTCGTCCTCAGGCTCTCCTGGATTAATTAAGATGGCAGGACCTGAATCCTCAGTATATAGACTGAGAGCACTGGTGGGAAACAGAGCTGATAATAATTCTGCTGCCAAACATGAATGTTCTGTGACCCAGGGGAGCTAGAAGCAGAAGGGTAGAAATAGAGGCCAGTGAAATTTGACAGCATTTGGGCAGGGGAGGGGGGGTCAGCAGTGCGCTCACTTCATTGCTCTGAAATGTTGACTGCGCATCACACCTTGCCCCCATGATTCCTCTAGGTAGCCAGCAGCTCACCCCCTTTCTGTTCCTTCCCAGGGATGATGAGATCCGGGAGAAGTGTGGGGCCGACGCAGTCCATTACCTCTCCTTCCAGCGGCACATCATTGGTCTGCTGGTGGCTGTGGGTGTCCTCTCTGTGGGCATCGTTCTGCCAGTGAACTTCTCAGGGGACCTGCTAGGTAAGCGGAGAGGCGGCTTCTTACCATCCCTGCTGGGAAAGTATTAGACAATCTCACTCAGTGCTGGGAGGGACCTGCTCATCCTGGTGCTGGCTAAAGAGAGTAGTGGTGATTCAGACACAGGTGCATGCCTTTCTACCTCAAATAGCTCACCATGATGCAGGAAGGCCCCTTGGGAGTGCTAAAAGGAAGCAGGAGGAGAAATAATCAATACTAACAGTAATTTCAACCTGAGCTTTCTAGCTCTTCATCGCTGAGCTTTAGGACTGAGTGAGCTGCAATCTCTACATCTATCCCCAAACCTGGATGGTACAGCCTGAAAAGGAGGATATTTTACCTCCCGGCTCTAAGTGGGAAATTGGGATCAGGGGGTGCCCATCCGATAGCATACATCTTTCTACCCTAATTGCACCATTTACCCAATTAGGAGACTTTTTGGCAGTCAGCCTGGCTGTGCTCATCTGCCCGGCTTAAAGAATCATTCAAGGGATTATTTGGAATGGAGGAAATGCTTTCTTCCCAATCTTGGTTTAACTTCCCCAAGAATCCTTTTAGCATTGAAGCAGACAAAACACATGAAAGCTTATAGCATCCCTCACAATTACTAGCCCCCGCCCGCATTTATTGACCTCTTAAGCTCCAGAGAGTTTAGACCACCTAGCAGATGAAATAATCCTGAAGATGGGTGGGAAATTAGGGCCAATGGATGGGCTCCCCTGACCCCAACTGACCTCTGCCCCCTTTAGGTCCTCAGCTAAAGGGAAGCAAGGGACAGACTATTTTCCACTCTTCAGCCTGAGACTGTACCAGCACTCTACCCTCTTGTTGCCAAGTTCCTTCATGTAGGCCTCATTTGGTCTTCCATTTTGAACCAATATTTTTCTAGAAATCTAGAGGTTAATTGACAAAGCACAGTGTTTTACATAAGGGGGATTTCTGTCTAACTCTGCTTGTCTGTCAGAAGGTTCTGCCACTGCCTTGACTAAATAGTGTAGTCATGTACTCAGAAGTAAGCCCTATTGCATTCACCAGGCCTTACGCTCAGGTAAGCGTGTATAGGATTGCAGCGTAAAGTCTATCCTCCCTCCCAGACAGCTAGTCAAACACCATGCTGTTTTGAGTTTAGACTTCGTTAATGTTACCAGCATAGGGTGTCGGTCTTTCAGAAGCCTTAAACTACCAGCTTACAACCTAAAGCTCAGTAATGCAGTTCAACAAAGCATATAGCTACAATTAGTTTGATGGTGGGTTCAGTTTTTATTTCGTACTACAGTAATTTTTTAAAAACAAACAAACAGGATAATGTTTGGGTTTGTTTTCTGGTTTATAATAGAGTTATACCTCTAATAATACATTATTCTCAAAATATAAAATATAGACTAAGATAAACAACATTAAGTTCCCAAGTCTTACCAGCTCTTGTTTAAGTTGCTGCCATCTTGGAGGTACAAGCAAGAGAGCTTCAGATGGTAGGATGCTCATACATTCAAACATCATATCATTTTATACAGTTTTGTAAAATCACATGAAGATGTTAACTGCTCCATAAATTTGGCACACAATCTGAACTATCCAATTGTTTCTTGAGATTAAAATATATAAAAGAATACCCCTTCTTTCTAAATTATTATTCCTAAATTATTCCTAAGCAAAAAGTCCCATATATTTCTATTAGATAAGGTCAATCCTAAATTTATTAATTCACTTTTGGCAAGTCTTAACTCAGATTTTTAACCATAAAATTACGGTAATACGTGACCTATTGCAACTATCCTTGTCGTGACAAACATACACTTAAGTTTACAATGTTTACAATTTTCTTACATGAAATTATTGACCCTTTGATTATTATATATTGACCATTAACAAAACTTTAAGTACATGTTAATAGATTGGCCATCTGACTGGCCTAATTCCCCTCTGACCTGAGTCACAGGGTTTTGACACAGCATTCTTTTTATAGAAATGATACTGATCATTTGGTGAATTAAGTAAGTTACCAGAATTCATTATAGCCCTTTGCTCTGTGGGCAGCAGCCTCCAGGAAATGCCAGAGATGCATTTGGGATGAGATGAATTTCATTTATATTCTGCCAGAGCCCTGGGACATTTATAGTAATGGCTCACCCCATTGTGCAGATTCAAACCGCCAACCTTCTGATCGGCAAGCCCAAGAGGCTCCGTGGTTTAGACCATAGCGCCACCCACATCCCAGCTTCTGCCAACCTAGCAGTTCAAAAGCATGCCAGTGCAAGTAGATAAATAGGTACCGCTGTGGCAGGAAGGTAAATGGCGTTTCCGTGCACTCTGGTTTCTGTCACGGTGTTCCATTGCGCCAGAAGCAGTTTAGTCATGCTGGCCCCATGACCCAGAAGGCTGTCTCTGGACAAACGCTGGCTCTCTTGGCCTGAAAGCGAGATGAGCGCCACACTCCATAGTTGGCTTTGACTGGACTTAACCATCCAGGGTTCCTTTACTTTACCTTATAGTAATGGCACTGAAGTTTTTCATGGTATTCATCCTTTACAATAAACCATGAGGTACTTGGATGAAATGGTTAAGGTTGGAAGTTGAATCTCTGGAGCTCAAACAGAAGTAAATGAATAGTCACTAAATGAAGAAAGATTGAGCGTCAGCAGAAGAGCATGGAGACTTTCAAAGTCTCCCATTACAGAAGGCATTGGGCTGTTTGCCTCATCATCTAATCCAAGCCACTTTGAGTCTCTCCGATAAAAGCAGAGCAATTTTGTTCCAGCAGCTTGATGCCTTCTCATTGCATTGTACTCAATTCATGATTCTTTACTTGTTTTCTTGCCAGAGAACAACCCCTACAGCTTTGGGAGAACAACTATTGCTAACTTGAAATCTGGGTAAGTATGATATTGGGGTGCCATCAAGGAACCGTGTTTTCCAAAAAGGAGGAGGAGGAGGAAATAGTCATATTATTGAAGGGGAATATTATCTGGGAGGCTTGTGGTTTAGCACTGGGATACATGGGCTTTCCCAAAATGCAGAAGATACATTCAAGCAGAGATAAGTATTGGGCATTTCCTTTCCCTTGTGACAGGAATAACCTGTTATGGCTGCACACGTCCTTTGCCTTCCTGTACCTGTTGCTGACTGTGTACAGCATGCGCCGGCACACCTCCAAGATGCGCTACAAGGAGGATGATTTGGTAAGTCCAAACTGGCATCCAGCTAGACTTGGTCAGCTGGAGCAAGCAACCTCCTTAATTGGGTGATGTCCTACAGTAGGTCATGGCCACTGCATTTCCTGCTCCTCTGATTTTTAAGCTTCTCTTTTTCATGCTCCTTTTGCATTTGTGATATCTGTTTACTTGTTTCAAGCATGTGAGTTTGGGGAGCTTTCCTTAGTACCTTTTCTAATAGTTTGGGTTTTTTAAAAATACATTGTTCTGACCTTCTTTCAGTTATTATTTTGCCATTAAATGAGATCCCGTTCTCTTCAAACACACCCTTTCCTACCTCCCTGGTGCCAACCCAGACATTATTATCATTTATTATTTACATGATGCCATCAGGAATAAAAAGGTTCAGATATTAGCTTTGAAGAATTTAAAATCTAAAATTCAACTCAGCAGGGACAATGGAGGAATGAGATAGAGGGGAAAACAGGAAGACGAGGAATCTGTTTTATTTATTTAGAATTGCTTCTATTCTACTCTTCTTTCCTAATGAGATCAGAGTGGCATATAATTAAAAAACAGTAACAGAATATGTAAAATAACAAACAACATTGTTCTCCTAGCAGTGCAACAATAAAATTGCTAGCACATTTGCAAAGCTAAGCAGTGTCCAGTATGGTTTCAAATTGGGTTGGGGGCTGCGTGTTGAGATTCCCGCATTGCAGGGGGTTGGACTAGATGACCCGCAGAATCCCTTCCAACTCTACAATTCTATGACTAAACGTAAAGCAGCCAAAATATCCACTATTACAAAGAAAAGTTCCCTGATATGCAAACAGTGAAGTAATATGACTCTCCCAGGAGAGGGAATTCCAAGGGTTGGGAGGGTGACACAGAAAAGGCCCTATTGAGCAATGTATTATTATGGATAGCTGATTGGGAAATGAGAGGGACCTCTGTGGAAGAGCTCAGTTCTTGAGCAGGAGTATGTGGGGAAAGGCAGTCCCGGTCCCAATTCATTTAGGCCAGGAAATGGATAGGCAGCCAGTGTATTTGGTAAAAAGGAGAGTATCACGAGCCCTATGTATGACCCCCATGAAAAGCCTAGCTGCCATATTCTGAACAGACTGAAGTTTCCAAATGGTCTTCAAAGGTAAGCCCACGTAGAGCTTATGAACAATGATAAGACGTATTCCATTTCTGCTTCTCCATTTCACTTGATTTGAGAGCAGGGTACATTTAACATAAATGCATAACACATAAATCCCACAAACTGATACTTCACTTGGGCATAGTCTCCATTTCCTGCTTCAGCTGTGAAAGACCTCAGATCTAACGTTCTCTTTGCCTCTTGTCTGCTCCAGGTGAAGCGAACTCTCTTCATTAACGGAATCTCAAAGTATGCCGAACCTGAAAAGATCAGAAAGCATTTTGAGTGAGTCTTGTTCCCTGGATCCTTTAATTCTTAGCTCAACCCTCCTCTGACAAAGAAAATATATATATAAATCAGCCAGTTTTTCTTTGGATAATTTTTTAACCCAACACCGTACCTTTGTATGCCTTAGATCAGGGCTAGCCAATGGAGTTCCCTCCAGCTGTTGTTTGCTGCAGCTCCCGTCTACCTTGAGCAACACATGGGTCAGACCATTGGTACATCTAGCTCAGTATTGTCTACACTGGCAGGCAGCAGCTTCCCAGGATTTCAGATGGGGAGTCTTCTGGAGATGTTGAGGATTGAACCTGGTACTTTCTGCAAGCAAGGCTGATTCTCTGCCACTGAGTTCTGTCCCTTCCTCCTGCTAGCTAGGACTGAAGGGAATTGTAGTGCAGGAACGCTGTCTACCCTTGCCTTAGATCAGGCATAGGCAAACTCAGCCCTCCAGGTGTTTTGGGACTACAACTCCCATCATCCCTAGCTAACAGGACCCAGTGGTCAGGGATGATGGGAGTTGTAGTCCCAAAACACCTGGAGGGCTGAGTTTGCATATGCCTGCCTTAGATGGACATGGTGTCACCCTAGGACAGGGGATGCATTCACTTCTGGGCAAGCTTACAGGGTTCACATGCTAGAAATGGGCAGGGCTTCTAGACATACATCCATGTCCCTCTCTGTCCTCCATCCAGGCATGCAAGAGGCATTATTATCAGCTAGGCAAAAGCATTCGTGGAAGGTGCATGGCAAGGCCAATGAGGGGGGTGACCTGAGGAGAAGGGAAGCGCCTGGGAGTGGGGGGGGGGGAGAAGTGTGACCTGGAGAGAATTCGGAGGGCCACATTTGGCTCCTGGTCCTGCAGTCCCACACCCTCTGCCCTATGTGGTTGCTACACTTCTTAACAAGAATGATGGTCACTTATTTCTTTCAGTCCCCCCACCCCCGCTTGCTCCTACAGAGCTTCAGCATGCAGCTGAATCAAAAGCTGAAGAAGCCTTCCTTTTCAGAGTCAAATGTGCCGTTTCAAGCCTGTTCCTTGAATAGGAACTCAACCAGGTTTTGCCGACCCTGCAGGTTTCTAATAAGCTCCTGCATTGTTGTTTTTTCCTGACTGCAGGGAAGCCTATGCCAACTGCACGGTACTGGAGGCACGCCCCTGCTATGATGTGGCCCGGCTGATGTTTCTTGATGCCGAGAGGTACAGTCTGGGATTCGTAGGGAATGGGGGCTTTTAAACCTGATATGAGCAAGAAGAGGGCTGTGTGTGTGTGTGAGAGAGAGAGAGAGAGAGAGAGAGAAATGCGCAGTTTGGCCTGCCGTGAGGTTGCTTATGCAGCAGCAAGCCACATCCAGTTCTAGCACCGCTGTTCCCAAACCCAGGATCTCAACAGTAGTGGGAGAGGGTACAGTTCAGAGGTGAGGGCAGGCGAAGCCAAGCTGAAAAAAACAGGAAGTAAGGGAGCACATGATGAGAGGTAGCATGGGAGGGGCTACAGCAGGCATAGGCAAACTCCGGCCCTCCAGGTGTTTGGGACTACAGTTCCCATCATCCCTGACCATTGGTCCTGTTAGCTAGGGATGGTGGGAATTGTAGTCCCAAACATCTGGAGGGCCAGAGTTTGCCTATGCCTGGGCTACAGGTTAGAAATCATTGACTGAATCCCATACAGAGAACCCAGTAATGAAGTGTCGGTAAAGCTCTGCGTGGAGTAGCCCTTGGGCAAAATGGGACAGGAAAAAAACTGCGTGGCTCTTCCCTGAACTGTTTCCAACTGAGCTTACAAGGTTTCGGTAACTTTTAAGAACTGGTGCCTGAGTCTGCTTTTCTCCTTCTCCCTCCTCCTCCCTTTTTCCTTTTGTGTTATGCTTTTTAGATCATAGTTCTGAGGGCAGGGACAGTCTTTTATTTTCACCATCATCTGCAAGCTGCTCTACAGGGTACAAATGCTTCAAATAAATACTGTGAGACCATATGCTTGCTTACCTATCTTTTTCGATCTTACCAGCTAGACCTTGCAACCCCACCTATGAGACAGGAGGGCCTTATTAATTGCCTTGTGCCAGTAAAGGCTGAACTGCTTTTCCAGCCATAACAAAGAGACTCTGTGGCAAAGCAGAGGTTGCATCTCATCCAGTGCCACAAACAGTTTTTCCCTGTATCTGGATGTCTTAATCCAGATACTCCTGTTTTGAGGAGAGTGGAATTCCCTCCTGTTAAATACCTGTTGCCTTTTCGGTGCTTCCTGAAGACCTTCCTCTTTCAACAAACCTTTTAAGTTGAGATCCTTGACCCGGGCCACATCTGTATTGGAACTGCTTTAACTGTTTTCATATGTCAAATTGTTTTGAATGTTTGTATTGTTTTATATAGGGAACTGTTTTTTAACTGATTTTACACCTGTTTTATGGTTGTAGCTGTTTTGTTTGTCTTACAATTGCATATTTTATTGCTGCAACCCCCACTGGGAAGGGAGGGAGGGGTAGTGAATATACTGCAGGACTCAGTTGTGCAGAAGACCCAATGCACACTTACTTTCTTTCACACTCCACTTTGCCTGCTTTGTCTTGCTAGCTTCTCTGAGCTTCTTCCCCTGCATTCTTCTGTTTCAGGAAAAAAGCAGAGCGTGGAAAGATCTACTTCACCAACTTGCAGTCCAAGGAGAACACACCTTCCATGATCAATCCCAAGCCCTGTGGCCATCTCTGCTGTTGTGCCATCAAAGGCTGCGAAGAGGTGCAGAGGGGGGAGCAGGGAAATGCAGGGGACTGAGGGGTCCCTGCATAAGGGAGGGGGGTTCTTGAAGGCCACAGGTTCTTCCTAGTTCAGGTCTACCATCTAGCCCTACACTAACAGAGCAAACTAAAACCCATTTTTGCCAGGATGCCGGGGTGGATGGCTAGATTGGGCAGAAGTGTTGCTCTCCCCAGCCCTGCCAGCCTCTGCCTAGAGAGTAACACCAGCATCACTCCTACAGTTCAGAGTTTGGCGTTCCACCTGCTGAGTGGATGGCAGCAGTGGATAGCCCTGGAATGGGGTGTTCTTGGGCCACAGGGAGGAGCTGGGTCAGCCTCAGATCTCTTGAACCCTGAGCCAGCCCCACAACTATCACATTAGGTTCACTTGCTGGGCCATTTCCAGGCTGGCACAGTGCTCTGCCTGTCCCTCACCCTTACCTTCTGATCCAGCATGCTTGGCAGGGCTACAGATGACCCTGCTGCTCCAGGTAACAGCTGGGGTTAAGACTGAACCCCAGTGTTTTATCATACAAGAGCCTGTGAAACCAAAATATCAAGATGACCAGTTGGTTCCCACTCGCAGCCACTGATCCTGAATAAATTGTAATTCAGTACCACTGTGTGTTGGGCTAACATGCCATAAGTTAGCCCATTGTTTGAGGTGACGATGGGGCTGCAGGGCTTGTGTTCTCACCTTGTGCATGGTTGCCTAGGTGGAAGCCATGGAGTATTACACCAAACTGGAGGAGAAACTGAAGGAAGACTACAAGAAGGAAAAGGAAAAGGTGAACGAGAAGCCGTTGGGCATGGCCTTTGTCACTTTCCACAACGAGGCCATTACAGCCATGTGAGTGCCGGGAGCACAGGGTGATGGGGGGAAATCATTTTGATGGCTGGGAGGGAGGGAGGGAGGGAGAACATTTCCCAGAAAAAGGCAACTTGGGTGTCGTTTTGAACCAAGACGGTGGATGGATACTTTTAAAACTCTATTAATTTTAAGCACTTACTTCAAAACTGCAATGATTTTTTGGTTTCTTAGAACTGCTGTCAGACAGATAGGCAGACAGGCAGACAGACAGATCTACCAACCAACCAACCAACCAACTAACTATCATTTTCTAAAACTCCAGTCATGTTCTCCTTTTGCCTGTCTTCTTCAAAAACAGAGTTTTAGTTGTGACAAGTAAAGCAGCTGAGTGAGGCAATAGCTACTGCCACATTGCAGAGACTTGAGAAGGCCGCTGGTCCTCCTCCAAGGAAGCTTCATCTGTCCTCCCCTCCTCCTCCTCCTCCTCCTCCTCCTCCTCCTCCTCCTCCTCTTCTTCTTCTTCTCCTTCTCCTTTTCTTCTACTAGCCACAATGGCTATGTTCTGTCGGAGCTCTCATGCCTCTGAATCTTGGTTGCTAGGAATCACAGGTGGGCAGGCTGCTCTTGGGCTCAGGTCCCACAGGCCTCTGCTTGGCCACTGTGAGAACAGGATGCTGGGCTATAGATTGTGCCACTGATCCAGCAGACTTGCCTAAATTCTTATGTTCTTCTTCCTCCAGAATCCTTAAGGACTTCAACGTGTGCAAGTGCCAGGGCTGCAAGTGCCGTGGGGAACCCAAGGCCTCATCCTGCAGCGAGTCCCTCCATGTCTCCAACTGGGCAGTCTCGTATGCGCCTGACCCTCAGAATATTTACTGGTAAACAAAATGGTGCCTCTCTGTGGCCTAAATTAGGAATTCGCCATCCTGGCACCATGCTTTGTGCAGGACTCTTTCTGGACTGCATGGATGCCAGAGCGAGAGATGCTTCTCCATAGGCTTGTTGTTAAGGTAGCTATTGGTAGCAGAGTGTTTTTAAAGGGGATGCAGCCACATGAGGACTGGAGGCCACAAGGTTTTCCAAAAGCCCCTCCGGTCCAATGTCTCCAGTGTTGGGTTCTGCCACCCTTAAAGTTTGGTTCTTCGCTTTGTCTCTCCTTCAGGGAACACCTGTCCATTCGTGGCTTCATTTGGTGGTTCCGCTGCCTGATCATCAATGTGGTGCTCTTCATCCTGCTCTTCTTCCTCACCACTCCTGCCATCATCATCACCACTATGGACAAGTTCAATGTCACCAAGCCTGTTGAGTACTTGAATGTAAGACCTTGACCCGAGAGATTTGGAACTTCCCTTCTCTCTTTAGCTCCATGACACAGGAGGGGGAACGGCCTTTGAAAAGTGGCTATTTCCCTTCATATTCAGTAGGATTAAGCCCAGCCTCATGAGCTCTCCCTCTGTGGTTTTGTGGAAACAGAGCAGGAGCAAATTATATTCATGTAGCTATCAGTGCACTGTTTGTGTCCTCGTGCTGTCAGTGAGATTGCAAGGAGAAATGGCGAGTGTGTGTGTGTGTGTGAGAGAGAGAGAGAGAGAGAGAGAGAGAGAGAGAGAGAGAGCGCACCTTTGATAGCATAGAACAAGTACATACTTTTACCCTGTGAATAAAAATTCATGGTACTATGTCTTTTTGAAACTTAAGCTCATTCCTTCTGGTTCCCTGTATAATTTTAAGTGCTATAATTACATTCCTTAATGTAATTGTTGATATCTTGACTTGAGGTAGCAGCCTCTGAGGTCCATGTATTATGGGACTATAGGACCATATAACGTCTGGCTCAAATGTTGATGTTATCTGTTGGATCTCAAAGTTGTAATTCCACTGGTGGTCAGTGTTTAGAAACTACTACTTTTAAATTAAGTTTGTCTAATTACGTTTGCACAAATGAAAGGGAAATTATTGACTCAAACCAATCTAGCAAGACCGGTGGTATTTAAATGGTGTGTGTTCATGCTCAACAGCAAATGACACGTTACCAACCAGTTGCCAGCTTAATCAGCTTATATAACTAAACAGATCCAGCTGTGTGTGTGTTCTTTAATGGCACTCCCCTGTGCGATGTTGCCAGTCATTTGTTGAAATTTAAATTAATTAAACTGGCCTTAGGAATTCTGCCGGCCAATTTCTCCAAGTTAAATACAACCATGCATTTACAGTACTGAGGCCCATTAAATAAAAATAACTACAAGTTTCTCCTCAAGTAGTTTGTGGGAGATCTGAACTGACTTGCACTGAGTGTGCAATACTTTAATCAGATAAAACAAAGAATCCTTCTGCTTTTAAGATAATGAATATTTGTATAAACTTGGCTTATCTGTTAGTATACTGGTTCTTAAAATATGAGGTGGACTCATCTTAGTCAGACGTGGTTCTGGGGCATGAAATAGTAAGTGCTTTCATCTTTGCCAAGAGAACATCCTGGGTGCATTGAATATTCCTGGTGTTTCAAGTGATGTTAATTCACCTGGCAGAGGACTCTTTCACTGATGTGCTTTGGATTTGTGGGGATCACAGCAGCCTCACCCATTCTCCTCCCAATGTAATTCGGAACAGAGTTCAGAAAAAGCTGCTGCTTTGTTCCTATTCTCTTTTCCTGTGCCTGGTTTTAAGAGGAGCTCAAAGATCTCTTATGCTATTTCACATGTACAGTGGTGCCTCGCAAGACAAAATTAATTCGTTCCGCGAGTTTTGTCGTCTTGCGATTTTTTTCGTCTTGCGAAGCACTGTGTCGTGAAAGTTTTGGAAAAGCTTCAAAAATCACCAAAGTCTTTAAAAACCTCAAAAAAGGCTACCACACCGCGTTCTATGAGTTGCTCCTCAAGTCAAGTCGCAACTGTATTAACGGTGTTAAGAAGATGGTAACAAACTTGCAAGACGTTTCCGTCTTGCGAAGGAAGCCCATAGGGAAAATCGTCTTGCGAAGCAGCTCAAAAAACAAAAAACCCTTGCGTCTAGCGAGTTTTTTGTCTTGCGAGGCATTCGTCTTGCGAGGTACCACTGTATCCCAAACCACAAATCCTGGCCTGCAGTGGCAGGCAGTAGACACACAGTCGTGTGCAAATATCTTTGCATGCTTACCTACAGAATTGATTGTTCAAGCTGTGTTGTATAGGGGGATAGAAAGCAGAGTAAGCTTTGAATTCAAGAGGTGTGAGAAACACAGTGCTGGCAGCTACGACTGGACTAACATAGGTAGGCAGGTCAGGAAACCCACTCATTCCGAAACAGACCAGTAATAATCTCTCAAGAAAAGAACACCATGCTGCAATATCAATATTGGATTTATATATTTCACACACATACACATGTTATGATAACAACCCACTTAGCCAACCTAGTGCTCTGCCATTGCACACTTTGTATTCTTGGTTGCTATATATTATTCAGAGCAAGTGACTGATTGTTTCTTTTTCTTTCTCTTTCCAGAATCCCATCATCACCCAGTTCTTCCCCACCCTGCTGCTGTGGGCCTTCTCTGCTCTGCTTCCCACAATTGTGTACTATTCGGCATTCTTTGAAGCCCACTGGACCAGGTAAAATGGGGAGATTGTCTCTGCCTGCCTGAGAGCTGAACTACTCAGAATCTCTGCTTGGAATATCTCCCTCAGGCCCACCTGCACTGCACTAAGATTTGATTTCTATGGACTTTGTGTTTCTTCTTTTAGCAAACTTTAGAAAAAACTTCATACTTCTTCAAATCCCATGAATCCCTACTAAGGAAAATAATAAAAGGCAAAAATATATTGTTCCAAGTTCTTGTTTTTTGCAACTAGTGTTCTTCTCTGATATGTATTTTATTCTTGGAGTTCTACAGTATTAATCTAACAGTATATTGCAAACTACCTTGAGAGCCATTATAGGATGGAAATATGGCATATACATTTAAAAATATTAAATCAAGGAGGCCTTGCCAGCCCTTATTCACATGTTACGTTATGCATACCTTAATCTGTACGTCAGGAGGGTAGCAGCACAAGAACAAGCCTTTTCAGTGGTGGCCCCCTTGCTTGTGGAATGCCCTCCCCAGGGAGGCATGCATGACACTTTTGGTATCCTTTTTAGACACCAGGCAAGGATTTTTCTCTTTTCCTGGGTTTTTGGACCGTAATTTGGAGGGGGGCATTTGTGGCCTCCTTTAGTGGGGCAGGATTTGTTGGTCCTGCCTTTTAATTGTTAAGCTGTGCTTTTCGGTAGCTTGGTTGTTCTTATTTATTTTAATGTAACCAGCTTTGGGTCACTCTTTCAGAAAAGTAACTATCACATATAATAACTAATAATAAATTATCTGTGCCACTAGGTCTGGAGAGAACAGAACAACCATGCACAAGTGCTACACTTTCCTCATCTTCATGGTATTGCTGCTGCCTTCGCTGGGCTTGAGCAGGTAAAAGAAAGGTTGCTGAGTAGAAGAGAACATATCTGGGATGGATCCAAAATATCTATTCTTTCCTATGGTGGTGGCAACTTTCACCATTTCCCCCTTTCTCCTGTATCTCTCTGGAGTAGAGAGTGCTGCAGGGGAAAGGAGGAATTGCCAAAATCGCCTCCCTGCCAAGAAATAGCACCACTGCTGAAATCTCACCCCAAATGGATGGGATCTTGCCCAGAATTGGTCTGATGGTAGCAGCGCTTCTCTGCTGTTGGCTGTGGTGGGGGGGCTGGCAGGGCATCTGCAAGCGTGCCACCTGGGGGCTTCAGCCACCTGAGGCAACAGCCTCACCCTGCCTAATGGCTGGACCGGCTCTGGCTGTTGTACATCAAAGCAGTGAGGTTGAATGTCAACTCAACATGCACACATCTCCACACCGTGTATTTTCAATTCTCAAGTGTTCATGCAGTCTCTTCTTTGTTGTTTTCATTTTTAATTGAGAACGAGAGGGTGCATTGCAGGACATCACAATAACCTCCATTCAGATTCAAATTAGCTCAAGGAGAACGGAAATGGTCTGTTAAAACTGGTGCTGAGGTGAAAAGCTTGGCTTCAGTCATTGGGATAGTAAGGCTACAGTCCTGGGCCTACTCACCTTGGAGTAAGCAATGAATGTAGTGGAGTACACACGTAGAGAATTTTGCTGAATATTACCTTGAATGAGGCCTGCTTTCTCAGCTTCAGTTCCCTGTCTCTAAAAAGAAATATTGAATGGCCTACTTGTGGGATCTTGTGAATGGAAAGCGTGTGTGTATGTATATCTCCACACTAAAGTAAAACAAATAGGATTAATTATTATAATAATACAATTTGTAACAAAATGAGTAACAGAAACATGAGAAATGATTCCTTTGAAGTCTAAGTATCCTTTATTTTTGAAAAAAGTAAGTTACTTTAAAGCAACACTAGAAGGCCAGCATATCTAAAATGCTTATTTTTTTGTTGTCTGCTTGTAATACATGCTTTGTTTTCTTAAGTGGCTGTATTGTATAGGCGGATTTGCCTTCTATAAATGTAACCTCCTCTAGAACTGCATTAGTAATAAGACCCAGTAAATGCAAAAATAAATTAATAATGGTTCCATTCCCTCATCCTTGGCCTAAAAGAATGGAAGCATCTTTTGTTCCGCTATCGATCTCTTTTAAATCAATGCTTTTAAAGCGCTCCTTATATAAATATAATGCCAGTGTGGTGTCAGGGACTTATCTGAGGAGGGAGAGAAAGAATACACAATAAGAAACAGGGTTGGGTTGTTTAATGTGGCCTAGAGGTTTTTTTTGGTCATGGTCTGAGACAGAGGGCTGGCCTTAGATGGACTGGGGCCTTGACCCAGCATAGCAAATAGAGCCTCATGAGATGTTTGCTAACACTGCAGTTGCATCCCAAGTGCCTCTTGGTAATAATTACTCTTCACTCTTTGTGTGCTTCACTTTCTAGTCTGGATGTATTTTTCCGCTGGCTGTTTGACAAAAAGTTCCTGGCAGAGGCTGCTGTGAGATTTGAGTAAGTAAAGCCTTAAGAGGAGGGAAGTGCGTGGTTTGGTGCCATGCCTGCTGTGGCGCAAATCTCTGCTTCTCACAATCTTCTCCTCCCACCACTTCCTGCTTCCCTTGGTAGGCCACCGTCCGATAACATCAAGCCATTTAAGCATCTGCCATATGCTGTCGAAAACTTATCCTTCGATGCTCCTAGTTGCCATATTTCCTTAAATTACCTGCTGTGTAGGCTGTGAATAAGACAAAGCTTTATTTTCTTTGTGAAGGTGGGACACAGAGACCATGCTAACAGAGTCACGCCCACCAGGGTTGGGGAATAAAAGGAAACCACCGTATGTGAACCAACATGGTAACACAGGTGGATGTAGGAGTCACAGGTGTGTTAGACAGCGAATAGCCCCTAATTGGTGGTTCTGGCAGTGGGGACATCCTACACAAGGAGAAAATGACTCAGACAAAGTTGTCAAGGGCATCAGTATATCCACATCTGACCCAAAATTTACTACCCGTCTTCCATTCTGTTAATCCCCACGCTACATTCCATTTGCATTCCTGGTTGGGAAGCTTTTTTCTATTGCCCTCCTTTCTCTTTCCCAGGTGTGTGTTCTTGCCAGACAACGGGGCCTTCTTTGTGAACTATGTTATTGCCTCTGCCTTCATTGGGAATGCCATGGACTTGCTGCGCATCCCTGGCCTCCTGATGTACATGATTCGCCTCTGCCTTGCCCGCTCAGCTGCTGAACGCAAGAATGTCAAACGGGTACGTGGCTCATGCCAGCAAGAGTTGGTCCAGTCACACAATTAAGGACGAAACTTGAATCAGACACCATAAGGGGATGTTTGACTGCTGCCTGGAGTGACCCACAGACACGATTGTCTAAAGGTTTCAAAACAGTGGTGCTTTGAAGACAATTTGGGAGGTTCTTTTGCCTTGTAGTGTTAAAAACAACAACATGGAGATAAGACCCCAAAAAAGTCATATCTAGGGCTGTCAACCTATCAAATAAATATTAAATTTATTACATGCACTTTAGTCGATTAATCAAATTTGCATATGGATTTTTAAAAATTGGTTCTGGAACTAAAAGCATCCTTTTTTATTTTAGATTTTATATATTCATGTGTTACAGCAAGCATTATCTTAGGGGAGACATTTTTGTTGCGTGTGAGAGAGTTTAATTTTAACCTGTCTGCTTAATAAGGGATAACTTTTCCATTCAAAAGGTCTCCCCCACCTCAGTTAATCTTAATTAAATGTTGCAACCCAAATTATATCCTGTAGATCCTTCTGTTGAGCTCCTAGATGCTTGAATTTATATTATTCAGAAAACTTGCACAAGTATTCCACAATCCGGGTGCAGTCACTATGAAGGACCTCACCCTCACTCTCATTCCCCACCCCTACCCCAAATAGCCAGACTCCCAGGCGACCTTAAGCCAAGGATTGACATACTGAAGTGATTGTACCTTGTCTGTTTCCATAGCAACTTAGGGAGCCCAACTTCCAGTACCATCTTGGTGCGAGTGCCTCACTATGAATCTGTGGACAAGCGGACTTGTGAAAATCGTGGCTTGTTTTGACACACATCCAGAATATAGTCATGTGGGCTCCTCACTCAGACATTCATGTGTATGCCAACAGGATCTCTGTTTTTGTTCCTCTTGCCTTTCAGCATCAGGCCTATGAGTTCCAGTTCGGGGCCGCTTATGCCTGGATGATGTGTGTCTTCACTGTGGTAATGACCTACAGTATCACCTGCCCCATCATTGTCCCGTTTGGTAGGTACCACAACATCTCCTTGGACTTCCTTTGCCTAGCACAGGCATGGCCAAACTTGGCCCTCCAGATGTTTTGGGAAGACAACTCCCATCATCCCTAGCTAACAGTGGCCAGGGATGATGGGAATTGTAGTCCCAAAACATCTGGAGGGCCAAGTTTGGCCATGCCTGGCCTAGCAGGTTTTAAATACACCAAATACTTAAAGGCAGCAGACACAGATATATTCACAATGGGTTTTGTGTCAATTAATTACAGTGAGTTTCTTAAGATGACACCTGGGTGATAACATAGCAACTGACTCTAATCTTGTGATTCTGTGGGTTCAAGGTATCTTAAATGAGATTTGCAAGCTCCCATTTTGTGATTCATTTCCTGCTGGAAGCTTAGGGCAGGTACAGCATTGGGGTTGGCACTGTCAGCCACTTGCCAATGGCCTGAGGTGACCCACCATCCAGCTTCCCCTCTGTTTACTTTAGGCAAGTAACAGAGGCAGCAAGAAAGTCAGTATAGCCAACAATGCAGACACTTGTTTCAGGGGGCGGGACCCTATCTCTGGGACCCCAATGTAGTACTGCTCCAAAGATATCCTATACTAGACCTCCCCAAAGCATTGTGGGAGAATTAAAACAATGGATATCATGAGCAGTGCTTAATCTGCTGGCTATATTGGCATTTTTGGTATCTGCCTGCTTCAAGGTAAAGGGAGTAGAACAGAACTGCTGTCTCCTGGGGCCATTTTGGTAGCTTCTCTATCACCACCTGAGGCAGATTTTCTCTCACCACCACCCAAACAAGGGGTGTTTTTATCAGCTCCACTGCTGCCCAAGGAAGGGGCATCTTCTCCCACTGCCAAGGGAAGGACTTCATTGCCACTGAAGAGCTTATGTTGCGGGGTCTAATAAGGACCTCCCCAAAGCTGGCACCAGTCCTGGCTGAAGAATCTGTTTTGGTGACCCAGCAAAGTTGTGGCTAAGTAGGTAATTTTTTCAGGCTTCCTCCATTCCTCCAGAAACAAGGAAACTGCCAAACAAAGCATTGGTCTCTCATACGTCTGATGCCTGTAGAAGCTGTTTAGGAGGCACCTAACAAGTGGAAATAATTAATAAGTAAAGCTGCTGTTCATTCAGCCTTCCAGCTGATTGCTCCATCCCTTCCTATTCTGTTAGGCCTGATGTATATGCTACTGAAGCACCTGGTGGACAGGTACAACCTCTATTACGCCTACCTGCCTGCCAAGCTGGATAAAAAGATCCATTCAGGGGCTGTGAACCAGGTGGTGGCAGCACCTATCCTCTGCCTCTTTTGGCTCCTCTTCTTCTCCACCGTGCGCACAGGTAAGCAGATTCTTTTATGTCCAGTCTGATTTGCTAACGTCTGCCTTTATAATAAATCTAGAAGGGCTTTCAGCGAGACATTGATGCCCAGGGTTCAAGAAGCATGCTGAGCAGCTGCTCCACAAGCAGTGCAGATGGAACCACCTTCTGATCATTAGAAAGTGCAGTTAAATGAGTTAATTGCGTTAATCTGGAACAGGTATGGGGAACTTGCTAGATCAGGTTGTTGGGATACTGCCAGGGAGACAAAGTCCATCATGGCCCCCAAGCTGCCTCCGGACGTCCATCGATCTCCCGTAGACACGCAGTATCATTCAATTAGCGACACGAGCTCCAGAAATAGAGCGTGCATCGGCTCTGGAATGTGGCAAGCTATCAGCAGAGTTCGCATAGCGAAAGATGCACTCAGGAGAGCATATTTACAACTTTATTCAGCGTTGGTCACAACAAAGAGAAAACATGACTGCCTGCTTCAGTGTCTCAGACACAGAGAGAGAAACGAAAGCAATAGACAAAACATAAACTTCCTGTGAACAGGAAATACGCAGACTCTGTGACTCACAAAGCCTGCTCCCTTTTAAGGTGGAACGGAAATATCCTAACACAGGTACGTTCAATCCCAGGACCCATTTTTAAGTAAAACATACATTTGGGGACCCGTATCTTAATCTTTTACCATATATTTGCATGGTGGTAGTGCTCCTGTTGTGACCCACTTTGGACCAGTGCTCTAGATTTCCCTGGCCGTCAACTCCCATCATCCCTTACTGTTGGCCAAGCTTGCTGTGGATTATGGGAGATGGATTCCCACAAGGTCTGGAGTGGCCATGGGTGGAATTCACTGTGTTGAAGAGATAGCAAAAGCCCTGTGTATCGTCACTGTGATGTTTAGGAGATTTCCAGGTGGCAGCTCCATAGCATGGAAACAGCAATGGCCAACTTGAGTGGCTTCAGAAAGGGATGAGACAGATTCACAGAGGATAAGGCTATCAATGGCTCCTAGCCATGATGGCTGGGCTCTGCTTTGATGTTCAGAGGTAGTAGTGCTTCTGAATACTGTGCTGGAAACCACAGGTGCCACGAGGGCTCTTGTGTTTGGGTCCTGCTTGTGGACTTTCCACCGGCATTTGGTTAGCCACTGTGAGAACAGGATGCTGGACGTTATGGTCTAGTAGCCTGACCCAGCAGGCTCTTCTTATGTCAAAATGTGGCCTGTGAGGGGTGGGAGAGATAACAATCTGGCTCTCTGGAGTAAAAATAAATAAATATTCCCCACCCCAATCTATTGTTTCTTCATGGGCTACTGCCTCCATTTTGCTCCTTCTGAATGGGAACCTATGACCTGACACAAAGCAATGTCACTTGGAGCCACCTCTGCCCACAAAAATGTCACTTCTGGAACATAAGAGCCCCCTGGCTGTCATGGGGACCTGTGTTGCCACACATAACCATTGTATAGCCACTCTGGAGTGCCACAACAGATGATAAAGATGAAAGGATCTTCTTTCCCATCTTGGTTACACACACACACCACAAACACACCACTATTGCTGTTCAAAATGGTGAATGTTAGGTGAGTGTGGAGGGGGTAGAATGCCTAGCTGAAGGTGGCCATGTTTCAGCAGAGAAGTGGCTTACCCTGTTCTTTAGGTCAGCAGCTATAATGAGAGAGGACCAAGGCCTAAAGTAAAGCCCCTGGAGCGAAGAGCAAAGGCAGAGAAAAGAGAAGGTATATACTTGGCAACCTTGACAGAGGTTATTTTGCATTCCTCAGGGTTCCTGGCTCTCACGTCCATGTTCACCTTCGTGGTTCTCGTCATCACCATCGTGATCTGCTTGTGTCATGTCTGCTTCGGACACTTCAAATACCTCAGTGCTCACAATTACAAGGTAATTGTAGTGGAAGGGCGTTTTCAGGGCAGCCGAAAGGGTTGTGTGGTGGCTTCCTCTAAGAACTGCTTCACGTCTTTCCCTAGAGAGATTTGGAAAGGGGGCAGAATCCCAGGCACACCTGTGTCTTGAAGAGATGGGGAAAGCCCTGTGTACACTTGTATACACATATGAAGACAGCGGGCTTTCCTGTTGTGCCTCAACATGTGTACCCACAATTGGAGAAGCGTCCTGCAAGACGCAGACTCCATTCTGAGATGAAAAAAGACCACCTCCTAAGCCCTTGGTTTTTGTCTTAGTCTTCCTGCCCTCGCTGCATGTCTCAGCCACCTTAGGAGCTATGTGGGGGCTGGACCAATTCCGTGGTCCCTCCCCATAGGAGGAAAGCCCTGGCAGGGGAAACCAGCCCCTCTCGCGGTTCTTCCATTTTCAGGAGCCATGTGAGAAGAAACTGTGAAGAAGCAGCTTCCATAGTGATGCAGCTACATGGAACTTGGCCCTTCAAAGTTTTATTGCTGTGGAGGCTCAGAGCTTCTTTCTGCTCCTCTTCCACATGCAGAGCACCTGAAGCCCAGCTCTTGCACGTAGCTGCCAACGTTTCCCTTTTTTTAAGGGAAATTCCCTTATTCCGAATAGGATTCCTAGCAAGAAAAGGGAAAAGTTGACAGCTATGCTCCTACAGTGATTACCACCGCCGGCACCATTCTGGTTGCATCATGTAGAAATGTTCCCGCAGGGCAGGCAGGTCCAGAACTGGCAAGCTGCTGCCTTTGCTGTTTGGTTTCGTGCCACGCATGCTTCTGTCTTCCAGATCGACCACACAGAGGTGGATGCTGTAGATGGGAGGGAGAACGGACGGCCCGCTGCCAGCCACCCGCCAGCTCCAAAATCAGCTGTGAGTCTCCGGCTCCTCCGCTTGCCTTCTGCAACGTCGGATATTCTGTGCCCTCTTATGTCTGAGTTTGGGGAGGAGGAGGAGGAGGAGGAGGAGGAGGGAGAGGCCTTTGCAGATTTCCTATCAGGCCCCCACCTTTTTGGCTGTACACGAGCAGCATCCACGGAGCATGGGCAGAAAACAGGCCTCTCTGTTACTGGCCCTTTCTGAGATGATGGACCGGCAACCTCACTCTGCCCCTCCCCCGGTGCTGTTTGTTCACTTTCTGCCTCTGTCTCTCAGCTTGGACAGTGAAGCCAGACTGGTCAGTGCCCCTTTCTCTTCTGCTTTCTGGCTCCTAACGCATTGGCATGCTCTGTGAGCGCTGCAGAAAGAGCTGCGGCTGTCATTTCCCAACGCAAGTTAGTTTTGAGTGGGACGGGAATCTTTAATTCATTCAAGGCTTTGTGAGTCACCCCTTTCCCTGCACCCCAAGTTGCCCGAGTTCCAAATTGTCTGCAGACAAGCACTGTGGAGATGGTGTCAAAGGCTGCAGTCACACCATAGAGAGCACAAAAGAGCAGCTCCAGAGCCAAATCCTAAGTATTAGCTTCATTGGGGGCAGGGAGGAAACACACACTGAAAACAAGTGGATTGGTTACCCTAAAAATATAGAAAATAGAGAGAGCCTGTATTATCACCATCCTCATCCTCATCCATTTAACACAGCATTTTAGTTGTGCCAAAATTATTTACAATCTTTCACTCCAGTCCAGAGTCCCATGTGTGCTTTGGTGCACGTACGGAGCTTCTGCATGAGCCAGTTTCTCCTTCTGCTGTACATTGGAGGAAGACAGTCCACTTGCCCATCCTCACTTTATGTGTGTGTGTGTGTGTGGAGCTGCACCGTACATTGACGTGAATGGTGCTTTACTGGTACACCAGAGCTCTCCTTCCTGTGAATTGGGATGTTCGCCTCTTTTTGCCCTCAAAATGTATCCAGTGAGAGAGGTCACAATTCACCTTTTTTACACACGAGGAGCTAAAGCTAAGCTATCTTGCTGAGACAGACCTATCTGTTGCAGATCTGAATTGCAGCCACAGTATTACCACGAGGGGTTACTTCTATTCCTAGGGATGAAAGGCCCCTTGCAATGATTGGTTTCTGAATAAGGCCTCAGTAGCTCCCTTCAGGCTTGCTAAAGGAGGACAGAATCCTTGATGCTAAGGCTCAGGACAAGGAAACATCAGGCCCAGGCTGTGGAGGATCCTCAGGGCGGGTTTTTGAGGCTTCAGGGCTGTGTTTCTTCTACTGGATGTCTTAAGATCCTCATGAAATTAGGGCTGAGTGCTACACTTCAGAAATACTGCCATACTATTCGAACCTAAGCTCTGGAGTCACACAGCCCTTTTTTTCCTCCTTCTCCCACCCTCATTTTGCTGTCAGACAGCTATTCCACACAATACAATTCTGTGCCAGCATGACTGCTCTTGGGCTCCCGACTGCATGGCACTTACCCATCATGCTCTGCTGCCTGAGTCCCCACAGAGAGAGGAAGAGGGTGGGGGGCTAACTGGTCCATTGTTTTATTCTTCTCTTCTTTTTATACCGGCTCTGCAGCAGAAGTACATTGCCCAAGTGCTGCAAGATTCTTCACCTGAGGGCGACGTGGCAGAGTCTGAAGAACAGGGGTCCCAGGACGAGGAGCTCATCAACCCCAACGGCATAAACGATACAGATTTCCAGTCGTGCGAGGACAGCCTGATAGAAAACGAGATCCATCATTAGGGGCGCTGGAATGCAAGAGGGGGCAGGGGGAGTCCTGCGAGCTGACGAGGCTGCTGGGCACCGGTTGTATATGTGTGCGTGAGAGGGAGTGAAAAGCTGTGTATGTGTGAGAGAGGGAGCGAGACCAAGGAAGCGGAAGAGAAGGCAGCACGAGACGAGACAGGTGGCATCCATTGCTCCTTCCTACCTACCTGGGTGCTGCATTATTGCTCCTTCCAAGATGGGGAGAGAGAACCTGTCCCGTTGCTCTCTCTGTATTCTTCTCTCTCTCTCTCTCTCTCTCTCTCTCTCTCTCTCCATCCTTTAGTATGGGAGGGGGATTTCTCTTACAAGCTGCCTACCCTGAACACCATCTGAAACACCCTACAAACCCAAGAATGGAGCAGAGGAAATGGCCTGCCTCTTTGCTCCATTGTGGCCAGGATGGGGAGCAAAAGGAAGGTGCAGCAGAAACCAGGCAAAAAATTCTCCTCCTCCCAGGGAGCCTGTCCTCCCCCATTCCCTGCTCTCCTGTCTAGAATCATGAACACTAATAATGTATTAGGTCTGAAAGCGAACTGAGCTTTAATCAAGGCACTGAGTTTCCAAACAAAGAGTCGAGTGGCTTTGAACCTGGCTGGGATCAGGGATTCCAGCCAAGCGGAGCAGTTTTGTTTTGTTTTTAAAAAAAATCTGTGTGTAAATCGCCCTCCATGCCTGTGCATCAGTAAGCATTTCATCTCTGGTGCCCGAGGCACAACCCTATGACGACTGCGGTCTCGGCCAGCCCTTTCCACTCTGTCTCCCCAGGGAAGGCTGCCAGAGCGTGGTCTCAGAGCCAGAGGGATGCTGCGTGCAGGAAAGGGCCCCTGCTACCAGGAATGCTCCTCAATGAAAGCCGCAACTGGAGAGTGCCACCCAGCAGCAGAGGCTGCCCCCGGGCAGCTGCTTGGGGCAAACGCAGCTCCAGTGGCAAGAGAGCCCCCTTGCAGGGCAAGGGGAGCGCAGGGGGATTGGCAAGGAAGATTGTCCCAGGCAGGCTGGCGGTACTTCCCTTCTCTTCCCTCCCTGTTCACAACTCAAACAATGATGGTAGTCCATGTTAAGTGAGACCCAGGGGTCTTGAAGCAGAGGTGCCGTGATTTGGCTCTGCAGCATTTTTTTGCATTTTTGTTTTATCTTCAAAACTGACTAAAACCCAAGCCGCCCTCTTGCCTGATCTAATTTTTAGGGAGGCAGAGGAGGGAAAGACGGGTTGGTTTCCTGAAGACTGCTAGAGGGGGCAAGACCACAGGATCCCGGGTGCCGTGAGGCTTCTGAGCTGGTGCAGCTGTGCCCCGGGTCCTTGCTTTTGAAGCCTCTGGTGCATTTTTAGTAACCGGCAGCTTGGCTCCTGTTTGATCAGGCTCCCCCAGCCCCAGCCCCGCTGCCTTGCATGTGACTCCAAGGAACTGCCTTATGACTCAAGGTGTCGCTGCCTCCTGAGCTTTCCTTTTCAAAGGGTTGCAAGAGAACCTTCCATCCCACCCATTGCATCATTTGCACAGAAGGTTGGGGTTGCCCAACTCATAGGGCTCTTTTGTTTTTGTTTTGTGCTTCTGTAAGATTGGCATGAGCCAAAGGGTGGCACGGAATCCATTTCTGTGAGCACTTTGAAATCTATTCAGAAAGGTATTTACAGCCTTGGAGGGATTGGGCAAATAAAAGGGATACAGGTGGAGCCAGGAATGGCCTTTGAGGTTGTTTTGGGGGATGTGGGGAAGCAACGAATCCCCTTTCACTCTTGGCGAGTCTTGCCTTCAGCTGGGGACACTGGGCCTTTTGTCTAGGTTGAGTTGGTTCTTATTCTTGAGTATCTGCACCGGACCCATTTCCCAAAACACCAAAACGAAAACCCACACACAAACAGAAAGAAGGCTGTGCTGCTATTTAGCTGTCTTAAATTTTCTATTCCCTTCGTCTCCACAACACTGTCCCTCCCCTGCCTTAAGCAGTCCTTGAGGGATGCTGCCAGTGTTACATAGAAGCAGAGACCAAGAGACCAACCCTCCCTTCGAAGAGGAAGTGAATGCAATTTGCTGTCTTTGTTCTTCCAGCCAGGAACCTGAAGCATTTTCAAAGATGGGACTAAATGTCTTGATCGCTTTTAACACTGGGCAGGGCTGTGGAGGGGGGGCTGATCCACCTCCATGGGGGAAAGCAAGAGAGCTGAAGCGCAGGCACACAAGATGCCATCACGATTGTGCAAAGTCACAGACAGTCACGAGTGCAGCCAAGAGAAGCCCTTTGCTTCCCGCTTCTTGACTTAGGAACCCCAGAAAACGGGGAGAAGGAGCTGGACTTTGTACTCCCTTCTGGGAGGAGACACGTGAGTTTGAGGAGGAGCCCAGTTCACCCTTGGGAGCTGGGCCATAGCTTGGGGGGGGAGTGTCCAGGAGTTGGGGGGAGGGGGGAGGAGCCTGTGTTCAAAGTGACCCTTATTCCTCCCCCACCATGATCATCGCCGCCGCCACACTGCTGCTGGAATGCATGTGGGTTTTATTTTTAATTGTTTAAGGATGTTTTCTTGGATACTGTCTAGAAATAGTATGTGTTCCATGCCAGGGTTTCCTGTCCACACCTGTACTGGTCCCTTGGCACCATATTCCTAAGCCCAGCCACCACTGCCCTATCTGCATCGGCCCCACAACCTCAACCTGGGATGACTGGGATGGCCCTGGGATCTCCCAGTACATACAGCTGCAGCGCAAGGCTGGCCTATGCTGGTGATGGATGGATGTGTTGGGTGCGGACCACTGGTGCCCCCCCTTGCAGGGAGCTGTGTTCTAACTGGCACTGTGTCTGTGTAGAGATGTGTATAATACCCTGTATATATTTGTGTAAAAAAAAGGAGAAGAAAAAACAGGAACTTATCATATTTCTAGTCTCTGTGTGTGTGTATTTGGGGAGTGGTGTAACGGGGAGTGGGGGGGGGGAGACCAGCCTGCTGGTTGGGGGAAAATGAATGCTAGCAGATAATATCAGAATTCGAGGTGTGTTTACATTCCCATTTACTGTGGCTGGTGATTATCTTTTTCCACAAAGTCGTCAAGAATAGCATCATCTGGATGGAAGAGAAGTTATGCGTAATTATTTAAGTGGGGGTCACTGTAGATCTTAAGGAAGCAAAACGGGACATTGGTAAGGCTACCTGAATGCTGTTAAGTTATAATTAGCCCTGTGAAGTGAAGCAGGTTGATTAATTGGGAGAAATCTGCCCCAAATTTGGGGAGGGGAGACATCATAGAAACATGGGAAGCTACCTTATAACAAGTCAAGTCAGAATTTTCTACAACAGTAGTGGGGAACCTGCAGCCCATAGGACTACTTCAGTCCACCAGGCCTTGCCACTTGACTTGTGCTGTGGTTTGGTCCAAATCATGCCCATGTTTCTATCTCCTGATGACATCGTGACAGGTAAACCTTGGGGCCCAAGTGAAAAGGAAGAACCAGAAACATGCTCTGCTTTGCAGAGGAAGACATTTCCTTGGCAGCCTCAGCTTGACTTCAAGTCATGGTTGCCGCTACAAAACTGGAGGGTGCTCCCAATTCTTCCATTTCCATTTGATCCTGAGGTTTACTGCTGGAAACAGGTCCATGGGTGCAGCAGAAGGGTTGCTAAGCCAAATAAGTGCTTCTCTTTCCTTGCCTTCTCTGGGCATCTGCTTACTGCAGCCCTAATGAGAGAACATATATCCACCATTTAATTTAAAGAATGGAGCAGGCACCTTGCACCTAGAGAGGTTTATCTGCCATAGTGTTGATGAGCTTGACCAGGACTTCCCGGGGTGTGGAAATCTTTTGTGCCCATCTCCATGTCTCAACCTGTCAGTCAGTCACTTGGTGCTACAAACTACTGTAGAGTGCTCTGTGCGGTGGAACCCTTGAGGTTGGTTCGGAAGCTGCAGCAGAATTCTACAGCTGGGATGGCTGCTACTATCCAAGGTCTATTAGTTTAGAAAGCCCTAAAGAATATAAAGCCCTTAACAACTTGGGACCAGTGTACCAACAAGATCGCCTTGCCCACTGGACTGCTTCAATCGGCGGAACGGGCACCAACCCACATTTGTAGGAACCTGATTGTTTAATGTGGCAGCAACTCCACTTTGGAACTCCCTGCCTATTGAGGTCAAGCAGCTGCCTTCACTACTCTTTCTGGCAGCTGCTAAAAGCATTCCTGTTTAGGCAAGCCCACTCAGTTGTTTAGAAAGTCAAGGTAATTTTAAATCTGTTTTTAGTATTTTAGCTTTTGTATGTTTTTAAGTGTGGCTGAATTTTTGTTTTGTTTTGTTTTATCGTTTTGTAAACCGCTTTGAGTTTTTTGTTTTAGCAATGAAGCCACGATAAAAAGAGTAAAGCGAATCGCGAAAGGATTTCGCTTATAAAAATACCCATTGAAACAGCAATGTATTTTAACTATCGAGGGAGCCATATCTATACCCGCCTCTCTTGGCGCATCCCGGACTAAGTAATGCCCGGGATGCGCCAACAGAGGGAGCTCGCAAGTTTCGAAAAACTGATTCGTTTTGCCAAGAGCCGAAGCTCCAGTCCCGTTTGCCCACCGAGATCCCGCAGCCTGGGCGGGGCGGCGGCTCTTTAGGGGCCTAACCAGAAGCTGGTTACGGGCCAATCGAGCAAAACTTGCGGAGTCACGGCAGCTCTTGCAGCGCACGCTGAGTCATGGCGGGGGGCGGCAAGCGGCAAATTCTACAATTAAAGGCGCTGGGTCTCCAGCTTGCCGGCAAGCCAAGCCTCTCTTGCCCGCCCCAAACTGAGCACGGAAGCTCTCCAAACCGAGCCGGAGGGGCGAGTGATCTTTTCGAGGGTTCATCTCATTGGCGAGGAAAAGGCACTTTGCACATTCCTCGCTCAGAGCCGGTGCCACGTTACTCCAAGCATCTCAGCCCTCACCAGTGCGGGAAACTAGTTCCGGGGCTAAGCGCGAGATGCAACGAAACCCTGAGTGGCAGCTGCTTCCCCGCCCCGTCGGTCTGGGTGTGGCGGCGGCGCGGCCAGCATAGCTGAGGCCTGACTCAGAGAGCGGGGCTGCGGCTCCAGAAAGGCGCAGTGGATCCGGGCCTTTGACTAGGAGGGGGAGGCGGGCTCTTAGACGCCGAAGTTTGTTGCTTCCGGGCTTCTTAGCTCATGGTTTGCCTTCGACGTGCCCCCCAAAACACACACACACACACACCCGTCTGAAATGCGGACTAACCGAAGTGCAATCTCTCTGCTCTCTGTACAACTGCCCGCTGTGCCCATCATTGATAAAGCAACACAATGCACACATGCAATTGTCATTGTTTCTGAAAAGATACTTAAGTTTGTTAGAGCTTTGTTGCTTTGCCACATACATACATGTACCCTCAAAGGGAGAAAGATACTTCTATGTAACTCTTGACTTGCCACTTTATGAACAAGGTTCTCAATTTCCTGCAAGTTGCACAGAATGTAGTACAGTAATGTATTCTGGAAGTATGTACTTGATTCTGACCAAACTAGCATTGGTTGCCAGAAATGAAATATATGGGCATTGTTTTCAGCTCTCCTGCCCCACTATAAGAAGCTTCTTTATGCTGAATCAGACTACAGTGGTACCTCGGGTTAAGTACTTAATTCGTTCCAGAGGTCCGTTCTTAACCTGAAACTGTTCTTAACCTGAGGCACCACTTTAGCTAATGGGGCTTCCCATGGCTGCCGTGTGATTTCTATTCTCATCCTGAAGCAAAGTTCTTAACCCGAGGTACTATTTCTGGGTTAGCGGAGTCTGTAACCTGAAGCATATGCAACCCGAAGTGTATGTAACCCGAGGTACCACTGTATTTATCTAGCCCAGTTTTGTCAGCCCAGCTCCTCAGGGTTTTAGGTGGGGGCCTCTCCCAGTTCTGCCTGGAAATGCCAATGTATGTTCTCTAACCACTGACCCACAACCCTTCCCCTGATGTCCTTCTCACCAGCCCTCTTTGAACACACCTTTCCTTTCAAGTGTGGCAGGAGGAGGGGGTTGCATTAGACTTGGCTTACATATACTCAAGCCACACCTGTGGCTTTTCCATGCAGAGCTCCTCCACATGTTGGCCAGCACCAACATGAATGGATGCACGCATGGAGCAAGCCTTAACATTGTTACCATCCATCATGCACAGACACAGCTGTTATTAATTACCTCCATGCTTCCACCAAGCAGTTCCTCCCCCCACCCGTTTTATCCTTGCAATAAGCCTGTGAGGTAGGTTAGGCTAAGGGATGCTGACAGGTGGCCCATGGTCACCCAGTAAGCTTCAAGCAGGAAGGCTTTGAATCCACATCTCCTCACTTTTAGACCGACACTAAACAACACACTAACGACACTAAACAACTTTATGATATTTTAGTAACAGATTTGGGTGCTGAGTGTATGTAGCCAAAACAGGGCTACTTCTGAAAAGAAGAAAGTACAGGTGCAATAGAATAATAGAATTGTATAGCTGGAAGGTACCCTGAGAGTCACCTGTTCCAACCACCTGCAATGGAGGAATCTCAACACATAGCCCCCCATCCAGTTTGAACCATACCAGGCCCTGCTTACCTTTGCAAATGTGCTAGAAGTTTTATTGCTGTGCCACTAGAAGCTGTCTGTTGTCCCATCTAACTCAGTATGGTCTTTGTTGATTGGCAGCAGTTCTCCAGGGTTTCAGACAACATTCTCTGCTAGTCCTACCTGGAGATGCCTGGAATTGAACCTTGGAACTTCTACATCGAAAGCAAATTCTCCACCGCTAAGCCACGGTCCTTCCACACAGTCAGCATGCTCAGAAGAACCTCAGTGTTTGCAGAATTTATTTTTTAAAGAGGGGGAAAGGCAAAAGCCCCTTGTGGTTTCTCGTCAGTGTTTACATTACATGTTACATTGTTGGCACTTGGTGGTAATATCAGTGGCTATATCTTCTTAGTTGAAAGAAATCACAGAGTGCAAATTGTTAGATGCAACACAGCACATAGTAAGTCACACCTAGTCAAAACTAGAAGCATAGCATGTAAGCAAAAATGGATGACCAGAGAGGGAAAAATTGCCCTACCCTGCAGGATAAACATACTTCTGAGAAGCCACCTGCCTCTCTCTCCTTTCCAGTTGCTACCCGCTCCTGTCGCCTTGTCATCTCTATTGTTCTTGTTACCAGGTGCTGTGCATTGATCTGCTCAAAGACGACATGGAAAACAAATAAAATGGAAGACTCAGGTGAGCTTAAACAAATAGGGGAGGGAGAGTTCCCAAGCCACTCTCACCCAGCCACATTTCTCGGTGTTGCCTTCCCCAGCTCACACAGCAGCACCCTGCTTGGACATTCCTCTTGGATTTAGTACCACAGGCCAGCACAGCATCCCTCTGTTCACACCCAGCCAGACATGTTGCCAGTGATTTTTTACAGTCCAATAAAGACATGTATGCATCCAAACAGTGTAATGAATACTGGCTGGGTATGCACACACAACTCCAATAACATATACACTGTAAATCCAGCTGGGATGACAACAGTGAAAAGACAAGGGAAATAAATGATGTGCTTATTCCATTTTAAAGAAGAGACATGCACTGAGATTGCAGTCCCATGCACATTCCCTGGGAGGACTAGGTCCCACTGCATATTTGCCAAGATCCCTTCTAAGTAAGCATGCAGAAGATTGGCAGCATGACTATCTACAGATAAATTGTCGTTTTAAAGCACATTGTTCCTCTCTCTGTGGCACTCCCATTGCTCAACCATTATCTCAGCTCTCATAGGGTCTCAGTTGTGTTCAGATGGACTTCATTTGGGCTTCAAGACCAAAACAGGCTATATACACATGTGGGGTTTGAAATGCACAGGGCTCTTTCTTTGCAGAGTTTTTGTACGTAAGTGCTTTGCAGTTGTACATATACACTAACATTGCCTAAATCGGGAGTTACTATCCATGCTGTCTGTACATACAAGTGGATGAAGAAGAAGAATTTGGATTTGATATCCCGCTTTATCACTACCCGAAGGAGTCTCAAAGCGGCTAACATTCTCCTTTCCCTTCCTCCCCCACAACAAACACTCTGTGAGGCGAGTGGGGCTGAGAGACTTCAAAGAAGTGTGACGAGCCCAAGGTCACCCAGCAGCTGCATGTGGAGGAGCAGGGACGCGAACCCGGTTCCCCAGATTACGAGTCTACCGCACTTAACCACTACACCACACTGGCTCTCACTGGATGAGTTTACGAAGCAAAGTGCATCAATCTTTTATTCTGTGCTCTACTCACTTAGTCTATCCACCCACCATAAGTACTGGCAGAAACCAAATAACACCTCATCACACCTGTGAACATGCAGTTCTTCAATCAGTGTATCATGAGGTCTATTCCAGCATGAGGCGACCTAAGAGAACACTCTCTGTGTACACGGCAGCAGTGCTTGAGAAGTGCACTCCCGGCACAAAATGGATTAAACCCGTTCCTTTAGCTCAAGTAGAACCCCCCAAAATGTGCCTGTATTCATCACTGTATGCACATTATCACACAATGTGTACATGCCCAAGGAAAAACCTCTCTGGCTTGAATGGAGGTCAAACTTTTAGAAGGAAGGCCTGGTTATTAGGGTAGCAGCAGACACAAGTCTTAAATCAGAGGGTGTAAAGATTAATAAGAACACTCATTCATATTTCAAGACAGGAGAAATTCTCAGCAAGGTTGAAATGTCCGTTCTTGGTTACATTCAAGATCAAAGGGTGGGCAGTGCATTTTAAGAGTATTTTAATCTCATAGAAATGTTTCTTTATTTCTTTATTTCTTTGATAAAATGTATACAGTGCTTGGTTGTGGAAAAAACCTCAAAGTGGTTGTCAACAAATTCCAGACATCATCCTCATCATTTATGGAGTGCCATCAATGTGCAGTATTTAAGGACAGGTCCCTTGCCCTAAGGAGCTTACAATCCAAGCATTGACACGGGGGAAGCAGGGAGCTCAGGAAAGAAAGGAGGGAAATAAAGGCGGAAGTAAACAGAGAAAGAATGTGCAGTTGGTTCAGTTAATACATGCCTGGGTTTGGTTACAAGGTTATTTATTAATATTGCTGCTGCTGCTGGGGGTCATTTTGCATACACTTAAACTGATTGCCACAGACTCTTTGCACTCCATTGCCTTTTAAGTTCAGTCTTTACATTCCCACCACTGCTTCCATCCCTGTGTACCTAACCACTCTGTGCATCTGATGCAGTGGAGCCCAGTTCACCAAAGCTTGCTTTGTGCTGTAGTAAATATGTTATCATTTTTGGTTGTTGTTTTTGCTGCAACACAGACAAAACTAACCACCCAGAAATAATAATGAATTATTATCAGCATCACCACTTGTATGCTGCCTTTCAAGGTAAAACCTCTGGAGGCAACTCACAACATACCGAAGCCATAAGACTCATCAGAATCTGACATAAACCCACAACCTATGCTAACCAAACACGAACACATCCAAATGTATTATCCTGGCAGCAGTCTGAAACAGCACAATAAATTACATATGAATCCTAGTAACTAAAAATAAGATATGGAAAACACCCACTTCCTTATTTTTCAGCAGAGATTTGTGCTGTTAGCCTGTCGATAGAAACTTTTCAATATGATAGAACCAGTGACTTGGGGCGGGATAGGAGGGCAGTGGGAAGGGCAGGAACTTATGAGGATGGGATCTGAGATACAAGAGGAGCGATATCTCCGTTCCTGAAATTGCACCCTACGGGTGTGAGGCGCCCAAGGTCAATATCACACAACTTCAGGCTCCCCCAAATCTCTACCACCAACCGATGATGGTGATCTTTGGGGGTCCCGTGCATAGAGGCCCCTCGCGTATAATTGTCCTGTCCCGCTCCTTGGGCAAAGAGAGCCCGAGAATGGCTGCAGGCTAACTCTTGCACTTTTCCAGGGCAGGTTTACGATGCCTTGCACCGGACGGCCGGGGTGGGGCGGGGGTCAGCTACGCCGTTTGCCCGGGGCAATCAAAGATCGGCTTTGCTTTGGCCCCTTCGAGGGGTTTTTGTTCCCCCCAATGCAGAAGGAAGCGGGAAGGGACCCCGAGCCGGATCTGTGCGGCGCCTTTAACTCCTCCGCCCTTGCCCCGCCCGCCCAGGCTCAATCTGAGCCTCCTCCGCCGCCGCGTGCACATCCTGCCAGGCCAAACCCCACCTTCCCCGCGCGGAGCCTGGAGGGCGGCAGCCGAGCTCCGACCGTGCCTGGCCGATGAGCAAGTAGCAGGGCGTGGGGAGGTGCCCGCTTGCCCGAGGAGGGAGCGGACCAGAAGCGGAACTCCGGCCTGGCAGAAGTAAGTGGCTCTGGGCGCTGGAGATTTCCTGCAATCCGATTAGGAGTTGCTAATTCCAGCCCCTCCCGCTGCTGGCAGCAGGGCCTCGGGATCCCCCCCCCCCCGGCGCCGCCACCAGCCCTGCCCCGAACTTTCCGGCACCAGGCCAGGTAAGCGACGGGCCGGGGGGGAGAATTTGGCGTCTCCATTACTTGCAAGAACTTGGAGGAAGCCAGGGAGATCTTACTTGCTTTTTAGTCCAGGGAGAAGAGTGGTTTTTTTTGGGGGGTGCTCCTTTTCTGTCCTTAGTTAAGGAAGAATGTCTAGGGGAGCAGCGACCTTCTCTTAAATGCTGTCTGGGGGGGGGGGATACTCGATCTACCTCAAATCTCCGATCCAGCATTTTATACCTTGTATGTATGGCTGGAAGCAGATCTGGGTGGGCGCCAATTTATGTGTAACGCTCTGCACGGCCTGGGCTGGGCCAAGCCAGAAGGAACAAGCAGGATCAGCCTGGGACTCTGGAAGGGGAAGGCGCATTTGTTGGAGGATCCCTTTAAAGCTAGCCAGCCCACTGGCTAAACTCCCTGGGGATGCCCTCCCTACACCCCTTGCGCTTCTCCAGTAAGCTTGTGCAGTGAAATGCCGGGTCTAGAGAGAATGATCAAACGCTGCTTATCTCCTATCTGATTTTTCTCCTGGTGTACCTTCTTTTTTGGGAATGAAGCCAAGCAACGGGAGGCGGCCTGGGAAGAGCATCCTGTCTGTACCGATATATTACTGAGCAATTGGGAGAATGAGCCTGTGCTTTGTAGCACAAAGCAGAATTATTAGCATTCTGGGCTTAGTAGCTGGGTTCATATTCAGGACAGGGTCATAGCAGGGATAGTCAATGTTGTGCCTCCCATACGGACTGCAGCTCCTAAAACCCCTGACCAGTGACCATGTTGGTTGGGGCTGATGGGAGTTGGGAGTCCAACATGATCTGGAAGTAGGGCTGACCCAAGGTATTTTGGCTCCTAAGGCAAGCCAGAAAATGGCACCCCACTCCCTACCAGGGAAGAAGGGGTGTGTGGAGATCTACATCAGGAGCAAGGGGAGGAGTAAATATCTACATTGGGACCTGCTGCTCCTGTGGATTTGCCGCCCAAGGCAGTTGCTTCACCTTGCCTCATGAGTGGACTGGCCCTGTCTGGAAGATGTCATGTCAAGACGCCTCCTTGTTAGTTCCTTGCTGTTTTTAATTGATGTTGTCTGTGCACTTCAGGAGGTGAAGCACTGCTGAGGTCTCTCTGGGACCGCCTCTCTATATTGCACATAAGAGCACCCACGTTTTTCATCTGTATTGATGATAAAAACATAAGAAGAGCCCTGCTGGATTAATCCCAAAGGCCCATCTGGTCCACCATCCCGTTCTCACAGTGGCCAACCAGATGCCTGTGGGAAGCCCCTAAACTTCAAATACTAATTTGAAGCACTAAACTAGTAGTTGGAGACCTAAAAGTTTAAAGAAGTTAATAGCTCTTGCTTTGTTTACTTATTTCTACAAGCAGAGAGCCTTTCACTTCTAAAGCCAACCACTAGCCTCTAATCTGGCCAGTTTAAGATGTCCTAATAGCCACTGTTGACTTATGTCATAGTTATGTCCTATATAAACAACTAAATACGTGCTTGAAGTATCAGTGGAAAAATCTCACTCTACTCCTTGGACTGTGCATCTAGGCATCCAAAACTGGCCACTTTTTATGGACTTGGAGGCAGTGGTTGATGACTAATAGTTTCTCTTTGGTAGATAGAGCCCAAGGCCAAGGTCCTCCACTGTTGTGTAGGAGCACACATAGGATGGCCATGCTAAACTGTAGTCTGTTTTTTCTTACAGTCAATACAGATTCCCAGTATCTGTTGGGTTTCCATGGAGTTGTGCTGCTGACTCCTTCAGCCTGACCCAGCTAAACTAGCGTCTTCCTGCCCTACTTCTCAGGGCTGGAGTATAGGACTACAGTTCCCAACAGACCCAGACATGTTGGGAGTTGCAGTCCAAGAACATCTACATGTCACCATATTTGTTCCCCCCATGGTCTCATGTAGCTACTGCATTCTACTGTGTTCCTCATGGATGCTTTTGTTCTCATGCTGAGTGTTCTTCCCCCCCCCTTCACTTTTGTGGCTCTGGAACATGAAGTACTTTGGGATGGCTGGATGCAGCTCATGGCTGCTCTTTGAGCTCTGCTGGATTTACTGTGGCAATCTGGAGCTTTTCCTTTTCGCATATCTAGGAGGAATAAACATGGGGCTTACTGTACTTGCACTGATAGGGTACCTCCATAACATTAAAATGGAAGCTGCTGTGGATTTTCCTCCTGCAGTGTAAGCCAAGCTTCCTCCTGACTTGCCAGTGTAAATGACAGTCATACACACTAGTTCATTCAATAGTCACTTTTCGCTCTTTACCATGTTTTGACTAGGCTGCCACATTTTGATTTTTTTATTGTCATTCATTGAAAGTTTTGTTTCCCCCTTAATTTGTTGAAAGATTTAAAAGGTTTGCAAAATACACTTTGGGAATTTGGAGGATAGGGAGGAACTGGGGAAGCCATCTTATGCTGAGTCAAACCATTGATCCGTCTAGTTCAGAATTGTCTACACTGAAGTGCAGCACTTCTCCGGGATTTCATAACAAGGATATTCCCAGTCCTACTAGGGATGCTCGGGATTGTACCTAGGGCCACCTGTTGATGCTCTGCCGCTGAAACGTGGTTTGTTGTGCCATAGACACCAGCCAAGCAGTGCTGTGCAGTCTGCTGCTGCTGCAAAAGTGTTGAAATGGATTTTTCTGATCTTGGCACTGGAGAGAAAAATGACTTTAATATAATGGAAGGAGTGTACTTGCAAAACAATCTGCTGCTGAAATGCTTTGTCTGTATGCACCCCTGAAGTGTTGGGGTGGAGGGAAAACCTTATGTCAATGGTAGCTTTGATCAAGACCAGTCCTGTTTTGATTTGGCTGCAGTTATGGAGTCTTGATTTAAAGTGAAGCAATACACTCCAAGAAGCACTGGGTGGGTGCTTCATACCACCGCCTTATTCCAGAGGTGCCTTCTTCCAGAGGTTGTCCAGAGTTACTGGACAACAACTCCCATCACTGGACAACAACTCCCATCACCCCTGACCATTGACCAGGCTGACTAGGGCCAACAGGAGTTGGATTCCCAACAGCACCTGAGGGCACCACGTTGCCTATCTCTGTCACTAGAAGATCTAATGCAATCCAATGAATCTATATTATTTGCCAAGGAAGCACAAGCACCCAAACTAAATTATGCAAATTATCTAACAGTCAGTATAAGTTTATTGTTCTAGCCAAAAGCTATGACAAACCTGCAGCATCAGTACCAGTAAAACAATACAGAGCATATGTCCATAATATGAGCCAGCACCCATGATGTAAGAGAGAGGTTGCCGGAAACAACAAACTTAAATCCAGCTTGATTTCAAATCAAACCTTTGAATCACCACAACAATTTATAGTGATTTTATCTAACTCCCCTTTCCTGTTTTTTTGGTTTTTTTATTTGTAGCCAGTGCATAGAGGGACACTCTGTGTTTTACAAAGCTATTTTTGTTGCTCAAGGGAACCGGACCATTTCTGCCAGGGTGTACCTGCTTGCTTGTGTTCAGGGGGTGCTAACTTGAATAAAATATGGGGGGCAGGTAAGTCCCGCCCCGCATAATCAATCACATGACACAGCACACGAACACCATTTGAATGGCAATGCCCATCAACTGCGGGGGGGGGGGGACCTCAGCCCCATCAAATATTTTATTGGGGGGTTGAAGCCCCCTTGGCCTCTAGGAGTTGGCGCCTATGCTTGTGTTTATGAAAATTAATAATATCTGCATATATTTCCAAATTTATTGTTCTTCCAGCATTCAGGTTTCCGATCTACTGGACCTTTCTCCTTTTATTGATTGGGGGGGGGCTGAGAGTTGGGCTGACTAAAACAGGCATAGGCAAACTCGGCCCTCCAGATGTTTTGGGACTACAACTCCCATCATCCCTAGCTAACAGGAGCAGTAGTCAGGGATGATGGGAATTGTAGTCCCAAAACATCTGGAAGGCCGAGTTTGCCTATGCCTGGACTAAAAGCATGTGGTAAATGGAACCTGACTGGACACCATCAGCACATTCCTGCTTTCCTCTGCAATTGTGAGGGCTTTTTAAAGAACAAGTGCTGTATTGTATGAGCTAGCTGATATCTACCATGTGTACTAAATCTGTAATGTCCATGTTATCCCCAGTTGTGTGGGGTGCCAGCAATCAGGACTGAGCCACTGGAATGGACTGCTTGACTATTGCTTTCCCCCTTCCCCTTATAGGATGCTCTGGTGGCATTGTGACCGCCTTCTCCTTTGAGCGGTTCTGTGTAGAAGCCCTTGGCCCAGGGTGTTCGTGCTGCAAAGGAGCTGGGAAAGCAGGAAGCAAAGTGCTTCTTGCACTGCAGCAGGCGCCTGGTATTAATCCCGGAGGGTGGCAGGGAGCCAAGACCTTCCCAAATACAGCAGAATGGTGTAGTGACTGAAGAGCTGGAGGCCATCACTCTGCCTGAGAAAATGCATTGTATTCTAGCGGTTAGTTGCTATGTCTTCAGTGCTAGATAATCTGGGAGCTGCCTGCTGACATAGCTGAAATAACTTGCAGATCACTGGATATAGCTTACAGCTGTTGATGTTTCTGTCTCAGTTTTTTAGGTGTAAGGACAGGCGGCATTTCTCTTGGGGAGGAGTGGGAGGCAGGCAGCTTCTGCATCTGCTTGGGCTGCTCTGTGTCACAGCTCCACACTCCCATCATTTTCTCCATGGCCATCTCTAGCTCATGCACAAGATTTTGCTAAATGCCAGCTCATGCAACCCAGCAAGTCCTCCAAGGGCTAAGAACTGTTTCTTGGACTGTACCACTTAGGCTGCAGGTGTCAGTCCTCCCTGCAGATATTAAAGCATGTAAGAAAGGAAGCTGTGCTGAGTGGCAGGCAGTGTTTCACCTTGAGGAACATCTTGAATATCCTTCCCTCCCTGGATTGACTCTAGACAGATTCTGCTTCCGATGAAGGTCTCGGTGTTTGGACTTGAATGTCATAAAGAGGCCCGCAGCTCAGAAATCTGCAGCCCAATACAACCCTTCTCACAGATCAGAGTCCTGGTAGCTGGTCATTTTGGGCTGGCACAAGGGGAGAGGGAGAAAGCGAGGAACTCGGGACTTGACCCTGCTGCCAGTGCTGCAGAGGAACGCTGCCTCTGGGAAACTGCGCAGGACTCTCTCTGCACTGGGAATTCAGAAGTACCATTTTTAGTTTGCATGTACAGCAGCAGGAAATTGAAGTAGCAGGAAATGTTTTCTTTCTGCAAAATCAAATGATTGTGCCAGCTATGTGAAACCCATTTCAAAGCTGCATGGTCAAGAGAGTGTGCTGAAAGGCTGAAGGGAGCGGCAGGGAAAAGAGGGTATCCCTTTCCATTTTGCAAATGTTTAGAAGCTGATTAAGCACTGGCTGATCTGATTGGCAGAGTGCCTGGTTTGGGGGAATATGGGAGACTGGGAAAGTGACTGAATTAAACAATCCAAAATAGTAGCCGTATGCTAGGACTTCAGAAAAGCAGGAAGGCCTTTTCTGGTTATAGTATATAGACTATAGCACTTGATCTCTTGTGGGCAGTGGGGGGAAGTGTGACTTTGGGTTGTTGTTTTTTACAGAGGATGGGGGTTTGTTTGTAGGGCCACTTTAAACCTTCTTAATCGGAACTGATCGTCCACACAAGGCAGTATTTTGGAAACTTGGGGACTTAAAGGAAAAACATAGAATCGGCTGTTTGTTTAGTAAAACTGGGCATCAAATGATGGGTTGGATTTGGGATCCTGCCCTTGTGGGTGCCTGCCCCTTGGTCTCTAACCCCTATCCAGACAGTGCCTTGGGAATGAGTCCAGTGAGTGTGTACAAGATGCACGAAGGAGGAGAGAGGTGGCCCTAAAACAGGCATAGGCAAACTCAGCCCTCCAGATGTTTTGGGACTACAACTCCCATCACCCCTGACCACTGGTCCTGTTAGCTAGGGATGATAGGAGTTGTAGTCCCAAAACATCTGGAGGGCTGAGCTTGCCTATGCCTGCCCTAAAGCATCTCCTGTCATCTTCTGCCTCCTTGCACTGACTTAAGAAGCAAACATACGCTGAAAGACGCATCGCATCCAAGGGGAAAAGCCATAGCTCAGTGGCGGAGTGCACACTTTGTGTGCAAAAGGTCCCAGCATCAACGCCCAGCATCTACAGGCAGAGCTAGGAAAGGCACAGTCACTGCCAGTCATTGCTGGATGAACTAAGGATGTGATTTGTTATAAAGCAGCTTCCTGTTATCCACATTGCCTCTTCCTATGGTTTTCCTGGATGTCAGGCAAAAGACCAGAACACAGGTCTGCCAAGTTCACCCCTAGTGGCTGTACCACTTGTAAAACCCCATGGCACCTGCCAGTATAGCCAAAGCCAGGCAACATTTGTGGTAATGGCAATAGGCAGCTGGCTGACATTTTGTTAGGTTACTTATACTTCCGTGAGAAAATGAGGAAAGACACATTCTCATAATACAGGAATTGATAGTGGAAAATGTAAAACACGAGAAGTTACATATATGGGTCTTTTACCTTACCACCATGTTTGCAGACAAACTTTTTGTTGGTGAAACACTTGTGCCTTACAGCAATAATAGCTACTGAGTTGTGCTCTGGGAACCAACAGAAGCTAACTGTGCTAATGTGCAATTAAAATGTGCTACCTGCATCTATAAATACTGCCAGCAATTGGTTGCTGATATGATACCAGTGTTTCTAAGTACTGGCAGCAATGTAACTGGGAGAGGCTCTATAAGGAAGGTGAGCAGCTGTTTCAGCAGTCTGCCATTATAGCACCTGAAAAGTCTTATTTGTCATAAAATCAAAACAGTTTGCACTATCAGAACAGAATTTGACCCGCAAGAGGGAGAAATCTGACCTAATGGCAAGAACCTAGCATTCATTATTTCTTTTAACTTTGTGAGATGTTGAAGTTTGTTTAAAGGTTGGATAAATATTCCAGAGCTATTTTTGTATAACTTTGCATTAGAGTTCATCCTGGAGAAATATCCTCCCTATTTAGCCATTCTGATACTGCATAATACATTCTTAAATTAAGACAGTTTACTCCTCCTCTGCTAACAGGCTTTTGTACAGTTGAGGTTTTTCTGTCTTTCTAGAGAAATGCCATTTTTGCCTACCCAAAGAATGGCATTTATTTATGAAGCTTTATTATTTATGTTTCACCTGTTTAACAGAATATTGACCTAGAGACTAACAATAAACAGAAAATAAATCAAAATATAAATGAAGACATATTGAAAATGCATATTGAAAATGCACATACCTAATAAATAAACAGCAGAAAAAAAGACAGCAGTAATATATGCAAGCACTCAGATAAAAGCAGCCAACTGATAGACTGAAATACAACTGAAAAGAAAAAGTTTTTGACTCCCAGACGAATGCCAAGAGTGGGGAATCCAGTGACTGAGAGTGGCCATGAAAAAGCTCCTTTTTTTGTCTATATATTGTGTCAAAAATTCAAGGCTATTGTGGAAATCAATTCTAGATCCCATTTTAAAGGAATCATTAAACTAAAAGGGATGCAATTTGTGTCTTGTTGGCCAGATTGACCCTTCCCTAGCAGAACAGCTTCCTGACAGAAAAATGGCTGCAGTCTATGACAATGTGCATTTGTAGGAGGGAGAAAGGGAGCTGCACTACGTCTATGTGTGGCAAGTGTTTTCATGTGCTGCAACATGCTACAAGTGCACTATACACAAGGGTAAGTGTTAGTGTATGGCGGCTAAGTCATAAGCGAGCACAATATATGAGACAGAAGGCGTTTTCCTGCTTGTGTGGCAGTGAGCTAAGGCCAGGTGTCGTAACTTAATGCTTCCAAGCTTTTTAATGCGTGAGTGAATTTGTATACACCTTAACTTTTCTCTTAAACAAAGAGGTGGGTGCTTTTTGTTTTGTTTTTGTTCCTTCATACTTAACAAGTGTACGGGGCTGGAGTTAGTCTACTTTGACTTGCACTGTTGCATAATGTGTCTCTTTCTTCTCCCCCACCCTTTCCAAGCCACTACTTTTTGTCAGCTAATAGCACAGGGTTTCCCTCCTACATATTGTTCTCAAATAGTTTCCTGTGTGCTGGCTGTCGCAGTTGCTTAAGATAACTTCAGCCATCCGTTCTGATAGGGGGCTGCCCACAGGGCCATGAAATGACAGGGAGTGGGGCCTGGCTCTGTCACAGGATTGTTCCAGGATCCTTTCCTGAATTTTCAGTTTTAAAAGTGTCTGCCTGCTCCTTTCACTTTAGATTGTGGTTTCTGTAAAGTTTACAGAAATGTAAAGGGGAAACATGCAGCGTTCTATCCAAAAGAGCTCAATAAGAAGAAAGCTTGCATTTTCAATGTTATGACCCACAAATGCAGCCTGGTAGCGTAACAACAAGCATGTGGCGCTTGATTTTAATAAAACCAAAACAGAACACAAATGTATTATTACAATTATTTCATAAATTAAGGGTTTCATCCCATACTTATGCCCGCTGAGGGGACCTGGGAAGTGGCTTAAGTACCATATTGGGAGGTGATCCAGTCACAAGCTTCCCATCTCATGTGCCTCAGTTTTTCTATGTGCCAGACCTTGGTCCTGTGGCTGAGGCCAGCATTAGGGACACCCTGTATCTGAGGGGGACACACATCCATGTCATAATTGTCTAAGTGTGCTTTCTGTTAGCAGACTGACTTCTTTAGAATAATGAAACCACAGATCAGGAAACGGTTGCTATGATGAATATGAATGTGCCTGGTGATTCCGTTTCACTCCGCCCTGCCCAGTGAGTCAGAGAAAGAGCGAGAGAATGACTGCTCTGGTCTGCATGGAAATATGCATACCTTGTGGGGTGAGAAGTTGTGTGAACTTGTTTTTTGTGACTTTTACCCTGGTGTAAACTAGTTTTCTCTCTCATGATAGCTGCCATGAAGTCCCAACAGTATGCTAGAGGCAGTTAAACCTTGGTAAGATATTTGCTGACATCGAATATATTGCCCCAAAGCATAGTTCTGAGGTAAATTTGACTTTTGTCTTTCAGAACAAGCAGCCTAGAGGGGTATGTAGAATGCTTGAACTCAGCTGGGAGTAACTCTGTGACAAATGTTGTTTTTGAGTGTGGAAAGTTCTGGTTTGTGAAGGGTGGCTTTGTTTGTCTTCCCATATAGGAAACTATGTGTGTCAAATGCATGTACATCGAGGATCTATTTCACTATGTGAATGGAAGGCGGAGCCGGTGGTGGATTCCTGTAGCATGTAGATGTACAGATATATGTGCACACAGTGAAATGGGCACATCTTCATGTGGGTTGCAAAATACTGTAATTTCCACACAGGCAGTAGTGAATCTCTACCATTTACACAGGGACCCTGTGGCCCTCCCAATGATCTTGTACTCCAGCTCCAATCATACCTGACAATTGGTTATGCTGGCTGAGGCTGATGGATCTTTTTGCATTAGAAGAAAAAGCGTTTTTAAAAAATACATTGTCCCAGAATGCTAGCTGAATAATGATGACAGCATCACCTGGAAAAAATACAGCAACTATGCCACTATCAATGATAATGCTCCCAGTTGCTGGACATCGCAAGGGGGAGAGCGCTGTTACACACATGTCCTGCTTGTTAGCTTCGCATAGCTGTTTCTCACCACAAGAACACAATGCTGGGGTGGATGGGCCACTGGCCCGATCCAGCAGGACTGTGAACCGCCCTGAGACCTCCAGGTATAGGGCAGTATATAAATTCAAATAATAATATGTTGAGTGCAATGTTTCTCAAACTTGGGTCCTTTGCTGTTGTTGGACTACAATTCCCATCGCCCCTAGCAAGCCAGGACCAGTAGTCAGCAATGATGGGAGTTGTAGTCCAACAACAGCTGGGGACCCAAGTTTGAGAAACACTGGTTAAGTGGGATTTTGTGACTCGAGTATCTATTACATTTTCTTTCTTTCTTTCTTTCTTTCTTTCTTTCTTTCTTTCTTTCTTTCTTTCTTTCTCCCTCCTAGGGTGTCTTTATCTTCTAAAGTCTGCCAAAAAAACCCCAAAAAAACCAAACTGAAACATAACCCAGGAAATTTGGAAGTCAGGATGATGTAAATATTTTCATGCATATACAAACACATCTGTTTTGCATGGTATTTCACTAACACTTGGTTACCAAAGAGTGCTTGCATTTCTCTGTAGTCTTTTCAGGCTTCTGAGTTAGATGTCTGAGTGTGGGGTGACTGGTGGCACTCTTCCCAAAACGCTCATCTTGTCAGATGAGCTCTATTTGCTTCTTTGGTTCTCTCACTCCTGCCAGAGCTGGGGCTTCTGGGATTTCTTTTTGCTGGGTCTGCAGGCATTATTGTCTCTGGCCTACAGCTGTGCGCAGCTGGAAGTCATCTTCTTGTGGGCTGCCCAGAATGTCCTAACCTGATCTGTGCTCAGCCAAGGGTGCCCCCGGGCTGTGGTGAGAGCCATTTGCTGTGTTGCATGGCCTGCAAGCCAGTGTGGTGCATTTGTCTTCGCATGTGTGGAGGAGCCCAGGTGCAAATCACAACTTGGCCTCCAAGCTGGCAGAAGGCATGAAAGTGGATGACCTATTTCTTGGGTTGTTGTGAAGGAATATTGAGAGGACTCTTTCTGTGTGTGATCCTGAGCTCCTTGTTGAAACAGTGGGGTATATAAATGGCTGGGAGTATCTTTGACAAATACACCCAACTACATAGTTCAACCAACGGACAAATATTGTTCACAAGAGCATGAAGGCTTATTCAGTCAATGCATTGCCACCTGTAGTCTGGAAGAATATCTCCGATTTGGTGATTTGCCCTCCCCAGTATGCAGAACAAAATGGAGACCCCCCCCCCCCCGCCGCCAGAAGACAGTACTACTGTTTTGGTTTTTCCTGATTAGCCATGAGGATTAGGACTGTTTTAAACTGTTTTTCAGTCTTTGGCTTGTTTTTTTCCAAACTATATCTTATAAATAGATATTGCACTTCCTTGTTTTACCTGAAACGCAAGACAGGAATTTTAAAATCTATAATCATAGAAACATAGATGCACATGCTGGATACCCTTAATCAGCTTCAGTAATCTGTGTCTCATCTCACAGTGGATTTTTATTTTGGATTTTAGGAGTGTTGCTGAGGTATCCGTTGCCCGCGCCCTGCTTGCTGTGCCATGATGCCTTTTGGAGGAATGGCTGCCAAACTAGAATGGAACCGTTTGCGAGCTGAGGGTGTGGGCCAGCACAACAATGCTGTTAAGTTCCTCGGCCAAGATTATGAGACCCTGAAGCAGCAATGTCTGGAGAGTGGCACATTGTTTGAGGACCCGCAGTTTCCTGCCATCCCCTCAGTCCTTGGATTCAAGGAACTGGGGCCAAATTCTTCCAAAACCCGCGGAGTTCGCTGGATGCGTCCTTCGGTGAGTATCTGCTTGAAGGGACCCTCGGAGGACCACTTTGACCTGCTGTTCTGCATTCTGTTAGCAGCTTTTATTAAAAGCCTCTTTGTTCATGGATCCAACTCTAGCATTTATTATCATTATTATTTGCTTCTGGTGGCCTCTATCCATCTTCTAATTAGTCCCGCTTTTCTCATTTGGACCTCTTGCTTTGCCCCTTCAATAAATTTTAGTTGAGTCTGGGATCCAGCCCAACTTTAAATGCATCTGAGCTTGCAGAAGACCGCCTAGTCTGCAAAAGGGGTGGAGAAATGCCAGACAACCAATTTCCACACTTGAATATTCACTACAATAGAACTCTCTAGAGTTCCCAGCAGCTTCCTGTGTATCTATGGCACAGGCCCATGTTTTGGAGCCATTATTTAGTTGAATAGGATTATCCATTTTGCTTCAAGGTTTGGGGTATGTAGCAACATTTATATGCAAAGTCTCCCTCTAAGCTTTGGTATGGCCTGGTTCTTGGTGAGGAAAAAGTAGACTGTAATAGGGCATAGGAAGAAATCCTTTGATACAAGCATATGAGATCTGCACAAGCTGGTGCAAACCAAATCATAGATGATGATATCCAGTCAGCTGTGGACTCACAGCCTTAAACAAACTGCTGTCTCACATTCCCCATCTATTATAAGGTGACAAAAATGCTGGCCTGCATACTGTATTTTTGTGTGTATAAGATGCCCCCAAGATGACTCCTATTTTTTGGAACCCAAAATTTAGAAATTGGGCCAGAGCCTGAACCCAAGCCTGGGCCATGAGAGCCAGAGCCCAAACCCTGCCCAGACCATCTGCACCAGAGTCCGAGCTTGAACCCGAGTCCAGGCAGCCTGCACTCAACCCTGAACCCCTGTACATTCACCATCTGGGTATAAGACAGCCCCCAATTTTTGACTAAAAGTTTTAAGCAAAAATTGTCTTATACATTGAAAAATACGGTATTTATTGTAAACTTGGTACAGTCCTTATGTTGATAGACTATTGTTTCCATCATCTCTGACCATTGGTCATGCTGGCTGGAACTGATGGGAATTGTAGCATCTGGAGGGCCACAGGTTAGCCAGCTCTCTCTCCCCCTCTCCCCAACCCCGAATGGATAGATGAGAGTGTATTCAACTAAGTCTTTTTCAGAGTACAAATTAATGAACATGATTATGTTGGGTCCATTGATTTCAATGGGTCTACCCTGAGTAAAGCTTGTTTGAGATTATAGGTGGTATTCAACAAGAAGAAAACATTGTCTGCTCACATTAATCTTTTTAAGACAATGAATCCTGACTTAAACATGTATATTAATATAAGCAATCCACATGTCTACTTGTTCACATGTAGAAAGAACAATGAGATATTCAGGATGAGTGGTGGGTGTTTATGCTTCCAGCCTTGAAGTATAAACCTCCTTGCAGCCATAAGGTTTTGCAGGTTCTGCTTCCGTTGCCCATCTGTTAATCCCCACACCACAGAAATATAATTTTAAAATGTGTGAACACTTGCAAATATCAAGGATTTCCCCGAAACGAAAGTTAAAACTAATGATTTCTGGTCAGAAAATAGAGCACCACAAAGCACAGTCATAGTGTATGGCTCAAAAATGTATTATCAGCATTAGATTGCCAGCATCTGCCTGAACTGGCCACCTGTGCTTTAAATGGTCTGGGCGATAGCAGCTGCCTGGCTCAACTGAACTCTGATGCCAACCATTCATTACTGTACTTCAGTGCCAAACTGAACCAGGAGATGTTCCAACATAGAGTCTCCCTTTAACACCAGAAGCTTTCACAAGTAACAGAATACTTCATTGAATGTGTTAGATTTGGTTTCTAGATTCTGCTGGTTTTTGTTTTTGTAAAAAAAAAACAAAAACAACCCACTCTCCTTTTTTCTTATGGCACTTCAACTTTTTATGTAAAGCACTGCAAAAATAGCTCCTCAACAAAGAACTTGTGCATTGTATTCATTTCTCACATGCACAGTAAAATAAAGGAAAAGAAAGTTGCAAGAATCCGAAGATTTGTGTGTGTGTTCTTAAACTCTCCAGAATACATTTAGACCAACCCATAACCCAAGAAACCAGAGCAGGGAGGTCAGAGAGAGCAGGAGATACTAAAAAGAAGAGCAGCACTGAAGTGGGAGAAAGGAACACAATATGGATCTGAGCCATAACAGTCTTTGCCTGTCTCCGTTTAAGGACGTTGCATTCATGTTGTGTATTCAGTGCTCCCACTATGTGTGTACGAGTATTCTGAAGAACCCAGCCACAGTTTATATTCCATTTTTCTTTCCTCTTTGCAGGAAATTGTGGATGACCCTCAGTTTATCGTTGGAGGTGCTACAAGGACAGATATCTGCCAGGGGGCTCTGGGTGAGTAATGTGTGTTTATCCCTTGGATTGAGAGGGGAGCTGGAGGCACCATAAATGAATCTTAAGAGCAAGAAAGGATATTCCAAGTTTTCTGGTGATTTCAGATGATGAGGAATTTGCTGATACGGAAAACCTAGAGAAGAAATAAGGATATTAGGAATCCAGGTCCACTGGGAAACTGAGGCTGCATTCAGACAGCACTTCATTCCTTCGCCCTCGTCGTCGTCCCCCCCCCCCCCCGGGCAAAGTTTATGTGATCTTTCACATAACATAAAAGCCACTTCTGGAAGTGCAGTGGAAGTTTAGTGGTCATTCCCCTATTAATTGCTTCCAGGGAAAATCTGTTTGCAACACCATTAACTGGGGGGGGGGAAATTGGAGGATGAAATTTGGGGTGGTATGCCAACATAACTACTCTTTCCTGCCATTTTCGTGGGGGAATCGTAGCACACATGAGCATAAAGGGTGGGATTGTGGGAACATGTCTGCTGTCTGCTTTTGTGTACCACTATGCTTATGGGAGTGAGTGGAATTTAGTGTGACCTGGCAGTCAGTCAAAAAGCCACTGTTCCATAATTCAGCTAGCAATGCAGTGTAAAAGGAATGTCAGAAACTGGGACAAAAGTGTAACCAGGAAAACTGGTTCAGCAATCCCCACATCTGAATGCAGCCTGAGTTGACATCTGTTTCCTTATTTATCAGGTGACTGCTGGTTGCTAGCTGCTATTGGTTCCTTGACTCTCAATGAGGAACTTTTGCACAGGGTTGTACCCCATGGACAAAGCTTTCAGGAGGACTATGCGGGCATCTTTCACTTCCAGGTAAGGCTCATCTTCCCCACAGAAAGTGCTTCAAAGGAAAGCCTGTCTCACAGGTGGATGGGACCCTAAGCTATAGAAAACGTAAAGCTGCAAACAGAGGAAGCCTTGGCTAAGAAGTGGAGTTATTCCTGAAGGGGATAGTTGCCCTGTTCAAACCTAATGTCTACTGTCCCATTACCTCAACCCAATCAGCAAAGCTCATAGCTCAGTGGTAGAGTACATGCTTTGGATGCAAACCATCATCAGTTCAAGCCCTGGCATCTCCAGGTAGAGCTGGGGAAGAACATCTAAGACCTTGGAAAGCCACTGCCAGGCAATATATATTTTACTAAGGTGGTGTAGTCCTCTTCCAGTTTAGTGGTGGAGCCTATTGAGCCTGAGCACCATTCTCAATGCTGCAGTACCCAAGGTGCAGGCTTCTTCAGGAGGAAGAGCAGGATATAAATGGAGTTGTTGTTCTTGTTATTATTATTATTATTATTAATAGATGGAGTGATGGACCATCTTGCTATGTTACTCTGCCTTACCTCATTATTATTCTCCGACTTCTTATTCTTCAGATCTGGCAGTTTGGTGAATGGGTGGATGTAGTGATTGACGATCGGCTGCCAACCAAGGATGGAGAGCTAGTGTTTGTGCACTCAGCAGAGTGCCAGGAGTTCTGGAGTGCTCTGCTGGAAAAAGCTTATGCCAAGTGAGTGCTGCCTCAGCACAGGTTATGCCCTTTTGTGTGTTTTTTCCTAGCAAGCCCTGGTTTGGATTTGTTTCCGTTGTTCTTCAACTCACCACCCTCTGTAACTGGGCCTTCCGGTTTCCAGGAGGCCAGGTTTAAGGCTAGCCTACTAACCGCCAATTCTCTTTGCCATACAGGCTGAACGGCTCTTATGAGGCCCTGTCGGGGGGCAGCACCACAGAGGGCTTTGAGGACTTCACAGGTGGCGTGGCAGAGATGTACGATCTCAAGAAGCCGCCTCGCGACTTGTGCAGGATCATTTCCAAGGCTCTTGAGAGGGGATCCCTGCTTGGCTGCTCCATTGATGTAAGCAGTGCCCCAAAGAGGGAGCTTGTGGGATGTTCCAGATGTGGAATCAAAGTGGGGCAGCAGAGGGAGATCTGGCTTCCCTAATCTGGATCTGATATTTGTTCTGAGGCCAGGGATTCGGTCAATGGAAACCTGTCAGAATAGAACAGTAGAATAGACCCAAATGTTAACTCAAGTCTCTGTTTGGCTGTGAAGTTCCATTTCACATGTTCATCTGTAGCAAGAGACACTTGGTTGGTGCCCCCTTGTGTTAGGAAAGTGTACGGACAACCACCCTGTTTCAGGCAAATACAGTACAGTTCAGGTTGCCATTTTCTTTTAGTCTTTAGTTGAGTTCTTTTAAAAGTTAGAAAACAATGACGTGAAAAACAGGGGCATATGAATAGTCTTGTTATGTGCAAATTAGTCAGCTGCTGGTCTGAGATCCATTCTTGACTGAGCATTGTCTGGGATGTTTGCCAAACACACATCTTTTAATTACTCCTATGTTTTTAAAATGCGAGGAGAGAAAAACAACATTGGTGACCACACACAAGTGCACACCAGTCTAAGCAAGAGAAATGGAATGGTGCCAAGTTGTGAAGGAGGAATGCCTCTGAGCCAAGCATCCTACGCAACAGCTTTTCCTTTCTCCATACCCACTCTTATTGCCCTGCATGCCTGCTCACACATTGTCCACAGGGTGACCTTCTATAAATGTCCATTTGTGAGTTGTAATAAGTCATCCCCCCTCACACGCCCTACTGTTGTGGAGAAAAGCAGTGCCAAGTAAGCCAGAAAAATGAATGAGGGCTACATTCCATATATATATACACACTATGATCTAGTGGGCCAGAACTAATCTGTACATTATCAGAGCATTTACTTTTCACTGTTTGTGTATTCTGAATAATACAAGTGGCCAGTTGGTGAATAGCTTGCAGCTAATCTATGGAATAGCTTTGTGTTGTAAAATGGGGATGGGTGAAGCTGCGGCCCTCCAGATAATGTTGATTTCCAGTTCCCATCAGGCCAGCCAGTGTGGCCAGTGATGATTGGAGTTGTAGTCCTAACAAGAACTGGGGGGCTGGAGGTTCCCCATCCCTGCTATAGAATGTTGCCTTCAAATGTGAAGAGCTGGTCTTCTCTTGTTGAAAAAGTAAAGAAATCGACCTGGATGTCGTCAGCACTCCCAGTGATGTTTCACCCATAGTTCTCTGTCAAGTTTCCAAATAACAGTTTTCCAGAAGTCAAAGCCTACACCCACTAAAGGGCCCATTTCCTATGGAACCTATGGAAACTGAGCACCTCTTGATGTAGATGCTGTAATGCCCACAGTGTTACTGCATGACTTTTGCATCCTTCTGAAATGAACAGGCTTGTAAGAGTTCACAGCCTCTTCAACATTGTGAATGAACTTTTGCCTGAGGCAACTAGGATATACAGGAACCAACACCAAGCTATGAACTGCTGCTGGTACATTGTGTTTAGCAGCCATTTTAGTCTGTTGCCTTTTGGAGAGAGGGGAGGGTTAAGCCTTTTGACCAGTGCCATATATCCTCTTTCTACAGATCACAAGTGCATTTGACATGGAAGCCATTACCTTCAAGAAACTGGTGAAGGGCCATGCCTATAGCGTCACAGGATTGAAGAATGTGAGTTTCTCTTCAGGGGGCTGTGGAGACCAATTCAAGGGCTTTAGCCATGTGTGTCGGTTGTCTTAATACCTTAACTTTGACAGGTGGACTATCGTGGCCGGCAGGAAGCGCTCATTCGGATAAGGAATCCCTGGGGTCAAGTGGAGTGGACTGGAGCCTGGAGTGATAGGTGGGTTGGACGTGTTCCTGCAGTGACATTAGTAGATGTCGTGCCCAACTGTGACATCTGATAGCGATCCCATTTAGGATGCATCCGGGTGACACTTAAAAAAATGTTTCGCAAATGCATGTGCCATCACTTGAACATCAGGTGATGATCTGCATGTGCAATTAAGCCATCACAGGTAGAATTTCCATCTCCTTTCTAACGCAGTGCTTTTTGATCTAATTAGCCATCTAATTAGATTTTAATTTGATCCTGACTTGTTTTTAGGAGGTAATTTGATTATTGTTTGATTTTATACCAGTGTTATATATTTGATGTTAGCCACCCTGAGCCCAGGGAAGGCGGGATACAAATAAAAGTTTATTATTATTATTATTATTATTATTATTATTATTATTGAATCTGTTCATCCATGAGCTGGAATGAAACATCAGGTTAGGGTCATGGGTAGCTGCCTAATAGAGTCAGATCAATGGACTGTTTAACTTAGAATTGTCTTCACTGACTGGAAGCAGCTCTCCAGGGTTTCAGACAGGAGGGAGAATTGAACGTGGGACTTTTTGAATGCAAAGCATGGGCTCTACCACAGCCCTTTCCTGCTACCAGATAAAAATGGAAGGAGCAACATGTCACTAAAATTCTACTCAATACTGATCCCGAGTAGATTCCAATGTATAGTTAAAAACTTAACACGTTGCAGGATTCTCAAAAAATAGACCAGAGGCAATTTTATTTCATCCAGCATTTGCTACTTGAAGGCAAATGAGCATAATGGTCACAAATCCAGTACGTTCAGGATTGGCACTGTCCATAAGAAATCCAGTTGCAGCAGACTTAACTTAAACTTACAATAACTTATAATAAGTCTAAACCTTAACACTGAGCACACTGTGTACAGAACACCACACCAGAAGGAAAAGAGACAGAAAGAGTACTTGAAACCCAGGCTCCTTCTGGCCTCTTATTATAGCCAGCATGACCCTGAAGAAGAGATAACAGAACCAGTTTAAACCAGCTGTGCTCGACTTCTCTGAAGGAATAACCCAAACATCATGAACCTTCTGCTTGTTTCTTTCACACAGAGAAGCTTCAAGAACCCTCTTGAATTAATTATAATAGGAAATATCTCCACACATCAGATCAATACTTTCTGTACTAAGAAATGCAAACTGACACAACATGAGGAGGACGCACAGCATAACTATCTTTCTGTTGCTATCTTAGCTCTTCTGAGTGGAACGAAGTGGACCCCGATCAGAGGGAAGAACTGCAGCTGAGAATGGAAGATGGTGAATTCTGGTGAGTCCTGAGACTTGTGGCACTGTTTGTTCCTGGTGTGTACACACAGAGAGGCATGCAGATACCCCCAATAATTCCTAATTCTGCAGTGGGATATGCAGAAGTGTTTGATGCCAATTAATTTCCTCTTTAAAACAAAACAAAACAACAGAACAAAACACCCATAGCTCCTTTCTGTTTGTACCCCAAAGCTGTTTAAAGAGTAGGTGTGGAAAGTGTTTTCTTTTGGCTTCAAGGATCTTTAAGCATTCGAGCAGCGTTGCGCTTGCCCTGCCTGATTCTCCTCTCTGCCCTGTGACTTCAACATATCTTTTTGTCCCTGAAGGATGTCTTTTCGAGACTTTCTACGTGAGTTTTCCAGGCTGGAGATCTGCAACCTCACCCCCGACGCTCTGACCAAGGATGACATGAGCAGATGGCATACCACCCTCTTTGAGGGCACCTGGCGCCGAGGCAGTACAGCAGGAGGCTGCAGGAACCACCCAGGTAACAGCTGCTGCCTATTCTTTGTCCGCCCTCTTTGGTGCTGATGGACTAGTAAAGTGACTCCCACATTCTGCAGAGGTGTGATATATAAATTCATCATCCTGGAGCCTCTGCTTGAGCCATGATTTGTAGCCTGATGTCCTCCTCTCTGGATGCCTTAGTTGTGGAAAACTACCTTGGGTTACCACTGTAGTTTCTTAAAAAAAGAAATAGATGAGGAAAGATAGGAAGAAGTAGGAAATCAAGATGAATACTGGTTGCTTTCAAATCTTGAAAACCTTGTAGTATATTGTGAGGCTAGTTATTTGACCAGTCAGAGGCTTTTATTGACTCGTAGCAAACTCAAACAGTTAATCTAGGTATACAGTCACTACACACCAGTACAAAACAAACACAAGATTGTGCACCATCTTCCCTCCCCCCTTGCAGCTACATTCTGGATTAACCCCCAGTTCAAAATCAAGCTCTTGGAAGAGGATGATGACCCAGACGACAATGAATTGGCTTGCAGCTTCTTAGTGGCCTTGATGCAAAAGCACCGGCGGAAAGCACGTAAAGCTGGGGAAGACATGCACACCATTGGCTTTGCAGTCTATGAGGTAACCCCACGTGGCTTCCTGGTGTGCCCTTTTGAGCATCATCACTTAATAGGAGCGCATTCCTAACCTTTGCCTGCTTTCTCTCTCTGTGCAGGTTCCTGAGGAGGTATGCCCTGAGCCAACGAAACCCCATTACTGAATTGTGTGCGAGAATGAAATGGGTTGAGGCCACAGAGTGCTGTTCCCTATTCTGGATGGAATCTGAAACGTGTACCTTCCTCCTGCTTGATGCAAACAGAGACCCATAATGTTGTGCACAGCTCTTTGATGGCTGCAGACCAAATGGTCCAGGCTGTATAGGTTCTAAGCTAGAAAGGGGGGGTCCAATTCTGCACTGGATGCATCAACAAATTAAGCAAAATCAGTAAATGTGCGGTGGTTGCATGATTTTAGATGGGTTTGCCAGATGCCTTCACGAGACTTTAAAGTGGGATTGTAGTGCTTTAAATGCATGGTGTGAGTGTATGTTTCTAGATACACATGTGATGCCTAGGCCGTTGTCATCAGATGAAGGAGGGGGCTGCCCCTTTGCCGCCCTGTATAATATACCTGAACTGTTTCCTGTCCCAGAACCAGGGCTGCCAGAGTATTCACCTGAAGAAGGAATTCTTCCTGAGGAACCAGTCTCGGGCACGCTCAGAGACCTTTATCAACCTGCGGGAGGTGAGCAACCACATCCGCCTGCCCCCAGGCGAATACATCATCGTGCCCTCCACCTTTGAGCCTCACCAGGAAGCAGACTTCATCCTGCGCGTCTTCACGGAGAAGCAGTCAGACACAGAGTGAGTCCATGCCTTCGGTGTGAGCTACTATCATCTCCTAGGTCTTTGTAAGGGGTGTATGAGCTTTCCTCCAGACTCAGCTGCGTTTCTGTAAATTAGCTTGGATGCCAGTTGACTTTTGGGGGGTTAAGAAAAGGAAGGCACTGAGCAGCAGAATATATTCATCTGAGCTCTAGATGTTGGACAAAAGACTCAAAAGCTGGTTGAGGAATAGACCCTACTTGTATTCCACCCAATGTCTTTATCCTCACAGTGGCTTTCCATGTTTTGCTGCCTGAGTGAGCTGCACAGCAAACTTCCAGATACAGTGGTACCTCGGGTTACATACGCTTCAGGTTACAGACTCCGCTAACCCAGAAATAGTACCTCGGGTTAAGAACTTTGCTTCAGGATGAGAACAGAAATCGTGCTCCGGTGGCGCGGCAGCAGCAGGAGGCCCCATTAGCTAAAGTGGTGCTTCAGGTTAAGAACAGTTTCAGGTTAAGAACGGACCTCCGGAACGAATTAAGTACTTAACCCGAGGTACTGCTCTCTTGAATGGGGACAGTCAAAGTGGAGATGTGTCCTATCATATCTCTTGCCCTTCTGCCAGGCCCTCCTCCATCTTCTCAGACCTAGAGGCTTTCCTAACAGTGTTCTTTCTTCTCCAGGGAGCTAGATGAGGAGATCAGCGCAGATCTGCCTGATGAGGTAACACTCCAACCCAAAACAGGCAGTTTTAAGTGTCAAACCTCCCTCTTTTTTAATTCGTGTGTGTGTGTGTGTGTGTGTGTGTGTGTTTGTTTGTTTTCTGCACATTTCACTGTATTTGGGTCTTAAAGCAGTTTACAAAAAGTGAAAACAATACAGTGTACAAAATTTAAAACATCAAAGGTGATAATACCAAAACAAGTATTCATGGTCAAATGCCTCCTGGAACAAAATGGTTCTCACCAAGTGTGGGAAGCTTAGCAGAAACAATGCCTGTATGATTTCTAGTGCAAGGGAGTTCCATAGAGTTGGCTCGCTACATTCAAGGCACGACTCCAGTGTTGGATTAGGAGCTGGGAGAGCAGTGTTCGAATTCCCACTTGGCCGTGAAACTCACTGGGTGACCTTTCAGCCTACCCCACAAGGTTGTTGTGGGGATTAAATGAGGAGAGGGGGAGCGATGTATGCCACCTTAAGCACCAAAGTTGGGCTAGGAAAGCAATAAATAAATAATACTTTGGTCCATGGGGGGTGATCTCTGTAATTGGCTTGGGACATAAAGGGGCAAGGCTGTTCTTAAGGTATCCTGGGCTTTAGTTGCTCAGGACTTCGTATGCCAGTACAAACACCTTGAACCTGGCCTGGTAGGAAAGTGGAAGCCAATGCAGGTCTCTTAACCCTGCCTTTTCCCATTATCCATCTAGCTGCAGCAATCTGCTCTAGATCAAGCTTTGAGATGAGTCCCAAGGACAGCTCCCCATAAAGCATGTTGCAGTGATATAGTCTTGGGTTACTGTATAAATCACCTGCACATAATAAAATACTTCGTTGAGCATTTGGCTAATGTCCCTTCACGCCAATGTTCCTCCTTCTTAAAGCTACATTTTAAATCATCCTTGTTGGTTAAAACAGGATGGGATGAAGCGTGGAGAATTAATGGAAGGGAGAAAGCCAGCTGATGGAAAGCGAGAAGATAGCATTTAATGATGGGAGTGTGTAAGATGCTGTCAGTGGTTTTTGAAGATAGCTAGAGGGAAAATTAGGTAGTCAGAGCAGTGCTTCACCTGCTGGTCCTGGTTTTTGTTTCCTCAGGAAGAGATATCTGAGGATGATGTGGACGAAAACTTCAAGAACATGTTCCGGCAGCTTGCAGGAGAGGTAAGTACTGTGACTCAGCATTCCTGTCAGTTTCTTCCCCCTTCAGTTGTGTGCAACGAGCAGGTAAAGTAGCACCAGTGGCTTTGACAATGTGGAAGTGAGAAGGTGTCGAAGGAGCCTGTTCACCGTGGAAAGAGGACTTCACTTGGATCAGAGACCTCTCTGAGGGATGCCCCAAAGTCTCCTTCCTTCAACCTCATCTACCTCACAGGGGTATTGTAGAGATAAAATAAGGGTGACAGAGGCATGCACATAGAACTTGGAGAATGGAGGAAAAGTTGAGGGGAAGCACAATAGATAAATATCATTGAACAGAAGCATGCTTGTGATCTCTGGAGGAAGATGGCAATAGTTCATTGGAATATGAATTTGAGGCTGAAGGGCTCATAGTCCGGACAAATTTCCATGACTACTTCAGTGACTTGGCCTTCCTTGATGTTGTCCAGAACCATCCCTTAATACTAGGGATGCTTGAAGAATTTAGTTTCTGAATTCTGATACAAACTGAGTTTCAAATCTGGGACTGAGTTTCAAATCAGAAAGCAATTGCCTTTCTGATTTCACACTACTCTGAATTTTGTGATGCCATTCTTGGCTCAAAAAACGTATACCAAAACATGTAAATAAATCTGTTTTGTACGTTTAGTAACCCATTTATTGATGCAAAATGCATTTAAATATATATTTTGGAATAAAATACATATTTAAATATTAATTTTGCTGTAGATAAAAACAACAACACAGAATTGCAGATTGGTGTAGAAGCAGGGCACAGTGAACTTATGAATAGACATGTATGTGAAATCAACATGGATTGTAGATAGAGTGATCCATTCATCCCTGTGCATTTATAGGCTGCCCGAGGTGGGATCAGAGCCTGAGGAGTTAGGAGTGAGCTGCTTTTGGACCCCTGACAATCTCTGAGCCATGAAATGCTCTTTTAATGATCTGCCTTCTCTCCCTTCCTCCAGGACATGGAAATCAGCGTCTTTGAGCTCCGAACCATTCTGAACAGAGTCATTGCCAGACGTAAGTGCTTCTTATTCAGACTCCTGGCCTATGCTGTGGATATCTCTGAACATCCCATCCAAGTGTAATAACAGTGTGTCTCTTTCCTCCCTCGGCCAGACAAAGATCTGAAGACGGATGGGTTCAGCATGGATTCTTGCCGTAACATGGTCAACCTGATGGATGTATCCTTTCTGCTGAGAAGGGAGAAATGGGGAGGGTTATCTTGGTCAAAGAAAGTGGGGCAAGGATACAAATCTGCTCATAGCATAGAACTACAGGCAAAGGTAGTTTTGCGAGGGGGGGGAGTGTTATTGTATGAAGCTTAATAGCCTAAACCTACTGACCAAGTTTGCACATCACAATAAGCTGTAGTTAATGGTTATCCCTGACTTCATTTAAGTCTGCACCAGGGATCATGCTTCATTTCATTCCCCAAAACCCAAGATTTGTGCTTAGCTTACTGATTTGGAAACACCAAAAAGTAAGGAATTGTGATTTGTTTTCTCCAAGTAGATGTGAGGAGGGAGAGAACAGCCTCTTAGATGCTAACATGGTTCCCTTTAGATATTGTACTACAGCTTCCATCAGCTCCTGCCAGCATGGCTTCTGGTCAGGGATGGGAGTTGTGTATACCATTACCTATGTGAAAGGAGCCCCTGTGGCCTCATGATGTGTTCATCATTTACGAATGCAGAGTAGGACAACTTTTGAGGTAGTTGCCTCTTTATTCCTCTTAGTTGTAGACAGGCAGTTGCTTGCAATTGTGCAGCCTCTGTGTATAGTTTGTCCTAGCCCTATAGCAGGCCAGAGACTTATTGTAACTTGCAATTGTTCGGATATTGTGGGAGCCGATCTGTGTTAGTTGAAGGTCATGCAGATTCTCTGGCTTATTCATGGTCGCACTGCTCACAGAAGTGTATTAGGCCACTGTATTTTGTTGCAATTCCCCTCTTCATACACGTGTGTAATTAGTGTGTGTGTTGTGAGCTGTGCTTTGGAGGCAGTTGTCTGCTTACATTAGACACTTCAATGTGTCAAAATCTTGGGAGCATTCAGCCAACAAGATAAATGTACCATGAGGTGGGCCTTATTTTATCTTTCTTTTCCAAATAATTTTTATTAGTTATCCAAATTAATACAGTGGTACGTCGGGTTACAAACACTTTGGGTTACAAACTCCGCTAACCCGGAAGTAGTACCTCAGGTTGAGAACTTTGCCCCAGGATGAGAACAGAAATCGCGCACCGGCAGCAGCAGGCGTCCCCATTAGCGAAAGCGCACCTCAGGTTAAGAACAGTTTCGGGTTCAGAACGGACCTCTGGAACGAATTAAGTTCGTAACCCAAGGTACCACTGTACAAACAAAACTTAATTAATTTAATTTAATACATTTTTTAAAAATCAGGTTTCCCGCTCCTGTTGCCAACATATGTCCATCTCTTCTGTTGTTGCCACATTCTTTTTTCTTGAAATCCTTTTAAAATCCTCACTAGATGTAGATGGGCGTTGTTTTTTCAGTACTGGAATGAAAAATATGGAGAAATATTTTCTGTTGCTAGCCCTTTCTTGCTAAAATAGAACACTATCATTATGTAAATTTTCTTTCCCCTCTCTTCTACTTCACTTTTCATTTCACGTTCCCCCTCTTTATTTTTTGGAAGTGAAAGTATGTGTGTATATCTCATTCACTCAATATCATTGTGGCCTAGTGCACGATTCCTAGCTGTGCATACCTTTCCCTGCTATTCTCGCTTAAATAGAGTGTTTCATTCTATTGTACAGAGCAGTTCAGAAGTGCAGCCGCTCCAAGGTGGCAGACGTGTGGTACTGATAACTGCAAAAGCATTAGGCTGTCTTGTGTCCAACTGGAAGACAAGGGTGGGTGAGGTGAACCTGGAATCCAGCCAACATTATCTCTAGGCTTCTTGTTTCTATCTTCTGCCATGTTGAGCAGTTAATGAGCTTACACCTTCCTCCTCTATTCAACTCGCTCCCCAATACTTTGGGATTAGAAGTCCTCCTTTTTGCACTTAATGTCTTCCCTTGACTCTTCTGCTCTTCAGAAAGATGGCAGTGCTCGCCTGGGCCTTGTGGAGTTTCAGATTTTGTGGAACAAGATTAGGACCTGGCTGGTAAGAGAAGCAGACTTGGCTTGTGTGTGTGTGTGTGTGTGTGTGTGTGTGAGAGAGAGAGAGAGAGAGAGAGAGAGAGAGAGAGAGAGATGTGCTCAACAGAACCTTCGGTGGGAGGAAGGGGCTTAAGGATGGCAAGAGAGTGTGTGTGGAGGAAGCAGAACCTCAGCATCATCTTCTTTCTCTATCATGACAGAATGTCTTTCGCCAACATGACCTGGACAAGTCAGGCACTATGAGCTCTTATGAGATGCGCCTGGCTTTGGAAACATGTGGTAAGCATGGAAGGGGATGTTTCCAAACACTTTGGTGGTGGGTTGCTGGGATCCTTATCGGCTGCAGACCCTGACATTGTGACTTTGCTATGTAGTCTGAATCCATACCAGTCTCCTACAATAGCATTATTTTCTAATCGCTATCCAGGGCTTTTTTTTGCCGAGGTGGGGGGTAGAATTCATTTCTCAGAATCTGAACACAGAACCACTAAACAATGCCATCTGAGGAGGAGTGATGGTCTTTCTTCTCGGACTTCCTGTGTGGAAGCAGTTCGGGCTTTAGTTTCTAGTGCCATACCCCTACTGGAACAGCTTTGGATTTGGCAGCATTCATCAGAACTGCACGTGGGTAGAAAACAATATTCTGTGACTTGAGAGCTAAAATTCTCCTTCAGCATTCCTTTTCTTAAAAAAAATCAGGAAGGACATTTGGCAACATCTGTGTGGCCAATATAGGCGCAATCTTAGACCAATACAATCAGCCAAAGATGGTCCTGTGCCCTATTCTCTTCACAAGTTTTCACACTCTTACCCCACCCCCCGGGGTGCAGTGAATATTGAACTGTTTTTTCTGGCCTTGACTCTTATGCTGAACCTCATTAAGGCAGAGAAGGCCTCCGTTTCTTTCAAGCTGGTTTAACACTCCCATTTCTACCTTTTTAGGCTTCAAACTGGACAACAAGTTGCACCAAGTGGTGGTGGCACGTTATGCTGACGAGTCACTGGGCGTGGACTTTGATAACTTTGTCTGTTGCTTAGTCAAGTTGGAGACGATGTTCAGTAAGTGGTTCTGAGAAGGGAGCCATCTCTCTGGGCAATCTGCCCAACGGCGTGTAGGAACATGCCTTTAGGCCTGAAGTGCACACACTTGTATTTCTCTATTGGTGGCAGTTGGTATAAAACGGCTATCCCAGACAAACTGTTCTTTTGGGGTGTAGGTAACGGCTACACAGCTATCACTCCTTATTAATTTCAGCTGGGCTTCTCCTTGAGAGAAAAGAGGAGGAAGTAGCTCCCTCCAGACAGGCCGCTGCTTGTGGTAGGCCTTAGATAATATCTTAGAGGTTATCACTTTCCTCTGGTGATGGTTATATGGACTCAGAGGGGACATAACACCCCCCACACACTTGGCTTGTCAGTGTTTCTGCTGTAATGGACATTCTGCCAACAGTGAGGATCAATTTGAGCCCCTCTTGGCTTTTGAAATGTGACGGTGTTTCGCCTAAGGATGTAACGTATCCTGGTTCCTGGTATACAACAGATTCTCAGTGTACCAACTCCTTGCCAGGTTTTGAAGGGCAAGTCTCCTTTTGACAGGGTTTAGGTAGGAACATGATAAATCAGGAGCCAAGAGCCACATATAGTTCACCGCTCTGACAAGAAGGATATTTTAACTATGGCGAACAGGCCGCCAACTGAATGCATCAAGAAAAATAAACAGGCAAGGAAATTTATGAGTAGGCATTTTTAATATTCATTGTGCCTACAAGCCATTGAAGATCAATTCAGTGCTTACTGGATTTAGCTGAGGCCCAATTCCAGGCATCCGTGGACAGGCCATTTTGGAAGGGGTGGTCTGCCTGTGGAGCTCCATCCCTAGATATGTTTGTCTAGTTCCTACTTGTTTTGTATTTAAACATCAATTTAAAAGGATCTGGATTGCTCCAGCCTTTATTTGTAAGTTTCCTTAGGGACCACCTTGATGAGAACAGATGGAACAGAAGTCCTTTCAGTGACTGATCACCTTGTGTTTTCTCTTAAAACTCTGTAGGATTCTTCAATAGCATGGATCCTGAAGGCAGTGGGAGTGCTGTGATGAACCTCGGTGAGGTAAGAAGACTGAGGCAGGACTTGAAAGGTGACAGAAAGTGCGTTCACAATATTGCAGCCTTGCTGTCCCTTTCAGAGCTCCTGTCATGCGTTAAATGTGCGGAGGGCACTTAATTGATTGCATCAAACTATTCATTGGAAAGGTTGGCCACTGAGAAATTGGAAGGGATGAGAAGGTTGACAGCAGAAGGCTAGGCGGGGAGAAGTGACAGGAATGAAGCCAGGGAATGAAGAGGAATAGCCCATGTTTTTGCCATGTTGTGTGGAGAGAACCATTGTGTTTTGGTGATGGGTTGAAAATGGAGAATAAAGGAGGAAGAGAAGATAAAGGTCCAAGGCCTAGTGCCTTGTTAATTTGGTGGCAAAGTGAGGCGCTAGTCTCAGACAGCTAATAAATGTAGGGAGACCATGAAGGCAGCTCCCTGGCTGTTCCTGCTGTGTCCCTTAGCTATGCCCTTCTACTGGAAGCCTGTTCTGCAACTCCTCATCTAGTCTATTGTCCTCAGACGTGGTGGAGGACAGTACTAAAGTAAGATTCAACTGCCAATCCAGTAGAGTTCATTGGGGAGGGTACCATCTTGTCCTTTGCCTTGGGTAGCCAAATATCTTGGGCCACGCCTGAGTCAGATTTAGGTGGTGGGGGGAGCAGTTTATGGTCCAGTTCTTCATCTACCTTCTGGGCCCTCACAGGTGTACTCACTCTTGCTTTCCTTCTCTCACAGTGGCTGATGTTCACAATGTGCGGCTAAAGAAGAGACAGGCGTTTGCTGAGACGACCCTCTTGGACTGGGCTGCCCCAAGTGCCTCCCTTTACGTTAGGCTGACTGACCTAGGATGGCCCATTATCCCTATTTCTTCCTCTTACCTCCTCATTCCCAAGCTCAGAGCCTGCTTCCATTTTCCCCCTCCATGAAACAGACACAGCCGGTACCCTGTGATTTAAGCTCCCTTACATCACTTATTTAGGGGGATCAAAAGCTCTTCTATGGGAGCTGGGCAGAGAAGGAACAGCTCTTATCCTGCTGTGAGTGTGGCTTGTGGTAACAGCAGCACTTAGGCGATCAGGGGGTAGTGAGAGAAGCGCATGGGTGCATGTTGGGCCATTGCATGCAGACATTTGTGTAGCTATACCCTTTGCCAGGAGGAGGCCTGCCTGCCTTCACAGTTATCAAAAGGAGGCAGGGGTGCGGTTGTGCCCTCTTCTCAAAGGTTGGCCTCTCCCTACTCACTGGCAATTTGGATCTTGCACAGAAATCTTGCTTGTTCTCTCGCCGCTCTGAGCATTGCAAGATCCCCTGCTCTGCTTTTCTCCAGTAAACTCGGTGGCAGGATGGAAAGGGATCTGTGTCCTTAATTTAACTCTCAAAGAGTTTTCTGAAGTGATGGCATGACCTCCAGAGCTGGTGCCAGAAGGGTGGTGAAGTCAGTGTTATTTGTCAAGACCAATAACAGGCCCCACTGCCCACAAGTGCCACCATTCTCGCTTTGCACAGAACATCCATGGAAGTTGGAGGCACAGGAACAGAGGAAACTGCCTTGGTCCATCTAGCACAGCATTTGTCCACTAACTGGCAGTGTGGCTCTCCAAGTATATCCTCACTTTTACTAGGTGATGCTGGGGATTGCACCTGACACTTTCTGCATGCAAAGCAGACACTGTCTACCACTGAACTACAGCAGTTTGGCATTAGTGGGAGAGAGTTATCTGTTTGCACGCTAGTCTCTTCTGAGTTAAGAACTGCACTGCAGCCTCCTTGATACTTGCATGCACACTGGTGAAAGAAGAGGGCTTTGGATAACTTCACATTTCTTCAGGTACCCAAAGCATCAGAGTTCTTGCATCGTTAGGACCCAGTACTCAGAATAAGTAATTCACGCTTTTAAAGGCCAAATTTTCAAAACAATAAAACATCACAGCTGTGGCAGTGCTTTCAATATCATTGTTACATGTTTGGGCAAGAACCCTTTTTAAAAAGCAAAACCAAAGCATTCAAGAGTTGGGGAGGACCCCGCAGGCTGCCTCAAGTGTCACATGAACTTGATGCAGTACCCCTAATAGGTGAAAGGATCCAGAAGTTAAGAATGAAGGATTCTGGCTCCTTGCACCTGATGGGTTAGTGACAGCTGGGAGCACCTGGTACTGCTTTCTTGCTGGATTTGTAAGCACAGGCTTGCCTAATCATTACAAGCCTTGTGGAAGCACTCTGACAATAGTTTTAAAAGCATATAGTAAATACACAGATTAGCCTAAGCAAAGGGTGAAGTCCCTTGTTCTGAGGACCGTTCCCATGCCTGCCTTTGACTTGCTCTGTCGCCTTGGCCAAGTCCTTTTTATGCTTTTGCTTTTCCCTTCTTCTGAGTGGAAAAATAGATACAAATTCGGGAGTGTGTTGCTCTTATATTGCTCATTAATGCTAATGGCTACAGTGTAGTTGAATGCAGTGCTGCCTCTTTCATTCTTATACCTTTCCATCAATTTCCTGTGATGAGGACAAAGATCCCCACTTAATTGCAGTTCCAGCTCTCTGCAAGCCTTCCAGCCTAGCACTGTAGGCAGCCTGAGGCAGGATTGGTTTTCTACTGCAACGTGTTCCCAAAATGGCTGCCTCTCTTTGGATTTACTAGTACAGAACAACTGCCAGCCTTTGGTGCTACTTTAGCATGGATCAGAATCTCCACTCCCCGTTAAAAACGTCATTGAGAAAAGTGGGGTGTGGTAGAGTCATAATATAGCAAAGCTGTATGAGATGGGGAAAGGGAAAATCTTAAAAGCCACCTGAGTTATTGCAGTTGCCTGATTTTGATGTCAGTTGTAATACCTGAAGCTAGTGGTAGGGAGGTTATTCTTTGGATTGCACCTGTAATAGGTAGCACTTGGCCCAAGTCATACCTCATGCCTGGCTCCTGAAAAGGGGTTCTGAATTTTGTGTCCTGAGCTAAACCAGGCAGATTAAGAAAATGGGAGTCTGCTTTGCATAAATTCTGTTTCTGAGGCTGAGATTTTGAGAGGGCTAGGATGCCCCAGTAAGGTCAGAGGCAGATTAAACAAAACATGGATGTGAGGGTTTTGTGTATCCATTCAGGGCTGAGGTCAAGTACTTCTGAGAGCAGAATACAGAGGCGTGTGCTGAAGGCGTAAGGGTTAGAAGCCCTACTCTGCCACCTCCATGTGCAGGCTTCTCCAAACACTGCCAATGCACTCCCAAGTTAATCTCTTCCCCATCTCTCTTTAAAATTTGCCAAAAGAAAACTGAAAATGTTCTGGAGGCCAAATTCCCATGCTGCATTCTTCACTTGTCTAGCCCTTAGTCATGCTGCTTAATTCGTCACCCATTTGAGAATGTAAAATGGGAGTTTTCTGAAGGGTACATTCAAGCCAGCTTTGCACAACCCGGGCCACTTAATGGAAAGGAGATGCTTAGGTGAGATGCAGCCAAATTGGATTTTTCAAAAAGGAACAGTAGTGAGTTCAGATTCTACAGCAGGCATCCCCAAACTCGGCCCTCCAGATGTTTTGGGACTACAACTCCCATCATCCCTAGCTAACAGGACCAGTGGTCAGGGATGATGGGAGTTGTAGTCCCAAAACATCTGGAGGGCTGAGTTTGCCTATGCCTGTTCTATAGTTCTTCCATGTACTCTCATTCTTTCCTGTCTATATCATACTCTTCACTCCCATGAGGGCATTTCCAGCTTCTGGGTCTTTTCTTGCCTCCGTTGTGAGGAACCCACATGTGGCATATCCTCCTGCCCCATCACCAGCCCAAACCCCTTCATGGCCCCTGTCTATATCCAGGCTGCTCGTGCCCTTAGTGCTTTGTTGCAGGGACCCACAACCACCTGCTGCCTTAGAATTCCTGCAGAACTTGGCTGCAATTATAACCACTTCAGCTCAGAGAGCAGAGCTGCCTCCTCAGTCTGATTTGCGACATATGTGAAATAATAAATAAAGATATATATATCAAACTATGTATGTGTGGGTGTTGGTATGATTTAAAAAAAAACTATTGGAGGCAATTTCGCGTACTAGGAGCCATTTGAAAGGGAAGCTTTCAAACATCTACAGAATACTTTAACACACACCATATAATGCAATATTGTATTGCCCTGCTTGCATTTCTAACCACCACCCCTCTCCAAAACCAAATCTCCACAATTTGGTAGGCCTGGCTGGCTTCATCTCCAGTTCCCCCATCGTCTGAGGCTGCTGCTGCTGCAATGGCCCAGCAGCTTCGAGAGTCCAGTTTGTCATCACACTTTAGTTTGCAGCGGCACCTGTCTGGCTAAGCAAACTGCAGCACGACACCATTCTGACATTTTTATTATATGTATATAGAAAATGTTGATCTACACATTAACCAACAGAAAAATAAATATATGCCTGCAGGCCAAATAGTTTCCCCTGCCTTTAGAAAACTTCTATGAATGTCAGGTTTCCTTCTGTGCATTATATATTTGGGGAAGACAGGTATTTCCCAGAAATAGTTTGTGCGCAGTCCAATAGGAGCAAAATAAATAGAATTTAAAACTATTTTTGTTGAGGTAGATGCAAAGCAAGTTGCATTGCAAAGCAAATATATAATAACAGCTGTAACTCCAAGTTCAGATATAAGAGTTTGCCAACTGACACCTAGTATCTTGATGTCAACATGCCTTTTATTTATTTAGCAGCATTTGTATAACAAGAAGAAAAAAGTCTTAAGAGGCTTACAGAAGTGGTATAAAATATTCAGTAAAATAATAATAAAAATGCACACAAGCAGGCATTAAAAAACTGCAACAGAGGTGTGTGCCTGATACAAATAGAGAGTTCCAGAAAATCGCTACCATGCTAAAAAAGATTTTTCATGTATGGAGTAAAAGTGTGGCATATGATCAATGTCAAAGATTACAGGTGTAATCTTTACTCCTTTTGGCAGAAGAAGAGAAAAGCTACAGAGTCAAGCAGAAGGTAAAGTGGGGCAAGATTGGCTGTTCGTTTACCAGAAGGTTACTCCTCCCAAGGGTTTATTTATTTTTTAGTGTTCTATAGTGTTCAATTTCTCTTGGTACTATGATTTTTATCCAGAAGCCACTAGGTGGCAGGAAAGCTCTTTACTCAGCCCTGCTGAACTCCCAGACTCCTATCTGCCAGTCCTACTGCGATCTGCAACTTTTCCAGTTGGCTGGATTCCAGCAAAGTTGTCCTGCTGGCTTAAACTCTGGAAGAAGCCTGTATTGGAGTTAATGAAGAAAGGGGTTGACTCAAGAAAGGCAGGGAAGGGCTTGCCAGGTTGGGCATCACCTCCTCCCTCTCACACCACTCACAACCGTGAGCCCATACAATTCGGTCATCCTTCCAGCTTCTAAAAGTACCTTAAGGAGAAAGGAATGGTGTGAATAATTTTTTTTTCTTTTTTGCAAATGCACTTGGCCACCTCTTGTTCTCTCCCCCTTATTTCTATAAAGCTTGGAGAGATTGCAATGCCCTAGCCTTGTGGGCGGATGCCCTTCTGGCCCATAGAAATCCTGTCCTTCAAGGGGATTAAGGCCCCTTGTGTTTAAGTGGTTGTACCTTGTGTTAGGACAGCTCCATGGACAGCAAATTGAGAGAAGGATTGCATCAGAGAGAGGGAGCGGCCTGCAGGCGCCAAACAAAGCCATACATATGTCCATTGCAGCTGTGCTGCCTGTATATCCAGGGTCTCTAGAGGAACATGAATGGTAGCTTGGGAGACCACAGCAGCACACACACACACACACACACACACACAACCTAATGTGAGTATTGTAGACGATATGTTAGCGCTACAATGCCATGTCCAAGTGTCTGGAAACCTATTGCCTAAAGATTCAATGCAGAAGATTTTGAGTATGCCTGACCCAGAACAAGAGATCTAGAGGAAGGACAAATCTCTCCTGTATGTTAGCAACCAAAGCGGGGGGGGGGGGAGTGCTGTGGCCGACCTTGGTGTCTCAAATTTCAGTGGCGCCCTGTGTGGTGCCAAAATCTAGCACCCCACCCCACCTTTTGCCTTCCATTGGATAGTTGAGGCACCTGCTGCGGTACCCCAGAAACTCTGTGCCCCTAGATCAGCCTGTGGGGGAGAGAGGGACTCCAGAAGCGTGGATTTCAAAAAATCGATCTGAAGCTCTTGGCCTCAACTGTTGCAGTAAATGAGCTGTTAAAGTTCACTTCCAAGTGGTGATTTTAATGGCAAAGAAGCTAGCACTTAATATCCTTCAGCTTGGAATATTTACAAGCCCTTGTGGAGCACCAGCGGACACTTTTCTGCGCTCCTTTGGCAATGAACACCGATCTCACTAGGCGGGCCCAACCCAGGAGCCCTGTGCCAAGGCTGCAACAAGAGCAGATCTTGTTCTTTTCCCACCTGGCCGTTGCATCTCTGCAGCTCGGCCGTCAGGGTGCTGCTCGATGAAGGCTAGTGAGAGCACTGGAAACATGAAGAGCTTTCTCAGAAGCCTGGGGATTAGCACGGCGGGCAAGGAAGCAAGGAAAATCCAGCACTTCCGGCCTGCTGGGCTTGGGAGAGTGGACCACACACGGCACTTGCCCGTGGGCAGCCTCTGTAGAAGGCCAAAGCTCTTTCCTGTGTTTTTAGGCAAGCCGTGGCTCATAGCTGGATATAAAAAGCTTCCAGGAAAACTCCTACAAGTGAAGGAGGTGGGCACTCATGTCACTCAAACCAGGGTTCTCCTTCTCTTGGCTGAAGCAGATTACTCAACAACTGGTTTCCCCCACATATATTTAACCTCCCCTCATCTGGACTCTGAGGTGAGAAATTATGGGATAGGAAAAGCAACCATCAGGAGAAGCCATTCCCATGCACTCTGAAAACAAACAAAAATGCTCCGTTGTATATTGCTTCAGGGTGCCTCACAGGAAGTGACTCATAAATGAAATAAATGCTAACAATGGCAACAAAAAGAGGGATTTCTGATTCTGTCAGAAGTCTCTTCAGATGAAGAGCAGGGCAGCTGGGATCCTTGGGATCTACCTAGGCCCTGAGAGGGCCCACTTAATTCCCATGCCCCAGTCATAGCACTTGGATCTAGCCATCCTTTTAATTTGCCACCACACCCCCTGAGTGTGGGGCATGATGGGAAATGTAAAGGGTGGCTGGGCACAGCTCCACCTGGTGCTCCTTAGTGCACTGCCACCACGGCCAGATCAGCCTTCCAAGGTACGCTGACAGAGGAGGCGGCCCACATGGAGCTACTTGGGCCAGTGACTCTTCAGTCAGTCCTGAGAAAGTGCTGCAGAGAGCTTCATTTGAGATAGTACCGCCTAAAGCAGCTCTCAGAGGGATCTCTAGTGGTGCAACAGGGATGGGGCACCTCAAGCCCAGGGAATACCGGTAAATGTGGCCCTTCCAAGACCCTCTGCCTGGCCTCAGGACTCTCCTCAGTTCACATCCCCTCTCCCCAGCTTGCACCTCTCACTGGCCCTACTTTGTCTGTCTTGGTATTTTGAAAATTTGTTTAGTGTTTTTGCCTGGCTGGAATGTGTCCTTGAATGCTATTGCTTGTCTTGATAGAAGATGGTAAGAATGGAGTGAGTGAGTAAAGGAACCAGCCTACTGTACAAAAGTAAGATTCTCATTCTTTCCTCCACCTGCTTTCGCCTCTGGCCTTGCCCATGACTGGCCTGAGGGCCCCGGACAATTGCTCAGAAGCGGATCTGTTCTGAGGCTGAAAATGGTTCCTAGTCCCTGCTGTACAGCAACTAATAACTCTAGGCACTTTATGAATAATGAGGAATAAGCGGATATAGAGTATGTTCACATGCCAGTATCCTGTTTCAGACCTTACAGGGTGGTGTACATGGTTCTCCTTTTCCCCATTCTATCCTCAAAACAACCCTGCGAGGTAGGTTAGGCTAAGGGACAGTGACTGTCTCCAAGTTCATCCAGTGAGCTTCATAGATGTGTGGGGATTTGAACTCTGGTTTCCCAGGTCCTAGTCCAGCACTCTAACCACTACACTGCATTGGTTTTAAAGGACAATCTTGGCACAGAGTTGAATTGGTAAATCAGAGGATAACAGTAGGCATAATTTGAGATGTGTTTGCTTGTCAGAAGTCACCTTTCAACAGCAGGACTAGCAAATGGCCCCAGTTGAAATTAACCCCAAGTAGGGGTTTAGGAGCAAGAATTCTAGTAGGTGAATTCTAGATGGGATAACTTTGATCCTGATTGGCCAGCTCAAAGTGTTGTGTGATTATTTGCAGGCAGGGAATGGAGGCAAACTAGTTATTTACGTAGAGGTCTGTCTCCTTGGAAACAACTTTGACCTCATTCTTCTTATGCACCTTGAGCAGCTCCAGGTTTCGGACAGGCACCTCTTTAGTTCCTCACATGAAAGAGGGAGGCTGTCAAAACTCTGAAAAGGAACTTGTTTGTGGCAAAGAGCAGCTGGGGTCAGAGCACAGAAGCCCAGGAGAGAGAGGGAAAGTAGGAGATTGCAGCACAAATTTGCGAGAAATGCAGTTGACATCAGCACAGGGCTAAATACAGGCAAGCAACTTAACTTTACCATGTGGTAAGTGATGGAGGAAACTGACTACTAGATAAATCCCTCAACCTTTCCTACACATTAGAATGCATAGTAGGGGGACAGGGAATCATGCTACCTTTTTATTAGTACATATAAGCAAGCAAAACTAGGGTAAAAAGCTTGATAAGTTGATTGTCCGCATTTATGTGGAGCAATATATCTCAGGAGTCTTTAGTCCATGGAGGAACTGTAATATTATGACAACTTATTACATTCTTGAGTCTCCCTCCCAACATGCACACACACACACACACACACACACAGAGAGAGAGAGAGAGAGAGAGAGAGAGAGAGAGTCCCATTTACTACTAATCTCTCATAAATACTTGGCCACTACAAATAAATATAAACATACTCTATTTCAAAGATAGTAAAAAATAGGACTGATCATGATTTTTAAGTGTGCTTACGTG